AATCAAATTCCAATGATATGTTTCAAAGGGGGGGGGGGGGGGGGGTGCTGATGAGTGTTTGACCTGCCTGGCTCCATCCATCAATCAATCCAATTATTCTTTCATTCATTCATTCATTCATTCATTCATTTTAATACATCACCATCATACCTTAGAAGTACAAACACCCCCAACCATCATCACCACCACTAAACACAACAGAACAAACAACCCACAAGCCAACCATGGTTGGGACTCATCTCCAAATCCACACCTTTAGGAGTGAAGAAGGTGATGATGGTTTGTTTGACACTTACATTCATACATACACACACAAACATCATAACCCAAACAAGCCACCACATGAGGCCTCTCTCTTCTTTGCTTTGCAACAACAAAAGCCCCAACCAACTGACTCGAATGTGGTTGTGGGTGTGTTGTGATTTGCTGTCGTGTCGTTTGCAAAGAATGGGTCGAACGAATGATTGTAAGTCACAGAAAGTTATAACATTAAGCCAAAGCAAGCCAATACGACTCCAATCAGGTGATTGTTGTTGAAATGTAACATTCAGTACTTTTATTATTGTAGTTGTTGTAGGTTTACGAAGTGAACTCATTGGGGGCATTCTTCGATAACAAACAGACAAACGATAATAGTGAAGGGCAATGTGATAAGAATGTGATGGGATTGGAAGAAGTCTACGTAAAGAGGATTATATGATGATGGGGTTAGTTAGTAACTGATGATCACAAATGTTATTGTCTTTATATATTTCAATCAACAATGTAGCCAAACAAGTAAGTAGGTATATATATTTGATCAGAATAGAATTGCCAAATTGTGAGTATCTGCAATGTATTAAGTTTGGGATCAAAACGACCTTGCCACTAAATAATTAAGACTCGTCATCTGTTTTCATCATTCAAATATATCGCTACTACTACTCCATCTGAAGCTACTTTTGATGTTGATTGAAGTTGATTGATTGAATGAATAAAGAGATATAGGATACATACATTAAGGTGAGAACGAGGATAAGACTTGTAAATGACACACGAGTCCTTTTTGTTGTTGACGAAAAATGCATTTTTCGTCATTTGCAAAAGAGGTGCATGCTCGTTCACAACTAACCCCAGTCTTTGATTCTTGCTGGATCAGGTGTCCATCAATCATGAATGCCCGGGCATTCAGCTAAACAATATGATCTACTTTAGATATCTTGTAGTGTGTAAGTGGGGATATTGACCAATCTTACCAAAGACACGGCCTTGCCTTGTCTAATCGGTCCTAATAGTATCGATAATATTATTCGTTTCAAACATACAATCATTCAATCAAACAAATAAGAAAGAGATATATATGAAATTGACAATGCCATGCCATTGCCATCATCAACCTTTATTCCTTTGAGTATACGCTCAAACACCCACTTCTTCTTCTTCTTCATCTTCTTGTTCTTCACACTTGGATGTAAGTATCATTGATTGATTGAATGAATGAATGAGGCCAATGAACATGTCACTCACTCACTCATTCAAATAGCTTGCAATGATCACATAACAACTACAACTACAACTACAACTACAACGACAATTACATCGATATATGTTTCACAGACGACTGGAAATGATACTATTGGTAATGGATCACAAGATAGTCCTTATCAAACGATGGGCAAGGCTATGAGTATTGTAACATCGAACAAACAACAAAATCTATACCAATGGTTTGTGTATCTAGACTCTGGAAACTACACAAATCAACAATATTATCAATTACCACCTGGTGACAATATGTTGTCAATATCAACCTATCGATCAACATCGTCATCATCATCATCATCGTTACCAGACATGACATATATTGAAACATTCAACATTAATATAATATGTGGACAAGTGTCAATTGCCAATGTATATGGTCGTCAACTAACATTGGACGTGAACGAGGAGCCTCAGGCACCATGCGCTGGCATCCCCGCCATTCTGAACGTCACCGGTATCAGGTCGAGCAATGTCCAGGCCACCAAGCTAAACTTTGACATCAACCACGATGGCTCCAGCACATTGGTCCAGACACATGTCTACGTGTTCAACAGCTCGATTGGTTTGATGTCCTCTTTCTATAACGGGACATTGTCGATGGACAACTGCACGGTGATGGGTGCCGTCATCAACCCCTGCGTAATGCGCGGCAGCCGCCTGAACATCACCAACAGCGTCCTGTACGACATGATCACCTCGCTCTATAACACTAGTTTCTCAATTGCCAACTGCACATTGTCGCGTACCCAGATCAGGACCGTGGGCTCCAACGGCACGCTGTCCACCTCCCAGGTGCATTACCGCGACACCAGCTTTGAGACGGTTGTCCCATTGTTATTCAACGACAACAGTCAAGTGCACATGGAGTATGTCGCGATGAACTCCATCGACAATCAAGAGACCGTGATATCGGTCGACTCGTCGCGGCTGACCTTCCACAACTTGTACTTTACCAACTGCGCGCCACACGACACCATCATCTTTGCCGTGTCGTCCACGATCATTGGCAGCGTGCTCACGCTGTCCAGCTCGCCCACGCTCAGCTTCCTCAGTCTCTACAACTCGCTCTTTGTCGTGGACATATTCGACGTGAGTATCTACGCGCAGGTGCTCTTCTTTGTGTACATGGACCAGACGAATGCGACCGCACGCTCATCAATCATTGTGACCAATGGACAGTTTTCGCAAATGGGCTTCCCCTTGCAGATGATGCTGGACGGGTCCAACCCCGGCGTGGACCTGACGGCGACGTCCGTGAAGTTCTACGACCTCGACTCGTTCCACTGCAATGGCTGCAACATCAACCTGACCGAGGTGAGCGTCGACACGACCCACGTGTTCAAGGGCTTCCAGCTGACCAACTCGCAGGTCCTCATCGATCAGACTCGGTTCATATCACTCATGTCTCGCGACAATGTCATCACGTTGACCAACAGCACGTTCCTCATTCAAAACACATCGTTCACGTCGTGTAGCACGCCCTTCTCATTCGTGCAGGCCAATGGCGCGCTGCACAACGTGACCACCACAAACATCAACACGCAGACATCCATCGTGTTTGATCGCTCGACCGTGGCCTACCACTCATCGCTGATCTATGGCTACTTCTCCAACGCGGACATCTTCAGCTTCACAGCGTCCAACGTGACATTTGTCAACGTAAAGTTCAAATCATGCAGCTCTGGCTATGGCCTGATGCAGGTGAACACTCTGAGCCACGTGCACCTGGACGACTGCCACGTTGAGGACGGCGGCTTCAATCGACGCACAATCATCACGCAGAACGCCACGCTTACCGCCACACACCTGCGTGTGTTCAACACGTCGCAGATCAAGAACCTGGCCTTCATCGAGATGTTTGATCGCTCAAACGTAGCCATCAACAACATGACCAATCAGAACATGTTCATCTCGTGCATGTTCTTTGTGAACCAGTCCTCCTTTGCACTCACCAACTCGCGTCACTGGCTGGCCATATCGCAGATCATCAGCGCCGTCCAGCAGTCCAACATCTCGATCGACACGCTCACAGTGACAGGCTCGAGTGCCCCGAACATGTTCTCGTTCGTAGGCTGCGACAACATCACTATGAACAACGTGCACGTACTCTACATCTCAATCTTTGGCACGATCATTGACATCAACAAGTCGAACGCGACCATCACCAACCTTGAGATGACCGGACTGATGGCGACCAAAGGCATTGGCATCATGACGCTCGAGTCCAATGTGACCCTGACTGACTCAATCTTTGGAATCAACAATGCCAACCCGCTGTTGCTCATCGAGTGGACGGGATTGCTAATGGACAATGTAACGATCAGTGATGGCGGTGCATCCGTCATTCATATGTCATATAGCGATGTGGTGATGAGAAGCGTCCAGTTCATCGACGTCAGTCCGGACTCATACCTCATTTTGGGCGGAATGATGGACTCATTCATCATGGACCGGTGCACAATTTCGCATTGCGATTGCACCTTTGTTGGCAGATCTCCGCTCTACCTTGAAGGACTGGTATCCAACTGCTCGATTACCAACTCATTGTTTGAGTACAACACGGCGCAGACGGGTGGGGCGATCACAATCCAGAACATCGACACTGATTGCGTTCTGCACAACAACACATTCCACTCCAATCTGGCATCGATTGGAGGCGCGATCTACTTTGAATCGGACCGATACTCTCCAATCGATCCAACAAACAAATTCACAAGGAACTCGGCCACAATCTATGGTCCAGACGTGGCCTCTATGCTCTACGCCGCCAACGCCACCGTTGTCAGTGCCGTGTCAAACAGTGAGCCCATCCAGGTGGAGGTCATGGCATTCGATGGCTACGGCAATCTCTATGGACGTGACGTTGGCGAGGTCATCGTGGTGATCAGCTCGCCCAACACGCCATCATTCCGCAACACATCCTTCACAATGGGTAGCCTGTACGGCGGCCGCAGCGATTTCTACCTCAGCCAGCTCATTGGCCAGTCGGTCAACAGCAACTTCCTGGTGGAGATCGTCGTCGACACGGTGTCGACCACGCTCTCCATCACACTCCCGATGTGTAGCCCCTACCAGTACATCTCGGAGAACTCCACGCTGTGCCAGTTCTGCGATCTCACCAACCAGGTGTACTCAGTGTCGTTGGGTCAATGCGTCTATTGTGACAATGAGCAAAGACATCTGTCCAGTTGCTACAAGGACATCGTCGCGACACAGCCCAACTTCTGGATGTTTGACAATGATGTCAACTCAATACATCCATGCATTCCGGAAATATGTCTTGGTGACAACAATTGCATACCAGAGCACACTGGAATCCTTTGTGGACAATGCACCAGGTCACCAGGTTACAACAAATCAGGGTTATTCTGTTGTAGTAAGTACTCAATCAACCACACACTGGGACTATCCCATCCTCAATGACTAACACGCATTCATTCACAGGTTCCAACAGTGTACTCATACTTATATTCTTCATTGTATATATTGCCATGTTGTCTGCGGTACTGCTGTTCAGACCGACAATGGCCAACTCTTCATTCATTGGAAGTATAATCATATTCTTCCAAACAGCATCGATATTGTTGTTCCCTCAATCACATATATATGTGTTGCCACTGTTCCGTATGTCACTGGACTACATACCATCAGTGTGCTCAACGCCACACGTCAACTACTACGAGAAGGTGGCCATATCGATTGTATCGATGGTCATTGTGGTGATGGTGGCGTCGCCCTCACTGTTGCTGTCCAGGAAGCTGCGCACCGTCCGCCAGGCACAGATACAAGAGAGCCAGCCCATCGCTGGCAGCTTACTGCACGAGTCTCGCGCAATTGGCACCTATCTATGGAGCGCTATTCACTTGTTCTTTGGTCCGCTCGTGTTCAACTTGCTCTCGCTCAGCATGCCCTGCAAGGACGTGGGCGGCAACAAGTACCTCTTGGTGGACAACGACCTGTTGTGTGACAACACGTTTCAAACAGACACGCGCATTGCCTCGATCGCCATGCTGACACTCCTGCTCACAGTTGTGCCCGTGCTCTACGCTCTCAGCCACTACGGCCATCTGATCAGCTGTGTTGGTGAACGCCTGCCACGCCTGCGCAGCACAGCCATCCAGTATAAGAAGCGATGCAGATGGTGGGGCCTGCTACACATGGCCAAGATGACGAGCTACTGTGTTGTGACCTTGGGACTGCTCATGGTGCCAGACTACATGATCATTGGCCAACTCACTCTCGCCACAATATTCTCGACGCTACAGTATCTAGTGCGACCGTACCGCAGCAAAGAGATGAACGAGATTGAGAACATGTCCAACGTGATGGTGCTGATACTATTGGTCGTCTTTTCCAGTCAGAACACATTCACCAGCGTCCAACGCGGTGTGCTCCTCTCAGTACTTTCCGCTTTATTCTTGCTGGCGCCACTCATTCTCAAACTTTCAAAACACCTGACGAGTCGTTTTTGATCAAAGATCTGATCAAGGTGAAGACACACTCAAGATATTGCTCGGTTGATCAAAACTCAAGAACTGAACATAACTATCTCGGTCCTTGGTTCCAGGTCAACCACACTGAGGCCTCGATCCGACGCGATGACCTATGTTCTATTCTACACAAAGACCCTACACACACATACACACTCAAAGTAGTGATCATCTTCCGGTACTACTGGGCTGGGCTGGGCCACTAGTGCCCTGCACCAAGGGCACTTGACATATCAACTGCCTATTCTTGACATAACCGCGACCTGCTTACCTTTGCGAGAAGCCGCATCCATCTTCACATCAACCTTTCAAAGGACCAGTGAGTGACTCAGTCACTCCAACATGAGTTATAATTTTAACATATTCAAAACAAACATATAATATAATATAACAAAATGTATATCTCCTCAACTCTATTTATCTCCTTGTTTATTGTTGGTCTTTGTTTGACTCAGACTCAGGCCCAGGGTCCAGCCTCTCAAGTACTGGCGCTCACTGGAGATCCTACACAGATGCGAGTTAGTTGGTACTCTTTGAAAAAGCCAAAAGCTCCAGTTGTACAATACAGTCTCGAGGCATTCGAACCATCATCATCACTCCAGGATAATTTGGCCATCGCCTCTATTGAGCAGTACACAGAGGAGACTTGGAAGGGTTATTCAGTCACAGGTGTGATGGATCAATTAACACCAATGACCACATACTATTATTCGGTTGGTGATAAGGCTACCAACTTATGGAGCGACCTGGCCAACTTTACAACATCACCATCATTCTCCAATGATACTTTGGTACCATACACGTTTGCTATCTTTGGAGACATGGGAGTATGTACCGAAGAGGTCCAGACCGTCAACAACATCGTCAGTCGTATGGATCAACTAGCCTTTGCCGTCCACATTGGAGACATTGCCTATGCTGATCTCAACGGACTCGAGCCTCTCGTGTAAGTACTCTCCATCAATCATCAAATCGATCACTTTGGAACTATTCGAATCAATCACTAACTCCATCCAAACCCCACTTGCACAAACAGACTTGGCAATCAGACTGTTTGGAACATATTCCTGGAGCAGATTAGACCAATCTCATCGCATATTCCATACATGACTGCCATTGGAAACCATGATATATTGAACTTAGAGAGTGGAATCTATCGCAAGACATTCAACATGCCAAACTCAAACCAGGGCGTCGACACATGGTACTCCTACGATTACATGGGCGTTCACTTTGTTGTTGTCTCCACCGAGCACACTTACCTTGCCAACTCAACACAGCATGCATGGTTGGAGAATGAGCTGAGGACCTACCGTGCTGCCAATCCCGATGGATGGTTGATCATGTACGCTCATCGCCCAGTCTACTGCAGTGCTCACTTCCCATGGTGTGAGGAGGACCCAATGCGCTACATCTACATTGACAGCGTGGAGTACCTGTACCAGCAGTACAACGTCGATGTCTACATCTCTGGCCACTCCCATGTCTATGAGCGCACACTGCCCGTGTACAAGGGTGAGGTGCGTGGCACATACGACGCACCCCTGGCCCCAGTCCACTTGGTCGTCGGTACTGGTGGCAACCAAGAGGGCATCCTGCATCGCTGGCAGGATCAGCCAGTCTGGTCGTCAGGTGTTCGTCTCCTCGAGGCAGGCTTTGGACTCATGTCCGTGATCAACTCCACCAACCTCCACTGGCAATTCATTGACGATGCTACCAACACTGTGACAGATGACATCATCCTAACCAAAGGATACTTCAACTAAAGTGACGCGTCGTCCGTCGACTCTTTTATCTTGTATCTCTTGCATGTGCACGAGTATGTGTGTTGTCGATTCGCTCAGGCTATTCTAGTCTCGCTTCGTCCAACCAAGTCCAGCCAAGCCCTTCTTGATCAAGTCTCCAAAAGTGGATGATTGTGATTGTGATTGCGACTGTGACGATTGTAATGATGGGATGAGCCAAGGTGATTGATCGGCAAGATCATCGACGTAGGATACTTTGGTGAGCGTGAGTGGAAATGGAGGTGCTGTGGCAGGTGCCTTCTGTCGGTCCTGCGCCTTGATTAGATCTCGCAGTTGATCCAATGTCATCTCATGTGATCCTATCCTCTCCAATACCGACACCATTATCCTAACTTGATTGTGAAGAAATGCTCTTGCCTTGATCTCCAATCCAAGTATCTTTACATCCCTGCTTGCCATGTTGATTGTTAGTGCATGCTCGCACCACTGATCGTGTGTCCACACACTTACTTGGGAGGGTTGTTGTATCGCCAGACGTCGGGCACAGGCAGGTCGAGCACTTTGAAGCTTGAGATGGTGCGCTCAGGATTGTTCGCTTGACACTTGGCACTTCGAAAGCTGTTGAAGTTGTGTCTGCCCGTGAGTATGTCGGCGCCTTGTCGCATGAGGTCGACATCCAATGTCTTCTGAATTGCCCAGACTCTATCTTTTAGTTCGAACGGTAGTTGATTGCGATGTAGGCCACTGGTCATCCTATACAGATATGTTCGCGACTTGGCACTGAAGCGACTATGAAACGTATTGTCAACGATCGTCGTTGATATCACTCTCAAGGGATACTCTTGAAAGTTCTGATTGAGTGCCATTGTCATCACATCTGGGTCCATCAAAGGTATCTATTCGCGAATAGTTGGTGTTAGTTGTCGCAAATGATTGAATGAATGAACGAATGAATGAATTAGGTACCTCTTCACCTGTCTTTGATATCCTCTTGTCAATGTCAAAGTGTGCGACTTGGTTTAATGCACTAACACCAGAGTCTGTACGACTGGATCCAACTACTCTTACTGGCGAGCGAATGAACACTTCTAGTGACTCTTCCAACACCTGTTGTACAGGCTTCTTCTTGCACTCATACGCAGTCTTTTGCCATCCAGAGAATGCTGATCCAACATACTCGCATACAATCTTATATCTTGTCATGTCTTGTCTGTCTGTCTGTATCTCTGTGTTCAAGTTTGAATTGACTTTTGAATGCATGTTCGGCGCTTGTCGGCAAAAGAATGTGTTTCCCCGTGGTCTGTTGCCACATGCTGGCGACAAGTCTAGAAACGACTCAACTAGGTCTAGTTCATCATCACTTATTTATTGATTAAAAATGGTGTCTGTTTGATAACTCTGATGAACCATATCTCAATATTCTTGGTACCGGTTACAAGAAGTTTGAAGTCACTGTTGCCTGGTTGGACAGTGTTCTTGAAGACGGCATCAGTGATACTGAATGATGCTGTGGTCAAGTTCTTGGTAAGACCAGCTTGTACAACAGGATCGGTTACCGTAAGCACTCCAGCAACATTGATATATTGCAAAGCCCAAGTGGTGTCCTGATTGTCAAGGTATGTGACCTTGATAGTGACTGGGGTAGCAGCCTGGTTGGCGGGCGACACAAACTCATCATCCAAGTAGAACACAATGGCATTGTTTCCACTTGTCAAGTTTGTTGCTCTGCCCTCATAGGCAATACCATTTGTTGGGTCCAATATCTTGCTGTACTTTGTCGTTCCCTTGACTGTGACGGCACCTGGAGCGACATCCCTCTGAGTCAAGTAGCGCTCATAGTTGTTCACGTAGGGCATGCCCTTCCATGTCAATGGGTAGCTGTTTCCAGACCAGAATGTATCCTGTGCACTACGTAGCTGTGCCCATGCATCGTATGCCTGGCTGGCACTCTTGCCAATCTCCAAGCGCACCCAGTTCCAATGTGCGGCGTACTTGGCAATGTAGCTGTCGGTGGCAACAACGTACAACCAGTTGACACCCATCTGGATGGCCTTGAGGTTGGACATCTTGACGGCGTAGAATAGGTTGGCAGCTGACACCTTGAATCCACAAGCATTGTAGCATTCATTCTCCGTGGCAATCACTCTCTTGGGGTTCTGTTGAAGTGGCCAAGACTTGTTCAACACAAGATATCCATTTGGATCAATTGTATATCCATATGCTGGTATCTGGGACAAATGGAAGTTTGACAACTCAGTGATACCAGTTCTAATTCCCATTCCCTTCTGGACAGCATCACGTGCCAAGAAGTTCTTTGCTTGAGGCCATTGATCAACATCAAACTATTTTTGGTTGGGTGTAAGTGAGTGGAATGGTTCCAGAATTGAGTGATTGAGTGATACATACTGGGAAGTCCTCTCCAGTGTAGACCAACTTGTAAGCATAGTCATCAGATGGATCAGTGTTCTCTCCATTGAAGATGTTTACAAGGTCTTGCATTGCTTGTTGGAACCATGTGTTGAATTCCTGTTTGATTGATTGAGTGAGTGAGTGTGGAACATCAATACATGATTGATCAATCTTACGGTGTAGGTATATCCAGTCTTTGTTGAGAAGTTGCCAATGATGTCAAAGTCAAACTCACACCAATTGAAAGCACCTGGAACATAAATCTTGTTTGATTGATATGATGTTAGTTATTACATCATCCTTGTTCTTGGATGATTCAATCAGAGCTACTTACAAACTTCAATCTGGGATCAGCTCTCATGTTGTTGGTAATGAATAGCTAATGAATGAAAGGACGAGTGATTGTTAGAGGATGGGCAAAGGTCTCGATGGAAAGAATCCACATACATATCTGTATAGTTGCTTGAGTTGACCCCAAACGCATGGGTTCCAAATTGGAAGATGTCCCTCTCCATCATAGTCAACACCAATCACACCAACATTGCAGTAGGATTGAATCCAAGTTGGAGCCCACAGTGCACCACTTGCCCAGATACGCATCCAGAATGGTTTGGTCGTTGAGTTTTGTTCGGCAAACGAGTCAAGTACAAGGTCTTTGACTTGTCCTGGGATGTTGGTAGCATAGACACCTTGCGATGGATTGACTTGACGCCAGGCAATATCAAACACAGAAACATTAATGTTGAGCTTTGTAGTGGCCGACTCTGAGAAGAAACCAGAGTTTGGATATTGAGTTACCCATGAAGGTACCGACCAGTCCTCGCCAATCGATACCGAAGGTGTGGCACCCGATGAGCATACACCAGCCATCACAACAACAGTGATGGCGAATGCCAATAAATATTTTAAATACATCATTGTATATATATCTTTAAGTTTGATTGAATGATTGAATGAGATAGTACGCGTACAAGTGTATTATAAATATTGTCGTGACGAGGAGGTCTCAGTCGACTGAGACCCAATGCACTTGATTGTGGATCAGCTGATGGGAGTAAATGATGCGGAGTGTGGGTTGGGAGAATTGCGGGGGAAGGGGCTGGAAAGGGTTATCCGGTGGCGCCCATTGGTTGTGTCGTTGAGAACGCACCAACATCAATGTTGTGATTGAACATATATATGAGTTACATTGATCTAAAATGGAATGGTGCTAATGTGATTCAGAAGCATCATCTTGACAAAGATATTTATTTATTTGAAAATGAAGTCACGAACTCATTCGTCGACCGATTGATTCGACCTCAACCGGCGTGGGTCAACCCCGACCAGGTAGTCCGTCCATGAGGGTAGGGTGGGGGGAGTTGATGATTGATCGATGTAATGTACCAAACAAATACACAACTCTGTCCACGACTGATGCAATGAATTATTGAATGAATGAATAAGTTAAGAACAACCAATGATTGAATGGTACCAAATATTGTTTAGTTATAAATATATAAATGGGCTGGAGATTGAGGGTGCTATGCGTATGTATATAAGGTTGAAGTGAGTGAGTTTGTCTGACATCACATCAATCAAACAATCAGACTATCATGCTTGATGAGGTTGTGCTTCCAGGTCTTCCAAGACAGGTAGACTTGCTCCGGCAATTTGAGACGAGTCGGCACCACATGGCGATAGCATGATGTCCAATGTCTTGGCCAGGTCCAGATGTAGATGACATTCTGCCAAGGGGTCAGGAGATGATGATGATGAGTGTTGTTTGGTGGCCTCCTCTAGTAATAGCTCCAATTGGTCAATATATTGTTCATTGTCGTCATTTTCGCCAACTACGCTGCCTCTGCCAACACTACTGCTTCCAAGGCTTATTCCATTCTCATCGCAATATGGTTGAGTGATGTTCTCGAGCATTTGGAACAAAAGTTCGACCGAGTGCGGAGAATCTATACTGTCCACGTCAGACTCGGATGAACAGTCGACGGTCGCCCCATCCAACATCTCTATTAGTTCTTCCAGTTTCTCATTTGATTGATGACGTTCCTTCTTCTCTCCATCCAGTTTGTTCGTATAATGTACAGGTATATCTTCTTCTTGTTGTTGTTGTTGATGTTGTTGCAGCGCCACTATCCTGTCTTGCTCCTCGGTCAACAGTTCACCAACACCATCGTAGGGGTCGTCCTCAATGTATGGTTGTTCGGTTAAAAGCTCTCCAACTCCATCATACAAGTCATTGAGTATGAATGGTATCTCGGTCAGCAGCTCGCCGACACCATCATAGGGGTCGTCGTCTTGTGCATCAACTTTGGCCAAAGCCAAGGTGTCATCTTGGGTCTTGGATATTGCTTGTTGATGTTCCGGAACATAATTAAAGATTATCTCTTGTTGATCAATCATTTCTAGTTGGGCGATCAGTTCATCTCTGGCGGTGGCCTCGGCAGTGTTGGCCATGGCGGCCTCTTCCACGGCGGCGACGACGGCGGTCGTTTCCACCAGCCGGCTGGCAGTCTCCTCCATCTCGTTGTTGATGCTCTCGATGACCTCCTCTTCGACCTCCTCCCCATCGGGGTCCAGGTAGATGACCGGTTTCATCATCTCCATTGTCAGTGGCTCTCTTGTTATTGGACAAGTGTCGTGGTTGGACAGCCACTTCTCGATCTTTTCCTTCTCAAAGAAGTGGCCATATGGAGAGTACATGGGTTTGTTCAACTTGTGCATTCCGATTGGGAAGTATATCTTATCGCCTGGCTCCTCCTCTTCATAATCCTCTTCATTGAAACGTTTAATTATATCGTCAAAGTTGTTCTCGTACTCCTCTTCTTCTTGTTCCTGTTGGTCGCCGCCACCCTGTATTGATGTATCTTCATTCTCCACTTCCTCGTCAACCTGACCAACAACTATATTCTCTTCTTCCATCATCATCTTTATAAATATATATATATATGTATAGTCTATAACAAACAAACTCTCTAAGTCTTAACAACTACTTGATTCAATATAAGTTGACGCGTGTCTACTAGTGTCGTGTATGTCTGTATGTCTGTATGTCTGTACATCCATCCATCAATCCATCCATCACCTATCCATTACATTCTTCTCTCCCATCAATGACAGAGGCAATGGGGACGTGTTGTGTGTATGTCCATCCATCCCAACCATTCATTCATCGTCGCTATTGTTGTTGTGACCAACCAGACATTGAATATAGATGCTGTTGGCTGCTACTACTACTACTACCGCACTATCCTATCCACAGCAACACACCTTTGGCATCAGCATCATCTTATAAGAAGTAATGTATCAATTTAAATTATCACTATGTTTCATAGTGATACGAAGAGAGTGAGTGAGTGAGAGTGAAAGTGGTAGGTGTGAGTGTTGTTGGTGTTACAATTATAGAACTTCCTTCCACCTCTTCACTTCTAACAAATACATTATCCATTACCACCCCCTTACTACAGTCACACAACCAACACCAACACCAACACCAACGATGTCCTAAGATATTGGTCAATTGATGGACATAAGTTAGTGAGTAGTAGTAGTAGTTATTATTATCATAGTCCACAAACCAACTACACAATGTTTAAAAGCTTGTTATGTTAATATCACTAAGAATAGACTCTAGAGTGAGTGTATATTGACTACTATAGTAATAGATTGATTGAATGACTGATTGATTGATTTAAGTTACTGATCAAATAAAGTATGTTGTGTATTGTGTATTGTGTTGTTGTCATCATACTTAAATAAATGACTTATTATTATTATCCTTGTTGTTGTTACAACGGTGATAAACAACTTTAAAGTATAGACCTGCCTTTGACTTGTTGAAGTACGTCATAACTTCTTTCTCTCCTTTATTTCTGTGCTTCTCCAACAGCTCATTAATTAAGCAATACAACATAATTAAACGCCACGACACTCTGATGATGTATTACCAAATCAGGATGAATTTGATAAATTGCTTATCAACACGTAATGTTGAAGTTACCCTTGTCCTCACACATATCCTTTATTCATTCAAACGACCCTAATTATAAATAGCATCATAGGAAGGAGAAGACTATCCACACAAATACAATCAATCAATCAGTCAAACGATCATCATAAACATACATAAACAACATAATATAATATAACAATGTCTTCATCACCAATTCAAACAAACTTTGATACGATCAGAGCCGCAAAGGTTGTGGCCTTGGCCGCAACAGGAGCATTCGCTGCTACTGCATGGGCTATTCACTTTAGAGAGGTGCCAAAGTTGGTGACCTCTCTGACAGACTCTTCAAAGAAGGCCTTCTTGGATAGCTTTGTAAAGATGTACAGCACCTACAAGCCACCACAAGTGTCAATGCTTGCCATTGCCACTGTAGCCTCTGCATACGTAGCCTCCAAGGACAGACAATGGCTGCCAGTCACCCTGTTAGCCGCATTGCCAGGCCTATACACCGTTATCTTCATGGAGCCCAGTATCAACAAGCCACTCTATACCATGCAGCAGAATGCTCAACAGATCGAAGAAGTTGACTCCAAGAAACTAGGCAAAATGATGCAACAATGGAAGATAAGACATCTCACACGTACAGTGATCTCCACTGCCACCATTGGAGTAATCCTACTTCTTAAGCCATTCGTATCAAAGTAACAGAACTACTTGTTATTCCATCATATTAATGAATATAATTATATTTGTATATACCTTCAACTTGTCTAACTTTAATCATCTATCTAGATTGTTGTGTGAGGGTATGTCTTGCGAGGGTATGTTTCCATTCGTTTTCTTGTTCTCAAAGTCGAACGAAAGTGCTGGTCCCCTTCACTTGTCAATGCAAATGTAACATTGTTTGATCATATAATATATAGATACATACAAGATAATAAGAAACAAACAAAGACATGCCTAGATACCTTTGTTTGTTTGTACAACAATACCCTACTTTTAGGTTCAGGGAGTTGATGTCCGTGGCAGAGATGTTCGGAATCCCAGTGGAATACGATGTGACAAAGGTGTTTGAAGTAGAGTCCGAAGACACTGGTATATCTGTATGTTATGTTAATGATGATATGTTGTGTAACATTGTAATTTACATGTCAATCATTCAATAATAGACTCCATTCTTCTATGTAAATATACCATCGGATGAGGATGTAAAGAGAATATGCAGCAGGGCAGTGTTGGTAAAGGCATTCTATCGTGTATGGGCAGAGTCACCAACCTATGATGGCATACTCAACGACCTAACGACAAACTATGACAACGAGTTGCTGGTATGTACATTGACCTTGTACTTGAGGACCATCATACTTACCATCGACGCGACATTAGACAAACTTCCACAAGGATAAGGAGTGGAAGATTAGATTCGATGCATTTGGAAGACGATATACAAAGGAGGAGCAGCTGGAGAGGATACACAAGTTGAAGGTCACAGCACTGTGGGCGAATGGAAAGGTGTCGATGAAGCCAAGTGGAAACGCAGAGTACGTGCTGTGGGGACTGATCGAGAACAATGGAGTGTCGATGGATCTCAATCGTCCACCTCTCATGATATACTTTGGCATTCAAATTGCCGAGGGTAATCGCGATGCCATCACCAAGTTCAATCTGCAGGAGCGCAAGTATCTTGGCACCACTTCCATGGATCCAGAGCTATCGTTGGTCAGTGCAAACATGGGCCATGTGCGTCCTGGCTCCTTTGTCCTCGACCCATTCGTCGGAACAGGCAGTTTCATCCTGATCAGTTCACACTTTGGCGCACAAACCCTTGGATGTGACATTGACATTGGTGCAATGAGAAAGACAAGTATGTTTGTTGGCACCAACAACAACATCATTATGGAACAATGATGGCCATTTGACTGACGCATACATTACATTGTTCCATCAATTATTATAGAGGCATGCAACTTGGAGACCAACTTTGAACAACTTGGACTGCTGCATCAACTCCAAGGAATGGTGTTGTGTGATAACTCGATACCACCTTGGAGGGAGGTACCAATCATTGATGCCATCATCACCGATCGTATGTCATTAATGTCCATATTCGTGCACCAATCAATCATTCACATTGTTAACAATAATCCCTCCAATCAATCAAATAGCACCCTATGGAATTAGAGCTGGAGCAAAGCGTATTGGACCAAACAAGAATAGACGACACAAGGCACCTCCAGAGGGAATGTAAGTTGTCATGTCGATACGGACTTGGACTTGAACTGCCAACCAGCCGTACTAACTTCTTATTTATTAGTAAATGGTCATTTATGCCACAATCAACAGATTACAAGGTACCAGATGTGATGGCTGACCTATTGGAGCTTGCAGCAAAGATGTTGGTAATTGGTGGCAAGTTGGTCTATTGGCTTCCAACAACTCCAGAGTATGTATTTCATTATTGTTGTTCATGATTGGATACTTACCTGACCCTTCTCATTATTTAGATTCAAGGAGACTGATTTGCCCAAGCATCCATGTTTGAAGATGATTTCCAACTGCTTGCAAATACTTACTATGCGATGGGGAAGAAGACTGATAACAATGGAGAAGGTGTTGGACTTTGATCCAATCGCACACGACAAGTCAAAGTTGACCGTAAGTGTAAAGAAGATGGATGTCGACATCCAATCACAATCAATCAACTGACCTCAACTTCACACGAACGAATAGAAATTCGACTTGGGACAGATTGAACCTCAACATTGTGACTTGAGGGACAAGGTGTTTAGGAAGGGTGATCACACACAGGAGAAGTCAAAGAGGCAGGTGAAGAAGGAGATGAAGAAAGATTCAATCAAGTCCTATCACAAGGAAGACGACACATCTACTGACAATAACGAAGAAGAGTTGCAAACTACCAACTCAACAACCTCGACTACATCGACCACCACAACGACAACAGAGTCCTTTGATTCGACGCCGGAAATCAACGAACAATAACCTAAAGACCACATATATGTTTGATTGGACAAACAATCAAGCCCCAACAACGCATTGGAAAAACAGTGTTCCTTATTTATTATTTATTTATAACTTACCACATTTGTTACAAAAAAGGAAATAATTAGAAGTCCTCCTGTCTTCCCAGGTGGAACCTTGAGTGGTTGTATTTTATTGTGTTGTTGTGCTCACAACCATGTAGTCGAGATTTATTTGTATTCAAAGTGGTGGGTCAATCCAAACTTAATGTGTTAGTACTGTAGGGCTTGTGGAAGTGGAGTTGTTCAACCCCAATAACTTCAATCAGAGTTACAATTACAATCTAATATAATGAATGCTCTAATTCATTCATCCATAAGTTGAAGCAATATTATAATATAAGTATTTATTGATTATCTACATAATAACTCAATGAAGATGAAGATGAATAATAATAATACTTCCAATGACAATGATAATTTCAAAATTGAAATTCATCGATCACCATCAGACTATAATGAATCCATAGTTCCTGATATTGACAATAATTTATCAAGTAGTAGTGGTAGTAATAGTAGTAATATTAGTAATAATAGTAATAATAGTAATAGTGATAATATTGATAATAATAATTTGTCAACTTCAACAATACCATTACATGTTACACTTGGAGGTATAAAGGTCGAGGATCCAAATGGAAATATATTACCTTTTGTTAGTTTATGGGAGAATAGAAGATGTGTTGTAGTTGTATTTAGAAGATTCGGTTGCTTTGTTTGTCGACTACAAGCATTGGATGTATCATGTCTGAAACCTCAACTTGATAAGTTGGGTATTAGTCTAATAGGTATTGGATTCGATGCTGAAGGAATGAAAGATGTAAGTTCCATCTCTCAATCAATCACTTCCTTCACTGATTACTCACTCAATTTTACTTTTATTTGATAGTTTATCGATGGTAACTACTTCTCTGGCGAGTTGTTCTTGGATAGGAACAAGTCATTGTATAGGACTCTGAGGCTCAAGAAGATGGGCCTGAAAGCAACGATCAATGGTGTTGCAAAGACTCACTTTAAGATTTATAGGATATTGAGGAAGGAGATACCTCATGATTATAAAGGTGATGGATGGCAACTGGGTGGATACTATGTAATGGGTCCACAGCCCCAAGGAATGCACTATGAAGCTAGACAACGAACCTTTGCCGATACATTCGATATGAACATGTTACTTAAGGCTTGTAATCAACCTTATCCAGAGATACTGCCACCTCACTTGGTATCAAAATCTACAGCCACTGATGACGAGGAGTCTAAACATCAAACTGGTCTGGATGAGAACATTACACTTCCAAAGCCACTTACACTATCGAGGAATACTTCTCTTCACTTTGGACTACCAATGACCTCTTCCCCTATTGATTCAATTGCCAGTACTAAGACCAATTCAAATCATTCATCGCCAAAGTTGATATCACCAAGTCGCTTGAGTGAATCACCAAGGTTGGCACAACAAACAATCATCACTCCACTCCATTTGGACCCAGTAGCATCAATCAACACAGTAACGTCAACATCCAAAGCCACTACCTTTGGTCAAATGTCCAAACATCAATCAAGGCGACCATACGGCGGCAAGCTCACAACATTGAAGCCAGCTGCTACAGTACCATATTGATTGACTTATTGATTGAATAAAGTGTACACTACGAGAGTAGCTATCCTCTCGACCTAATTAATCTGTTTGATAAAGTGTAAATGTGATCTTGTTATAAAGTGTATTTGGATATCATCGTCATCACAACGTTTAGATATCCTTGAGTGATTGCCAGACAGCACTGTTGCACTTGAATCCAGAGCCAAATGCCAACTGCCAGACCTTCTCTCCACTCTTGACGTGGTGCTGCTTCTCAATAAAGTTGAGCTCGTACCAAATGGACGAGGAACTGGTGTTTCCGTAACGGTAGAGGGTGGCGCGCGATGGCTCCACGTCGTACTCGGACAGGTTGAAGTTCTGCTCCAGTCCATCAATGACGGCACGACCACCGGCATGGATACAGAAGTGATCAAAGGCCTTCTTGAAGTTGGGCACGTAGGGCTGGATCTTCTTGGACGACAGCTTGCGGTAGCACAGATGCAGGAAGAACTTGATCTGCTCGCTCATTGGCAGCACCATTGGGCCAAGGATTGTAAGGTTGGTCTTGAGGGCCTCACCGACGACGGCCATCAGGTCGCGACCGGTGGCCAAACGCACACCCTTGTTGCCCTGGCAGTCCTCGGTTTGGTAGACGGCGTTGTAGGCAGTGTCGTGAGCCTTGGTGACACGGACCGAGGCGAGCAGCTTGTACTTGCCAGTCCAGTAGTACTTTGACTTGTTGGACAGCATGATGGCAGCGCCACCCATACGGAACAGTGTGTTGGTCAGGAGCATAGCCTTCTCATTGCCGCGATACCAGTTCTGAGTGATGTTCTCTGTTGAGAGTACCACTGCAATGGCATTCTTGTGAACCTGGAGCAATTGCTTGGCCAGGTCAATCGAGACAACACTTGCAGAGCATCCCATACCTGAAAGGTTGTAGCTTAGAATATCATGTCTCATCTTGTACTTGTTAATCATCTATAAAGTTGAAGTTGAGTTAGTGATAGGTGTTACATCGTGATGAGTTGATTGAATGAATGAACATACCATTGCAGCTAGCGATGGGGTTGGATTGAATAGACTGCAATTGACGATGAGGATGTCGATGTCTTGTGGTCTAATCTTGGTCTTGGCGAAGAGTTCGTCGAGACAGCCAGAGAGAACCATGTCGGACTCTTGACGAGCGGACTCCATGCTAGTGTCGGGCACAGGCTTGGTGATTCCGGGTGGGAAATAGGTGTCGTTTCCGAGACCAGTACGATAGAGGAGCTTCTTCTGGAACTCGATCGAGTCCTTGTCGAACCAGCCGACGTGCTCAGTGTGCTTGACAAAGAACTCGTGAGTGATCTTGTACTTGTCGTCTGGCTGGAAGACAGAGAAGTCGACGAGGTAGACGGGCTTGCGACGCTTGGACATCAGTACCGAGACGACCATGATAATGAGCAGCAATGAGCCAAAGGCGATGGACAGCGCCACGTAGATGGTGGTGGGCTCCTGGTTGATGAACTCGTGGATAAGCATGTCCTGGAACTTGTTGAACACGTCCAGGAACAGCTCGCTCCTGTTGTACACGTAGGCAATGTTGACGACGATCACAGGGATCAACAAAACGATGAAACTTATGAATGAGTTGGTCTTCCATGCCGAGTAACCAGTCTTGACCTCTGTCAAGTTTGCCGCTCTATCTGGGTAGTAATAGGACTTGACCTCCTCTACAGGTGGAGCCGGCTTCTTCTGCTCCTGCTGCTGTTGTTGCTGCTGTTGTTCCATTTTTTGAAACTAAATATCTAAACACAACTTGTAATATATTAATGTAATAGTATAAGTATATGTATGTTGTGTGTGTGTATGTTTGAAATGATAATGAATGAATGGGGGTTGGTGTTGATTGTCAAGTTGATTCGCCGACCCATCTGCATACGTGGACTAACCTATATGCATGGGACAATGCCCACTTTTTTATCACAACTCAAGGTGAATCTTAAGTTCTAGAACTTAAGCGCCACACTGTGCCTTCTTTGGGTCAAAAGAGGGTTAAAGCTCAACTTTTTAAATTAAATTAAAATTCGACCCCTCTCACCTTGTTCAATTTCTGTTTGATCACCTGATTTGCGATGTCCATGTCTCCTGTCTATTGTCGCCATTATGATCATGTGACAAAATATAAGGGCAGGGGTAGGGTAAGTAATGGTAGCCCAATGTTTGAAATAGACATACATCATCATCATAGACTGCATTCATTCATTCATTCAATCTCTCTCTTTGGTCGAAACGTTGGTTGCTTGGATCTTGGTATTCTTTCTTGTTCATTCACACACACTCTCACAAATACAACAATATCTGGCTTTGGTGTTGACAACAAGCAACAACAAACACACCCACCTTTTGTGATGTTGGTCCCACTTACCAAACTTGGTGGGGCGTCTTGCTTCCAATATCCACTCACTCCTAAACAAGGATGATGCATAAGACTGAGTGATGTTCATTCATATCTTAATTAATACATTCATATTAGTATTATATCATTCAACAAAGAAACAAATATTCTAACAATGTCTAATGCAAAGATTGAATTCTATGGTTGTGGATCACCAAATGTTGTGAAGGTGAGTAGTTCAATACATTCATCATGCTTTCATTGAGAGAATAATGATGGTGACTTACCTTAACATATACTTTGACGACAGGTACATCTATTTTTCAAAGCCCTTGGAGTACCTTTCAATTACCATGAGGTAAAGTGGAGAGATGGAGAGCAGTACAAACCAGAGTTTGTAAAGATCAATCCAAACTCAAAGTTGCCGGCAATTGTTGACCATGATGTTGCCGGTGGACCAATCACCGTGTTTGAAAGTGGCAACATTCTATTGTACTTGGCAAACAAGTATGGCAAGTTCATCCCAAACGTCCAGACTGATTTGCAAGGTCACACCGAGGTGATGAACTGGTTGTTCTGGCAGATGGCCAACCTCGGTCCAATCTTTGGCAACTGGTACCACTTCTCTGTGTACGCGCCTGAGAAGTACCAGTACTCAATCACCAGGTTCACCAACGAGCTGTCTCGTCTGTTCCATGTGCTCAATCGCACATTAGAGACACGCCACTTTGTAGCAGGCAACGAGTACACCATTGCTGACATGGCTATCTTCCCATGGGCTAGAATCTACAACTTTGTTCCAGGTTGCACCAAGGAGGAATTCCCCAACCTCGATGCCTACATCACTCGCATCAAACAGATAAAGTCTGTCCAAGAGTTTGAGGCGTACGAGGCCGAGCAGAATGCCAAGAACCCTCGTACAGAGCCAACTGAGGAGCAACGCAAGAACATGTTTGGTGTTGATGGCAGGAACACAAAGTAGACTCTAAGTGGAGGTTCTTCCTCCTTATTCAAGATCAAATCAACTATATGGAGTGTTGTTGCGATCTTCAACGATGTTCCATTGACCTTTGTAAATACATATGACTTCTTCGGCTTCATTCCTCTAACCACGAGGTGTGCTTGCGGAATGCAGTCGATCGTTCGGAAATCAATTTTGAAGATCATGATCAACTGAAAAACCTTCATCAGTTCCATCTATTCTGGAACCCACGGTTACAACTTTGCCAAAGAGTTTGTCAAAGGACATCCCTTGACAGATGTCATCTAATTACCCTGAGTGTAGAGTAGGTAGTCTATTATTATTTAAAGGTTGACGTCAGTGATCTTCAATCATCAAATCAACAAATCAACAAATCAATCAATCAATCAAATCAACTAAATAATACAAGTTAAATCCAATAACTAATACTTACATATCTCCAAACAATGTCCACTCCAACTCTATTCTATGTATGTTTCTCCTACACAATCATTTGATTGATTGCCAGTGATTCTAACAATAATCCACTCATAGTTTGATGGCCGCGCTCGTGGTGAGGTCTCCAGACTCCTCTTTGCCTACTCTGGTAACAAGTATACCGATTCTCGTAATCCATTCCCATTGCAGGATGAGTTGATCGAGAAGTCAACTTTTGGAAAGCTTCCATATTATGAGGATGAGAATGTCCACCTTGCTCAGTCTGTGGCCATTGAGTTTTATCTTGCCGATCATCTCGGTCTGACCGGCTCCAACACCATAGAGAAGGCCCAGATCCTCCAATACACTTTGTTGCCAGGTGACCTGTATGTACCATACTTTGCCGCATTCTTGGCCAACGACGAGCCTGCTTTGAAGACCTTTGCCAGTGAGACCTCACCCAAGGTATTCAAGAAGTTGGAGGCTCTTCTCATTAAGGCAGGTGGCTCATATCTTGTCAATAACAAGTTCAGCTGGGCAGACATTAGCATCTTCAACTTGTTGGACTTCTTCCATCAGCAACCAGGTAACCTTGTTGAGGTACTCCAGCCATTCCCAACATTGCTCGCCTACCACAAGAAGATTGGATCAATTCCACAGATTGCTGAGTACCTTAAGAACAGAGCCACAACGGTCTTCTAATGATGATGGACATATCTAAATAAACATTGTAGTATCCTATCTATCTTATTATTATTTGTTATATCTTTAGAACTTGAATATATGAATTAATGAATGAATGAAAGAATGAATGGATGGTGCACAATGAAGAGGGTGTGAGTTAGACAAGTGATTGAGATTGCTTTATTGGGCATGATAGATATAGAGCTAGAGATAACAGATAGAGAGATATATAATACATACAAGGTGTAGTAATGTCAACACTCTATAAATCATTATTGAAGGATGGAATAGCATTGATTGGTACAGATCAACATAACATAGTGGACTATGAGAATTGCATGACGGCTGATGCATTGCGATTTGTAGCAGAGTTACATAGACGCTTTGACAATGAACGTCTAAACCTACTTAATCAACGTATCAAACGACAAGCTGCATTCGTAGAGAATGGATACAATCTTGCTCCACCAGACGACACTACACACATCAGGGAGGACAAGACTTGGAGGGTGGCGCAAATACCTCAAGTGCTACAGGATCGCAGCGCAGACATTGTCTGTCTGAACGTCACATCACTTGAAGATCTGGAGGCATGCATGATGTCTGGAGCAACGGGCGTGCAGGTGGACTTTGATGATGGCTTCCAATGTGGCTGGTCAAACGTGAACAAAGGATTGAAGAACATCAACACAGTCATTGGAAAGCATCTCCACAACAAGGACATTGCGCTGCTACTGATGCGGCCAAGGTCTCTTAACCTGTCCGAGTACCATATGCTGGTCGATGGAGAGCCTGTTGCTGGCGCATTGTTCGACTTTGGCATCCACATGTATCACAATGGAAGAGTGTTGCTCGATGCTGGACGCGGACCATTCTTCTACATCCCCAAGCTCGAGGGTCGCTACGAGGCACTGTGGTGGAACCGAGTGTTGTCATTCAGTGAGCAGCATCTCGGAATAAGCCATGGTGCCACCAAGGTAATAGTACTCATTGAGAACATCCAGGCGGCGTTTGAGATGCCCGAGATGTTATACTACCTCAAGGACTATGCAGTGGCGCTCAACACTGGTCGATGGGACTACATATTCTCTGTGGTCAAGGCATTCTCTGGCAGTAGTGATCATGTGTTCCCCGAGAGAAGTCAGTTGGGTCTTGATCAAGACTTCCTTCAAGGTTATTATAGGTTGTTGGTCAACACTTGCCACGAACTTGGAGCATTGGCCACAGGTGGCATGTCGCCTCAATTCCCATTAAGTGGCGGGATGTCTACCTCTTTGACAGACATCGAGAAAGAGCAAGTCTTTAAAGGAAAGTCATTCGAGGCTGGAATGGGTTTTGATGGCGCGCTGGTTGCTCATCCATCCGCTGTTCAATCATGTAAGGATGCGTTTAAGAGTATAGTCATGCCATCATCAACATCCCCAAGTACGTATTACAAGATGATACTCACATGTCCAAAGGGAGAGATCACAGACAAAGACGTCCGAGCATCGATAGAAGTATTCTTCAAGTACATACACAGTTGGTTCGCTCTGGAACAAGGTGCACTTCCACTCAATGGCATTGTGGAGGACTTGGCCACTGCAGAGATCAACAGAGCATTGCTTTGGAAATGGATACGCTTCCACACCAAGACAAAGGAGGGCCACACCATCAGTTTCAAACTAGTGGTCGACACTATCAAAGAGCTGATGGATCAGGGTCATATGATGAATCCCGTTGACAAGGTGGACCTGTTCCGAATCATCAGTGTCCTTCTTTATTCCCATTCGTTTGTCGACTTTATGACAACGGTCATGTATCCATTTGTAACAACAATCAGTTTCGACTCGCCAAAGCTGTGAATGATCGATCCAATATAAACAATGACAGTTGCTCGTGTTCCTGTCCTATATATGTACGTTGTGCTTGCTTGCTCGCTCGCTCGCCTCCCAATATTGTCTATTTGTATCCAACAAGTTCACCTTGATAGGGGAAATCTATTGCCTCATCAATGTCCTCGCGAGGCATGTACCATTCGAGGAAGCGGAACAACAGGTTGTCAAAGGCCACGACCATGCAGTTCAGTTTGCCAGCCCATAGTCCACATCCAACGAATCGACGCAGACGCTCGATGAATGGAACCTTGGGTGCCAGTGAGATGACCTCGTAGACGGCCTCGGTTCTGCGCGCCACGTCATTCCAGTCATACATCGAACGAACCTCCTCATGAGTCTCCAACAGCATTGGTTTGAGGTTGAGGATGGCGTGTGTCAGTTTCTCTTCGAGATCCTCGGACTTGGGCTGCGCCAGTGAGATCATGTGGGGCGGCAGCACCTCGGGAACACCACCGACCTTTGTGCTGACGACGTAGAGGCCGCAGCTGGCCGCCTCGACGATGGCAATGCAGAAGGCTTCAGTGAGTGATGAGTTGAGGAAGATGTCGCCACGTACCAACACATTCCTGACGTTTGAATGCTTGACACTGCCAAGTAACTCCACTCTGTCGTGCAATTGATGCTTCTCTCGCATCTCCTCTAGTGACACACGCTTTGGTCCGTCGCCACCAATGATGAAGTGTGCATTTGGGAACCTCTTACATATGTTTGGAATGATATCAATGATCAGATCAATGCCCTTTCTATATACTAGTCGACTCATGATTACAATAGTGACTAGTTGATTGATTGATTGATCAATGTTAGTCGGTTGGGTCGTGTACATACTCCAGCCAAGGACACTTACTCTTGTTTGGATCTCTCTTTGATGGATCGGGCGTGAACTGAGTGGTATCGACTGCATTGGGGATGACTGATACAAGGTGAGGATCAAGCTGTGCTCGTAGCACTGTATTCTCTTTGCTTGTGTTTGATACACATATGACGTGAGAGATATCTGACAGCGAGAACTTGAGTAGTTTGTTCATATGAATCGATGATGCATCTGCGAAACCAAACAAAGAGTGATCTGTAAAGCATGTACTATATCCCATAGTTCTTCCATGTAGTATACTCTCGTGAGCAAGTGTGGAGAATGCCTAATGAATGTATAGTGTAAGTATGTTGTCTGTCAACTCGTGTTGATGATGACACTTACTTGATGACAATGTACTATCTCTATTCTCTCACGTATCAATATCTGACGGAAGAGAGGAAAGGTGAAGAAGAGTGTGGGGAAGGAGTTCTGGTTGTAGAATGGTGCCTGTGGCGTGTAGTAGACTTTGAGGCCGTTGGTGAGGTAGCGAACACCGAATCGATTGCCATAGTTATGTGTGATGATGATCACTTTGTTGCCTCGTTTGATAAGACATTGTGACAGTTGATATAAATGCTCTTCCACTCCACCCATATTAGGATAGAAGAAGTCTGATATCATTGCTATCCTATACTTGCGCCCACTATCTGCACCTGTGTTGCTACTGCTACTTGTTGTTGTAGTCGTCATTGAGGTAGAAGTATCATTTGTATTATTCATTGTGATATAAGTATGTATATCTCTCTATCTCTGTGCGTTAAGTGAATGATCGGTCGATAGATAGTTTGATTGATGGCTGTGTGAAGAGATAAGTTGCGTATGTCCTGTTTTGGATTCCTTTTGCTCACACAACCTTGTTTGTGACTCATCTCTTTAACCTTATTTAGTAATGTTGGACCACGAACAACACACCTTTATAAGTTGGACCAAGGATTGCACAATCCAATATCATTAGCTTAAATACAAAGATACAAATTAGAGATAAGATAAAGAGATACAAATGAATGATAATTGTATTAAAGTAATAATTGAATTCAATAATGAATTGACAGATAGACAAAGAACTCATTTAATGAGTAAACTCATACCTTATGAGAAATGTATTGCMAAAGGATGTAATGCTGTCTAATGGTAATCTAAAGAAGATACACCATGCCAATCTACCTGTCATCGATGGCAATATTTTCCATCAACAAACAACAATGTATTGGAGAGATGTTAAAGTATTGGAAACATTATGCCATGACCTTGAGTTCTTGAAAGGTACGTTGCAGAACATAACTTGATTCTCAAAGTAATTAACAATGATATGATATCATTATAGAGTTCAAAGACTTCCCCGATGGTCATCCATTGTTCACATACAAGCATGAGGACAAAGGTGAGACAATCATTCACAAAGAGAACTCAAACAAACTGGCCCATCAAGAGGCAATATTCATTTGATCATATCCAAGCCAATGTATATAGAATAGATAAACAAATAATGTTGTTGTACTAAATATATTAATACTTTTATTATTATTATTGTTGTTGTTTGGAATTAAAGTGAACAACCATATGGTTAATGGTTGTTATGATCGAAGGTGTCCATTCCAATTATTAAACAATCCTTCATCATCAAGTATCTTTGGGCTACTCACTTGCATTCCTTTTCTCCAATTGATGCATCCACTCTCTATCAAATATACCATTGTGTCCTTGATTGATTGTTGGCGTTCCAAGTTACCAACCATCTCTTCTCAACTATAGTACATCTTTAAGATTGCGTCCTCGCATGGAGAGGACAGGGTGTCTAAGGAACGCAAGAACACCCTACCCCTATTGAAGGGAGCCTATCTCATCTCTTTGAAGTGGATGACTTGCTCCATTCCCATGGCCGAGATGACTGATAACATCACCTCCTTGCCTTGATCGAAGAGCTTGTTGATCTTGTTGCACAGCTCTTGGTCAGCTGGCAACTTCAAGTCACTTCGAAGTTGACCATTGTGGTCCAATAACGATAAGTATCCATCGTCAATGTTGATCAACTATATTATTGTTAAGAGGTTAGTATCATTGATTATATTTGATTGTTTCATTGATTGTACATACTTGATATTCAGTAACATCCACATTTGGCTCTTCGACAGTTTGGTCCGAGATCATAGCATGCTCATACTTCTTGCTGGTGAAGATATCAATTCCTACGAAGTTGATCTTGCACTTGCCATGCTTGCCGGTACCAGAGGAAGAGGTTTCGACTACTTTACAAGGATGTTCTTTGATTAAGCAACTAATAAATAATAATATTTAATAATAATTAATAATCATACTAATCAAAATTATTTGACTACTTACAATTTACCAACTCTGATTTGGCTTGCTTGCATGGGAGTAGATAATGAGGCGATCGATTCTACAGTCATTGTTATTGATGTTCAACTTGGGATAGGAATTACTTCAATGTAATTAATAATAATGTAAATAATACTTTGATAGTATATGTGTTTTATGTTAAGTTTGAATGGAATGAGTACATCCAGTCATATATAGAGGACGAGTTCTCCACTATCTATCCCTCCAGCCATCCTCCAACTTCACTCTTTGAAGGTATGAGAAAATTCAAAGAAGATTGATGAAGTTGAGTAGGTGTAGGAAACGGAATTGCGAGCGAATCGCCACACATCTTTGGCATAAGATACAAGATGGTGTTGGTCTGGCGCGAGGTCTGAGTGACACTTGATCGATCCATACTGAGACAAAGACGGAATACAGAGCCACTCAAAAGACAGCAAGTCAAGAGCCGAGTCATGCATGTTATTATTATTATAAATAATAATAATGTTTGTTTAAAGCTTTGGATCTGGTTTGAGCTTGGGCAACCATGATGATGGATTGACAACCTTCTCTACCCATTTGTCACTGTCAACGCCAAGTTTGAACATTAGCTTGGCCAACTTATTGGGATAGTAGATCTTCTTGAGTAGGAATTCATACTTCTCCACTGGTGCCAATGCAACGGGTCGACCAATGAGCAATCGTTTGTATCTCATTCGTTCATAGTTCTGTTCGGACACCTTCTTGAACGCTGTGAACATCTCGGCAAAACTATGCTCGATCGCATCGTTGTAATGACTGCCCAGATGCTCCTTTGCCAAACGTACTCTAGTCTCCCTTGCCAATGTTGGCTCGGACACTGCAACACTGATCTCACTCGAGTGGAAGAAGCTCATATTGTCCATATTGGTGCTGCCACAATTAAATAGTACATCATCGACAATGATTACCTTGGAGTGAATATATATAGGTTTCACTTGATTGACATTGATTGATTGAATGAGTGTGTTAGTTGGAGTGGATCGATGGAAGGAGGTCATCCTTGATTGATTAATCAGTACATACGTCGACTCGTTGACTCCTCATCCTGTCGCACCAGTCCATAAATGCCAACACGATCAGGTGCAATACTGTATATCAGGTGTAGATGTCTGATGACTGTGTGATTGATTGATTGATTGGGCGTTAGACAAGTCAGATGGATGTCAGACAAGTGTCTTGTTCAGGTCTACTTACTGTGATCCTGTGACCAATCAAAGAGCTCACCGACAAGCCCACTGGGCAGATCTGTACGCACAGGTGTGACAATGAGTATCTGCAGCTTCGGGTTGGTCTTGAGCGCCTCACACATGTAATAGGTGAGTGTGAAGTTCTGGAAGGGATACTGATGCTCGATGTAAAGGAACTCCTTGGCATTGGTGATCATCTTGCCAAAGTCGTCAAAGAGCATGTTGTTGTCGAGCACGCCCTTCCACGTGCGGAACAGTCGCACTGAACAGTTCTTGTATGATGGTGCTGGGTCGTTGTGCTGAACGACGATCGATGATTCTGGCTGATGTACCTTGTTGCATGGCTTGTCCCTCTTGAGCGGGATGGACTTTGATCGTGTCTGTAGGACGTTCATGGAGAATGCATGGATCCAGCGCTGATTAAAGTGCAGCCGCAGATGCTGGGCGCTTGAGCCTCGCAGTGATATCTGTATGTCGTGCCACAGGAAACGGATCTGTGGCAGGATAGGTTGAATGTTGCGACCACTGTAGCGCGGTGGCTTGGTAGTCTCGGCGTCCTTGGACTGGGTCGTGAGCAGGTTCTGCATGTAGGGTCGAGGTATTTGATGGAGAGGCTGGTCATAGCGTCCACGAGCAACGTCGAAGCCACCAGTAAATGCGATCGCATGTTCGGGACACTCGCCATCGATGAGCACCAGCTTCTCGTGATGAGATGACAGGATACCCTGGGGGTTGCCAGCGATAACCACAGTGATGCAGCCAGTCTCGCCTTGAGCCACAGGTCCGTCGAGGTCGGCCATCGATTGATCCTTGGCAGACATGTCATGATGCGTCGTGTTGAACACCTTGCAAGATATGTTCAGCTTCTTGCAACGCCTCTCGAGCTTGGCCACCTCGCGCTCAATCGTAACCTCGCCCAGGTACAGGTAACGCGTGACATGTGACAGCAACTCATGTCTCCAGACAATGATTCTAACGTTAACGCCACTCAAAGCTTTGGATAGCAGAACATCCTCAAGCGTGATCCACTTGGCAATGTCGCTGGACACTGATGGGAGGCCAGACTGAACATTCTTTGTGAGCACCAGACCAAAGGAGAATGATAACTCCCAAGCCAGGATGCTGATACTGTGCTCGGCATTCATCATCGCTTCAAAGTATCGTCTGAATGTCTGTAGTCCATCGATGAGTACCTCCACGCTGTTGTTCTCTGTCTGCAGATTAAAGTTGTTGCTGGTGAGGTCGCCCGTTGGATCCTCCACCTCGTCCACCGCTGCGTCATTGCGCTTTTCAGCCAGGGGTCCCGTTAGCAAGTGTCTGCTGGCAGAGGTACGCTCGCCTCTCTGATTGATGGCCTGATGGTTGGAGTTGGGGTTGGAGTTGGAGTCAATGTCCTCGCCATCAGTCTGTGTGTAGGCTGGATTTGTGAGGAGGAAGTCTGTCTTGGTGAGTGAGAAGACAAACTCGTACGAGCCGTTGCCTTCGGGATTGGTGAGCGTGATCTTCTTGGTCGTGTAGAAGTCGTCCTGGAGGAAGGTGTGTACGCGATCATCTGATGTGGCGCGATATACCACCAGGCCACCCTTCTCCTTATTGATCTTCTTGTCCACGACAGCTTGATTCAATTGTGATGTTATGGATTCATCGTTGTTTGGTGACTCGTGGGTCTGTCTTGGCGCAGTCTGTTGATTGAATATCGCTGCCACACCTGTCATCCTATCATCCAATCCACTTGATGAGTTGGAGCCAGTGTCTGTTCGCTTCTGTTGATCATCCGTATGTTGTTGCTGCTGTAGGTGTTGGTGGTGGTCTTGTGATTGCGATTGTTGAAGTTGTTGCTGATGCTGTATATGATGATGTTGATGAGGTTGGTTCAGAGGCTCGAAGCTTCGTTTGCTCGAGTGAGTTGTCGATTGACCGCTTGGAGAGTTGAGCTCATGTGCAGGTGTGAACTTGAGCGTACCAAGTATATACTCTGCGAACTTGGTCTTTACAAAGAATGTGATGACAAAGTTGACCAGAGTTGAGAAGGTAACTGAAGAGGTGTACTTGTAAGTTATCTGATTGATTGAATGAATGATTGAATGAATGAGTGGAACACATACGATTGTGTACTGAATGAATCTCTGTCATATCATGAGAGACAAAGGTACCGAGATGGTATCTGTTGGTATGTCCAATGCCAATGCTTTGGGAGCTGTGATTGAACTCGACTTCGGCGTAGAGTTCATCCTTACTTGATGTGATCTGTTTCAGACAACTGATCTTTGTCAATGCGAATCCATAAGAGTACTTGACAGGGGAGATAGAGTAGCAGACGTGGTACAGTGGGCCTCTGCGACCAAACGTTAGAAACTTCTTGTGTCCCAACTGACTGACATCGCCATAAAGAAAGTCATATATCGTCTGTGGTCCAAGATCATGATACATCAAAGGTCCATACGACAAATGTACTGTTATCGGTGTCTTTGACACATGTACAATCGAGTCACAAGACTTTGTACTTGAAGTTGAGAACCTGCCAACAAAGTATCGTCTAATGAATGTTGTTGTAGGTATTTTAGTGTCAGTTAATCATTCAATCAATCGTGAACATTCATTCATTCATCCATTCATCATAACATACCTAGCAGGCTGATTCTCATTTGATACATCAATGAATACATTCCTGGGCTTGGTCTGAGTTGATGGATTATAGAATGTAACACTATGTATCTGTAATACAAACATGATCAATCAGTTGATATATGTATCTGTATATGTATATGTATATATGTATATGTACAAGTATATATATATGTATGCATATGCAAAGGAACAGTAATGAATGGATGAGTGATCTCAAACTTGAACGATCTTTGCTTGACCCCCAACCCTCAATTCTCAACCCTCAACCCTTACCCTTGCCCTTGCCCTTACCCTCGCACAAATATATGAATGGATATGAATGAAAGAATGAATGAACATTGTTCATGTAAGCTTTAGATAATAGCCTCTCATATAGGTTTTAGGCTTGCCAGAGGTAACGCACCATGCTCCAACAGTTTGACAACTATCACTATCAAAGATTGTTCGGATGATTGTTGATGATGAAGACTTGCGTGCATCAAGTTCAATACATATTGTTGATACTTTTGGTATGGTCTTGGCAACGTCCTTGGCAAATGTAGCTGATTCACGTAGATCACCATCATCCAAACACTTCCCATGAAGTAATAGTGTATCCAATCTCGTTACAGGCAGCTTAGGGATCGGATAGTTATTGAGTTGATGTACACCTATGACGTAGGATATCTCAACCATTCGTACTGTGCTCTGAACATACTTGAACTGACTAAAGTATCCAATGGTAAGATGTGTGACTGATGGCGGCAACACTAGTTCCGAACCAAAGTGCAAGCCCAGCGTGAGATGAGTGAGCGAGGAAGGTAGGACATCAGCCAACAATGGCATGTTGAAGTCTCGATCGAACGTCAATGATATAAGAGTTGGGGGCAGCACATCCTTGACGAGGAACTGCATGAACGTCGGCCCGACCATGAGACTTGTGAGCGATCGTGGCAGCGTTGTTGGCCTGAGTTCGCAATGACCAGTCAGGAGCACCAACGTTCGCAGTGACGACGGCAGCACTCCCTCCAATGAATGGTCGAAGCTCGTTCCAATTTCAAGCGAAGTAAGTGATGAAGGGAAAGCCTCTAAGCTCAATGCCTTATTGAATCGATCACCAAATTTTAAGGATGTGATTGAACTTGGCAAACAACCTGGAGTGATCGGTTGATTGAACAGTGTACCAAACTTGAGTGTCTGAAGCGATGTCACCGAGCCTATATGTATTGGTTGATTGAATTGATTGCCAATGCGTAGGTATCGTAGAGTGTTGGGCAACTTGCTAGGGTCTATCGATACATTGTAAGTACCATCCAACACCAGATGAGTGAGTGATGGTGATACTGGAAAGTCTCTACTAGACAATGATCCAATAGTTGTATATAATGAAGGGTCATTGTTGATGTACATGTGGTTGTCGTTGACGTTGTCGTTGTAGTCGTCGTCATTGTCTTTGTTGGTATTGTGTATGTTGATGTTGATGTTGATGTATTGGCTCCTGATTTGGACCTTTCCCATTGGTAGCCTCTTCTGGAACTCATTATAAAGTCGTTTACATGATAATGCAAGACATATTGCATCGACATAACTATCAAGTTCATTGACAATCACTCTTACAACTAATATTGATAGGTTATCCATCACTAGTCTTGATCGTTCAAGTTAAATATAAGTAATAATGTAGAGATAATCAATGGAACTAAACGAAAGAGACCTAAGTCTCGATTAAATGTCAAACATGGAATGGGTGACGATCCATCAAAGGTGTCGATTCCGAGTCGTTTGGGGGTTGCACAATCCAAGAATGAGTTGATGATAATGGGTGAAGGCCAATTGGTACCAGGAGTTTGATTAAATGATGAATAACATAATGTTATTGTTATTATTCTAATGTTTGATAAATTGAATGATCAATAATATGATGGTCCAAGGAAGAAAGAATATTGGATTAGTCGTTCTCGGTGGTGACGGTTGTTCTGTGGTCAATGCAATCCTTGTCATGGTACTTGTTGTACTCGTTGATCTGCTCCATGGAAATCTGGTAGGATAGGTTGTTCTGGAAGAACTGGGTGCCATCATCATTCCAGTAGATGACCAGACAATAGGTGTTGACACCCTCGATCTCCTCACGGGTGAACTTGGGGATGAACATCTGCATCACATTGGTCCAACCACCTCCCAAGTAGCCCTTGTGCTTGATAAACTCAATCAACATGTTGCCCGTGACTGGCAAGGGGTAGTCGGCGTACTGGTAGGCCACTGGGGTGTCGGCAACAACTCCATCTGGAGCACTGGTGATACCATACTTCCATCCAACGTTGTTTCCAGCCTTGAGAGTTGGCTCAAAGGTTTGGCCGCCCATGTTCTCTCCATCAAACAGAGCTTTGACCGTGACGTGCTTGACCCAGGCCTTGCGCTCACTGACCAAGACGACACGGATGTGGTTTGGTGCAATGTAATCCTTGTTGTTGGCAATGTCCTCCCACCTCCAGGCAATGTCGGCAATGTCATCGTTGGGTTGGGTGAACTTGTTCTTGGCCCAGTCATAACCTGCAGAGGCAAGGACACCAGTGACCACACCTTGGGTGAAGGCACTCTTAAAGAAGGCTCCGGCGGTAGCAAGAGCGGCACCAATTGTTGCCTTGATACCAAGAGCAACAACGACAACTATTAATTATTATTTTGGAAGTTGGTTAGTAAAGTTGATGGAATGGTGTTTGGAGTGGATATGATTGATACTAACCTGGAACTATTTGTACTGGCATTATTAATTAATTAATTATTTGATATAAATATAATATTTGTTTGTTTGTTTGTTTGATTGATATTGATAATGATCCAGGATCCTTTGTTATTTATACTTTATTGATTAATATTATTTCCATATTTACTATCTGGAAGTTAGATTTATGATTGGAATATCACAAATTGGAGAAAAGTTGGTGGCCCTAGTCGTGAAATTTGAAGGCCTACTATTATGTCCAGATAATACTTTTCCCTTTCAGATAGGCCCTGGAGATAGGCCAATTATGACTCTTGAAGTCTCTACCAAAGCCTTACTGAGGTGGGTCTCAAAATGATGAACTGCTCCCAAGCAATCAAAATCAAAAGTAAAATGTAAAATGTCCTGATTTGGTGTGGTTGGACATCGCGAAAATGTGTGCTTCTTGGTTGAAAGTTGCAAAAAGTAGTGCTTTGTTGGATGATTAATGGGTTGTGGGTGGCCTCAATCCTGAATGATCACTGGTGCTTGTTCCGACATGTATTGGGCATTTCAATAATAATATTTATCTCTTCACTTCCATACCCCTCCCCATTATTGATGGAGGCGATGTAACCAGACTTTTAAATTAACAAATAGTTTTACACATATCTTGATGATGACGAAATGGGGATCAAGATAAATCCAGTGAACATAATTATGTCTTTTGTTGTCCATGGACAATATGTATGTACCATAACCAGTTGTTTGTGTCGTCCAATCATTCAAACATCAGAAGCCAAGAGTGAGGTCGACAATGGGCCTTGATTGGCCTCCTTCGAACCTTGATTGAATAATAAATGATAATAAAGTTAGACAACAAATTTATTGTTGATGTAGTCTGCCTGTCCTGGCTCTTGCGAGAATGCATATCCAGTGTCTGTATTGTTCCAATCAATCAATCATAAGTGGGTGGTGGTTGGTTAGCAAAGCTGTCTGAATGGTTAAGGCGAGCGAGTGTGGATGGATGGATACTTACATCGCAGCTTGGTCTCAATCTGTTTACTCGAATGACTGCTGTCTAACTCTTGTACAATGTGGTAGGCCTGTGGAAGGGCATAACGGTTCACACTAAATGGTTGGAAAGTGATTGGTAATGTTTGAGTGAGTGAATGGATGAATGAGTGATCATCAACATTTGAGTGTGGGATACTTACAACTTCCATGTATAATCTCTGTATAGACATACGACAGGCACGATCACAAGGGTCAGGTAGAATAGGGGTGCCTTACCAACGTTGAAGATGATGTCGTAGATGTCCACACCAACGCCCAGAGACTGATTGATGTCCTCGAACTTGCCAAAAGCCATCAGCCAGATGAAGAAAAGGACGATGCTGCCCCAGGTGGCCAGATGGTTGATCCAGGTCCAGAAGCGCGTCTCCAGTGCCAGCTTGCAGTTGACTGTGATGACAACGCAGGCGTAGGTAATGATGCCCACTGAGATCAGGTCGATAGTGAAGCCACTGGCGAATGGCACAGCGCGGTGGTAGATGCCCATGGGCAATGCGTAGAGGACGAACGAGTGGAACACACCGTTGCATATCCAACCCCAGAACACCTTGATGTTGAAGTGATGGTGGCGCGGGCCCGAGCTGTACAAGTGCGGATGGTCCATGATTGATTGCTCGCTGACGTCCTTGTCCAGAATGCCAAAGACGATGATCGGGAAGAAGGTCCAAAGGATGTTGTACAATGTGAGTGTGTAGCGCTCGTAGTACGTCTGGCCCGACCATCCGTTGAAGATTGTGAACCAGAACTGTGTGATGTACAGCGTGATGTTCTTGTAGAAGCAGTAGGCGATCAGCTTGGAGATGCGACGGTAGCTGTAGCGGCCGTGCACCAGCAGCAGGCGTGTGAGGAAGCGGAACTGCGCGATAGCATAGTCGGAGCAACGCGCAGCCTGCAGACCCTCCTCACCACTGATGCCAATGCCCACGTGTGCGCGCTGTATCATGTTGACGTCGTTGGCACCGTCTCCAATGGCCAGGGTGACGGCGTCCAAGTTGTCGCGCACCAGACCAACGATGTCAGCCTTTTGCGAAGGGGATACACGACAGGCGATCACAGACTTGCAGCGCTCCGAGATCTTGAGCATCATGAGCGCCATCTCTTTGTTCTCCAGCACGTAGACCAGCGTCGATCCATCGATGATCAGCGCCAGGTCCTTGGTGGGGTGACCGTTGCGGTACTCCTCGACCAGACGCTTGAGCTCGCGGTCCGTGTTCTCGATCGACGACTCGTTGACGACGAGCAGCTCCATGTTGTTCGTGAGAAGACGGCATGCGTATCCAATATTGATTGCTGTCTCTTGCTTGTCACCAGTAAGCACCCATAGCTTGATGCCTGCCTCGCGCAGACTGGCAATGGACTCGGGCACGCCCACCTGCAGTCGATCCTCGATGGCTGTCGCACCTAGCAAGATCAGTTTGCGCTCGATGGCCTCGGCCATGCGGTCGAGTGCTGCCTCGCGGCCAATAATTGTGTTGGATGCAGTGTAGTAATCGGACGACCAGGACTCGTAGACGGCCGGCTCAATCTCGCGGTACGCTACGCACAGCGTCCTGAGACCCTCCGATGCGTACTCCTGCAGGTGATTGATGGTGCTGTCGGCGAATGTCTGGTTGGGCGCCAGACGCTCAAAGATGGCCGTGTCGGCACCCTTGGTGTAGAGAAGCAGACGGCCATCTGGATGGCGCACGATTACAGACATTCTCTTCCTGACCGAGTTGAACTCGAGGATGTTGAGGATCTGGAACTCAAGCTCCTGGCCATTGGGGTCGATGATAGTGACCGACTTGAGACTCCTGCGACAAAAGTTAAAGCCGACCTCTTTGGCGGCAGTGACCAGGGCCGACTCATCGGGCGAGGACGCCTGGTAGGTGATGACGCCATTCTCCTCCTCGGGCACGACCGTGTGGCACACGGCCAACACGCTAAAGAACTCCTTTATCAACTTGGACATGTTGAGGTCCTCGCTGTTGAGGTTCGCATTGAGCTTGGCGTCCCTGAAGCTCGACGCTGACAAGGGTGGTGACTCGCAGTTGCTGGCTCCAAGCAGCTCGTTGCTGCTGTTTGTTGTTGGATCATTGTTCAGTTGTTGTTGTTGCGCTGGTTGATCGCTAATCATTGCTCCCTCGCGCATCATTGCGCCCATTGTAGCCTCTGTCATGCCGCTGCCATATGACACTCCACCAATTGAGCACTTCTTGAACTCCATCTTGTTCTGCGTTAGCGTGCCAGTCTTGTCACTGAATATGTAGTCGATCTGGCCAAGGTCCTCGTTGAGGTTGGATGTGCGCGCCAGTGCTGGCGTGTCGTTGTCGGCGTGGTACATCTGCTGGTCGTTGTTGATGAAGAACGCCTGGAAGACCTTGACAAACTCCATTGAGACGTACAGCGAGATGGGGATAATGTTGTTGAACAGGATGAGGAATGTCAGGAAGGACATGGCGCCGTTCTTAACAGGCGACTGGTCGCTCCACAGCAGGTACCAGTCGTCGACGTGGCGGTTGTTCCACACGCCGTTGGCGATCGCCGCGCCCAGACACAGCAGCATCTGCAGGATGAAGATTATAAGGATGAAGACGTTTGTCTTCTTCTCGACGCCACTGCGCTTGGAAGGTGTGTCGCTAGAGTTGCGCATCAGCTTGGTGTCGCGGCCACTGTAGATCACAACGCCATATATCCACTTGGTGTTGCGCAGTAGTGAGCCACGCATCAGTACCTGACGCGCGGACAATGGATGTCCCTTGCCATCCAAGTACATTGATCCAATGAATGAGTACAGTCTATTATTTGGATGTTCGCATTCAATGTTTGAATTGATCGTTGCCAAGTTGTCCAAGCTGTTATACTGTGCTGTCTCATTCAGTCCCTGCTTCAACTTTAAGTTCGTCTCACTGATCGTGGCCGGGTCAGCATGTTAGTAACCAATCAGTGATTGATGGATGGCACCCAGCTGATAGCGCTGCTCTACTACTTACCCATCAAGGTTTGCAGTCTCGACGTAACATGTGGACTGGGGCTCGCTGGAGGCCAGCACCACGAGGTCCGCCGGGATGTACTGTCTGTTGAGTACTTTGACAATGTCGCCAACCTTGAGATTCTTCCAACGCTCGTCGACAAAGGTTGATCCTCGCAGTACTTCGGTGTGGCAGTTGTTGACGCGGTCATCTTGGCGATGTCGACGGAAGTCCTCGTAGGCCTCTTTGATGGCTGTGATGGCCAGCACCACCAGCAGTGGGCCGAGAGTTGTGAAGCGACCCGTTGGAGAGATGCCAGGTATGATTTGAATGGCCGAGATGATGAGGAAGTAGAAGTTGGCCAATCTGCAGAACTGCTCGAATAAGTTCTTCGGCAGGAATGTGATCAATGTGTACTTTGAAGTCGTCACCGTGTTGCCGCAGTACTTGTACTCTCGATTGCGTTCCATGTCGTTTATATATACATTTCTTGAGTTGCCTTTGAAGTTGTCGCCGCTCATCTGTTTGTTGGCAATAGTTAGTCATATCGCTAGCTAGGTAGCTGTTGGCTGGCTGGCACAATATACATACCAGTCTGTTATAGATCTTGCGGAAGAAGTTGGGAGGTGGCGCGTTGGTGTATGTTTCGTCGAGTGCGGCGGCGTCGACGGGTGGTGTGCTGGAACACGAACCCATATCCTCCAACTGGATGGCGGGAGGATAGTTGCGTGGCGCCGTGTGTGATCTGAAGCTATTGTTGAGGAATGGCGACGACGACGATGTCGACGACGCCGAGTTGCGTCGGTCGCGTCCCGACGAGCTGTCAAGTGACTGTATCGATAGTTTGCTTGACATATTTCGATCGATAAGCTGTTGCTGTTGCTATTGCTATTGATACAAGTAAGCTGCTTTGTTTATGGTAATAAATATGTTGTTTGTTTGTTTGTATTGATACTGTATGTTGTTGTTGTCGCTGCACTGTTAGGCTATCGCTTAAATGTTTGCATGCCTTGATGTTAGTAAAGTAAACAAACTACTTCTTCCTTCTTGCTTCCTTCTTCTACAACAACAACTAAGTGCAATGTATAACAACAACAACAACAACAAAGTGAACAGGTATGCAAGACAACATTAGCAATAAAGGTGTAGCTTGTGACCAATCTCCATTCCCTCCCTTACTCACCAACTCACTCACTCACTTTGGGTCGGTGGGTCGGGCAAGGGTTGAGGGTCGTCAACGTGACTGGCTGACTGACTGACCGACTGAGGAGGTGGAGGTGGAGGAGGAGGACTGACGATTACAGCCAGCTTCTTATTCTAATTGTTGACAACCTATGCTTGCTTTTAGGGAGTCGACTATGGTTTGGTTTGGCGCAAGGTGTAGCGACATAGAGTGCTGACGGATTGGAGGGTTGGAAACGTCGTTGACACCAACAATAGATCATCTGTAGATGTATCATAATCCATTTCACACGACCAAACACCTGATTGATCAATTCCAAATCAGGTGTGTGAGTGAGTGAGTGTCTGTTTGTGTGTGATCAATCTTAAACATAGTTATACAACACAAACACACACATAACAAGATAATTGATTGATTGATTGATTGAATTAGTGGATTGTGAAGGGGTGGAATGGTTGATGGATGGATCGAATAACATCTTGACACTGTTTTAAGTATTATCGTTTCATTCATTCCTGCTGATAATGCTGTTTGATGATTGATTGATTGATGATTGAACTAGACATTATTATTATTATTACAAAGTACTTACATTTGGATGCCACACAGATACAACTTAAAGTTTGTTTGTTTGGAGACAAGTATTTACTTGTTTGATGCTGTAAGTTGGTAATATTACTCTTTAAGAATTCCTCTTGCTGTACTTGTGTGCGTGTAAAATTGGTTGGTTTGGCCTGGGTTTGATTGAATGAATGGTGGAAGAAGTGGTTGAATGATTGGTGGATCGGAATCGGTTCTGCCTCTGATGGATGAACCTTAAGATACAGATAGATAGAAAGATAGATAAAGTGCGAGTAATGTATGTTTGTGTGTGTGTGTCAATCAGGATGAGAGGTTTGGAAGGAGGCGCGTGGGGTTATGAATAACAACTAAGCTTGGTTGATCTGAAGCTATTGAATGAAAATGAAAACGATGGGGAGAGAAACTCTAAAAAAACACAATAATAATAATAAAAATTGATTGTTTTACATACTTAGCACCAAACTGATACTGCTGATTTAGCTTGAAGAGATTCAAAAAGGACGTCTGCTTTTGTAAAAAAAGTGAAAGCGATCAAAGTAATCATCACGATCCTTGGGCCCAACATGCATTGGGCTGGACAACCCTAAAAAAAGAAATGTCGTTTGTTTTATGTGGTTACTTCATCCTCATCCTCCACATAGAACCTGTCCTCTTTAATCTATTATTAACCATCTGTCATTGAACAATCATTTATTCATTCGTTCAATCATGTAAGCACACACATTCCAGTTAACATCTTTGTAGTCAGTACAGAATGGGATATTGATGGTTAGTTAGAGTAGTTGGAATAGTTCCAAAGTGTAATTGAGTGATTGATTGGTTTGGTGATTGGAATAGTTCCATTCATTGGAAACGAGTCATACTTTATTGCCCCTCAGCCACACCTAATCGGCCAAGTGATTCCTGTGGCCTGACTCCTTGAGATTCCTGAGCTTGTACTGAACGATGCGAACGGATACAAAGTACTTGCGAATGATGAATATTGATAGACCAACGAGAAGACATCCTCCGACAATGGATGCTGTGATGATCACTGGCAGTAACCATGGTCGCGCCGCCGCGCACTCCGGACGAACAGTAGACGATACAAGCGAGCCAAAGTTGGGATCGACGCTCGCCCTCTCCGTGAAGGGTGGCACGATGATGGCCGTCAGCAGGTCAAAGTTGGAGCCATCGCCAGGCAGGTAGCGATAGAGTTGGTCGGACGGATCGAGTACCAGCACCTGGCTGCGCACGACGCGGTCATCCGTGATGACGCGTTGCGAGAAGTGCGCCTGCAGCATAGACTCGCCATTCTTGATCTGGAACCAGTTGATGGTGCTGTTGCTCTGGCCATCGATTCCGCCCATTGCCGATGATGTGGCAGAGTCGGTGCACTCATTTGAGTCGGTGAGTGGAGCCCTCGCCGCGAACACCACCTGCATCATGTTGAGCGGCGAGGCGAACGTCCAGTTGGTGATGGACACCTCGTACTTGATTGAGTTGGCCGCCACAGGCAGCAGCTCGTTGCCAAATGACACGTTGGACGCTGTCTCAAAGATCGTGGTTGTGACCTCCACGCCAATGCCCACGCCCGGGTACACGCCGGCCATGTAAACCTTGTTAGTGGCCAACTCTGTGTGGTTGACCCATTCGATCATCGACAGGCCATATGCTACGACTTGCTCGCCCTTGGAGTCCATCTCTCGGATGAATGCCAAGTTGATTGAGAAGTTGAACTTGCTGCCGTGCACGACGGACCCGCCGTCGGGGTTGACGGTTGGTGGCAAAACGGGCACGGTTGTGTTGGATGACTTGCAGTCGAAGCCGCCATAGGGCACGTAGCAGTGACAGATTCCTGTGTCCAGGTTGCAGTCCCCGCGACCTGAGCAGTCGTCAACACAAGGTTTGGGCGTGTAGTAGAGGAAGAGGTAACGAGTGGACTGCAAAGTGTTGACTGTCACGGTTACATTGAGTGACTCGCCCTTGGGGTTTGGCTCAGCAAGTCCATCAAACAAACAAATGATCGTCATGTAGTCCACAAAGTAAGTCTGATTGCATGGTCTGCCTCCAATGGCTGCCTGTAGTCCAACATCAGCATAGTTATCGCCTCTAATCGTTATATTTCCTCCAACCATATACTTAACGGTCGTTGTCGATATGATTGATGGTCCTACATTGATGGTGATTGATGTGTTAGTGTCAGTGAGTGAGTGGAATGATTCAATTGATAGGCCTGGCCTCGTCACGCCCCACTCCCGAACATACTTTGGTAAGAGAATCGATAGAGTTGTGTCGAGGATGTGCTGTTGTAAGTGAAGTTGGCGGTGAGTGGACCAGAGCCAGCAGCAACGGGACATATGAATAGGTATGGCGCGATGGAGGTGATACGTGCGCAACTCATGGGAGAGGTACCATTCAATGTGAATGATGGCTCAGCAATGCTGGCTGTTCCATTGGCATTGTTGGTGGCCATGAATCGTCCAGTGATGGTGACCTGACCACCAAGCACATGAGGCTGTGTGATTGAACCTATCGATGGAACTGGCGTGTATTGGACTGGAGTCGACTCCTGTCCCGTCACGACCAGCTTGAGTGTGCCCAGCTTGGCAGTCTCTGGCAATGGGAAGATCACAGTGGTGTCATTGACGAATGTTGCCTGTACTGGACCACTGCCCACTCCCTGTACAGCTACACCAGTATCCTGAAGGGGACCTATTTGGCTGCCCGTGATTGTGACCAGGTAGGGAGCAGCGTATGGGTCGATAGCGTTCACGGCGCCAATCACAGGTGTCTTGAATGAGATTGAGTGATAGAGGTTGGAGTAGCGTATTGGCGATGGGCTGGCGGTGAGCTGCAGGGTTTGGTCGGCACCTCCTGCCAATGTGATGTTTGCCACAATCGAAGTGGACGACTTGATGGCAGTGGGGTCGAGTGCCATTGACACTGTGCGACCAATGCCAAGTGACAGCTGCACAAACTCCTTGGCACTATAGACCTTTGACTCAAAGTAGTAACCCGTCAGTGTGATGACGGCGAACCTGGTCGGCAATGGTGCAGAGTATGATGTGCTTGCGATGAACGGACTGAGGTAGAACTGGTATGTTGAAACGACAGAGCTATCACTAATCAATACCTGACTTAGGAAGTCACTGATTGATGACGTTGTGAGATTGCATTGAATGAAGGATGAGGATACGTCCACACAAGGCATGATAGTCTGGCCAAGATTGAATCGCGAAGTGGTAGACGAAAGCTGGTTGCCAAAGATACTCAATGTTGTTCCATTGTTGTATGCAGAGGAGATGTAGCTTGAGGAGTAGCGCGTTGTGAAGAGGTTTGAGCTCTGTGAACTGACATTCACGTATATATCCACGGGTCCTGCGACCACACCTGGTGGGGCAACACAGCTCAACATTGTGTGATCCTTGATCACCTTGACTTGGCCACACAGTGCACCTCCAATACTAACTACTATCTGCGATGGATTGGTTCCAAAGTTGTTGCCATAGAGGATTACATTGCCTCCTACAAGCGCGATGCTTGTGACTAAGTCTATGGATGGTCGCGAGTAGCTCCATGTGTAGGATGTCTTGGACGTGCCCACAGTGAGACCGACTACTATGCTACCTGTGCCAGGCACGAGTGTGCATTCAAGTGTTCCCGAGTCAAGCACGCGCCATGCACTGCACACACCCGAAGTTACCTTTGTCACACTGTTATCCTTGTAGAAGCCACTGCCAGAGAGTGTGAGCACCGTACCCTGTGTTGGTGGATACAGATTGCTGACATCTGAGATCACTGGGTACTCATACCGCATGCCAATCTCAATCGTCGTGAACAGGCCAATTGATAGCTTGAGCTTGTTGGACGCGCCATCGTTGTAGCCCGCTGGGAATGAAATGATGAATGCATTGGCGAACCAGTCGGCAATGTAGAACAAGTAGTCGCCCTTCCAATTGATTGTGGCCAAGTTAATTACTGAAACACCGTTCAACTTGATTGTGCGCTGGCCACCCGCCACGGGTAGCACTGGCACGTTGGACACCACTGGCTGGTCGTACTGTAGGAACTGGATGAACGCGCCAACTTGCAAGTCTGAGGCCGGGTTTGCAGCCAGACTGTTGTCGGACATGTTGATGTAGAGGTTGGAGAACGAGCCAGAGGAGGGTAGTGTGTTCTTTTGTGTGTACACATCGTAGACGATCATATTGTTTGATGAGCCTGCCATTGAGGTGAATTGGCCGCCTGTGTATGTAAGCGGCTCCCACAAGTACTGTGCACCAAAATACTTGGTGGCGAATGTTGCCATACTTGATGAGTTGATATAAGTCATGAATCCAGGCATGATGTCCACCTGCATCGTGGACAGTACATTCATGGCAGTGTCAAATGACACATTTGGTATGTATCTAAAGTAGTTGTTGACGTTTCCATATCCTTAAGTTGATTGATTGAATGAGGGTCAGAGTGAGTGATTGAATGTGAGGGTTGGTGATGAGATATAACTTACTGATTGCGGTCTTGGATGTCATGTATGTGATGCCAGACACTGTGATCTTGATTGGGAAGATGATGGATGGGATGTTGGATGCAGCGCAAATGATCGTGTTCTTGCCAGATATGGATACAGTGCAGGTAATGTCGTGACCAGTGTTGGCATTGAGTATCAAAGATACCTCATTGGGATTAGCTCCAAAGTTGTTTCCAACAATGACGACATGAGTAGAATTGATCGATTGAATCGATGAGAGATAAGGTGCTCGTGCAGTATATGTTACATTTACATTCATCGATCCACCTATCAACACATCGTATGTTCCGGCATTGGGACCAAGCATGCAGATCAACGTCGTGTTGGCAATGAGTAATGATGCATTGCATATCACTCCTGGCTGACTGTTGCCCACAGGGTAGAAGGTGAGTGGTGGTGGAGTGGCCATTGGGTCCAAGCCGTTGATGATCAGCAGTCCTCCATCGGTGCTGATTGGCGCGATAGTGGGGTTCTTCCCACCCTCGCACACGAAGGCAGTGCCCTTGACTGTTGAGGCCTGTGAGAAGTATGAGTATGAGTATGAGTTGATGCCAGACACTACTAAACTGAGCACGGTTGCTGAGCCCGTTGGCACCTTGTCAAATGTTGTTGGCTGGTATGACTGTACATCCCAAGGGCAAACAGTTGAGCACATGTCAACCTTTGCCTGATACATTGTCTGATTGATCTCTGGTCCGCCAGTATATATCCAAACGCCAGCATTATAAAAGTCTGATCCATCGACAAGTATGTTGCCACTTATATTATAACTCATTGCTCGAGCAATAATCTCCTTCAGTTCTCCATCGTTTGTGATCGTCACCAAGTAACTAGTTTGAGTGAGTGAGTGAGTGAGTGATTGAGTGATTGGAATGATTCCAATCAAGATGAGTGTGAATGGACATACCTTCCATCTTGGCTACAGATACTCTTGGCACTGGCCAAGTCAGTGGATTGATTGTAAATGGTGTAGTAATGTGATTTGTAAAAGAATGAGTTGTCTGCATTGACAGCATTGTCATGCACTGACAACATGATCGATAATAATACTATTGTTACAACAATGATTGATTGCATTGTGGAGTGTATGTTGTTATATCTCATCGTGGAGGTGGTGGAACCTGTCCGGCTACCTTCCATATGTGTATAAGTATGTAATATATGTACAGATAGTGAGTGATGGTGAAAGATGAAGTTGAATGTTGTGGATTGATTAATGGATGGATGTTTGATTGGACCATACTACTAATTAATATGCTTCTTTTAATTGAAGGGCATTATTATGAATGGAGATGAATGAATGATTGTGGACCCTGGGATAGAGGGAGGAGAGAGGGGTTAGGACAACATAGTCCATTAGTAGGAATCGGTGATGGTAATGCCCAGAAGGGACTGCAATCCAACAAATGGGATGTGTTTGTGTCTAACCGTGATGAGAACAGACTCTCCCATTCTGATCGAACACACACATGTTAGCTCGGAGGTGGTCACCGCGCGGACCGGTTTGTGTGTCTCTGTCTGATTGTGTGATTAGTCCAAACTTTGCCTTTGCAAACATCTGATCAAAAATGTGGACTGTGTGGGGGTTGGGCCTTATTGGACCCAATTTTGATCAATAAATGTTTACTCAAATTTCAGAAGTGTGTGGGCCATCATGATGCATCTAACAATCTCCTACCCTTTGGATGTATGGATATTTGTTGTGATGAAGAAAGCGTGGCGTATCATCATATTAGTGGTGCCAGGATGGCGACACTCTACCATTCCTTTGAATCCTTTTTATTATTACATTGGCAGCAATCAAGCAAGGTACAGAGAGACAGACAAAGTCCGACAAGGACACACTGAACAGGACAGGACAGGGCAGGGACACGGAACAAGCAAACAAAGAATAGAGATAGAGACATTATTACAACATCCTTAGGTTCTCTGTTCTTACACCACTCTGCTTCTTGAGTGTGGCCAATGAGTGTTTGGACACTTCACAGTCGGCCACTGAGACATTGATGAAGCGAGTGCTTGGGAAGTTGGTATGCAGCAGGCTGCTGTGCGACATGTTGACGTTGACGAATTTACAGAACTTCACCAGGGATCCGGTCATTGTGGAACGGCTCATGTTGACGTTGGACAGACGGCAGTGGGCAAAGATGGAGGCCGGGCACGAGAAGGAGCTAAAGTTGCCATTGGTGATGGCCGAGTCGATAAAGTGGGTCTTGGAGTGGATGGACGTCTTGAAGTCGCAGTTCACCAGACGGCAGTGGATGAAGGTGCAGTTGGTGAACATGGCGTTGGCAAACTCGCACGCGGTGAACGTGCAGTGGTCAAACTGCACGCTGTTGAACTGCGCGCCCTTGAAGCGGCACGACGTGAAGTCACTGTTGGTGTACACGTCGTTGGTGAAGACCGCGTCGCCAAAGTTCTTGGAGAACAACTTCTCCTTGTCCTTGGGCGGCTTGGCCGCGATGTAGTTATGCTTAAAGTCGATGGGAATTGACGACTTCTCCTCCTTGGGCAGTCGGCCTATCGTTGGCTTGGACGGATACACTGATGATGTTGGTGCTGTTGGTATTTGCTGTTGTTGTTGTTGCTGCATCTGTTGTTGCATTTGTTGATGATGTTGGTGATGTGGAAAGTGATGTTGGAAGTATGGATAGTGTCCACCAAACTGATGGACTGGCTTTGGATTGCCGTTGGCTGGCAGTGGGGGCACAGGGCCACCGGCTACAGGTGGCACAGGCTGTCCGTTTGAGTAGAGGAATGAGGAGGGGCGCGGTGGGAATTGATAAGGTGAGAATGGATGACCGCCCTGTTGCAGAGGCGCTTGTGGAAAGATTGGTGGTGGTACGTTGCTGTTGTTGTTGTTGGGGTTGTTTAGGTTGCTCATGCTGCCGCCACCGCCATTCAGTTGCGGTGGCTGGTAGCCCACTTGAGGAATGTATGGTTGGAAAGGTGCGGGGGCATTTGGATTGACCATGCCATTGAGATTGGGACTGCTGTTGGCGGCAGCAATGCCATTGCCATTGCCATTGCCATTGGGGATGACCTGTGGAGGGAATGAAGATGTAGGCGTCGTCGATGTTGTCGAGATCAGCTGTGCCGAGGCCGACTGAATAGGTGAAGGATTGATCGTGTACTTGATATTTGCAAAGTTTGGATCATCACTATATGATACACTCGTGCTACTACTGCTGCTAGCATGTGTAGATATTGGTGAATCGCTTTGTTTAACCTTTGGTATCAATCCCTTTGGTAACTCTGTGATTGGGGCAGGAAGGTCAGCTCGCCATTCGCTCAATCGATCGATCAATCAATCAAGTAACTTAACATACCAATCTCACATGATTCAACATGGTCAACTATATCCTTTCGCTTTGCTGACTTGTGACATACGTTGCATGTCACTTTGAGTTCGGCCAGTGGCCGGAAGAGGAACTTGTGAGTGGTCGGTGTAAGTTGTACCGACTCCCACTTGCTAACCATGCATATGCAGAAGGGACACTTTGACAGCGTCTCTACGCACTCACGACAGAACGTCTGACTGCAAGGTGAGTCCTGTGAAGAATGTTCCACTGGGTCTATAAGAGGGCAAAAGCAGATCTGACATTCGATCGCATCGTTATCCTGTCCCTCGTCGTATGTGAATGGCTAAGATGATTGATTGGAGGTTGATTGATTAGTATCAATCAACATATATTATGTTAAGGTATACTTACAAGATGGCTCATCTATCTAACTTTGATTGATTGATTGATTGTTAACAATAAATAATAATAATAAACTTTGTATTTATTACACGAAGAAGAAGAGTATTGAATGAATATGAATGAAATGATAGCTTGATCAGCTATTGTTTATTCTATCTACAATTTATCTATCTATCTATATATTTATTTATGTATATATGTATGTATATATGTTTATTAATAATACAAGATGAGTATGCGCATACATGTACCCAATCAAGCAGCCAATAACAACAACACTCATTAACTCTCACTCAACAAACAACAAGACCTCACAACTCTCCTTGGTTTCGAGGGTTCTAACACCATTCAGCTTTGATAAATTCGCAACGAAACCTTGACACCTTGCCTGGTTTGTTCGAATTCTATCTATCATATTTGGTGTGTTGCCTTGTCTGATCGATCCTAGAGGGCTATGGCAAGGGTTGGCGAGGGTAAGGGCAAGGGCAACAGGTTGGACAAAGTATAGTTACCAGGTCTAGCATGTGGACAGAGATATCCCCGTTATTACATACATGAATACACAAGATGTCCATGATCTTGAATTATGGGACAATCTTCATTGAGTAGTGTGAGTTCAAGGAATGACAATTCATTAATGCTCGCGCGAATGAGACAATAAGTGTACATACATATAATATAAGAAATGCAGCAACAACAACAGCAACAACAACAACAACAACAACGTGAAGACCCACGACTAAAGTATAATATTAAGATTAAAGAGTTTCAGGATCATATTGGATCATTGAATGATACAAAGAAACAGTATCAAGTACTTATTGAGAGGTTGACTACATTGCCAGATCAGTTGACACATAAGATAAATGTACCATTGGGCAAGATGGCCTTCTTCGAGGGTCATATCTACAACTCCAACGAGATAATGATATTGTTGGGCGACAACTACTTTGCTGAACGATCGTGTAAGCAGACCATCGACATCATTCGTCGACGAGAGAAGGACATTGATGACAGTATAACAAATATCAACTTGCAGCTCGACTCGCTCAATCAACGTCTGGAGCTGACCACCAACCTCTCAAAGTACATCAAGGAGAAGGAGGACGACAACATCATCGAGATCAAGGAGGACTACGACTCGGACGAGGAGCGTGAGCGTGAGAGGCAGCGCCAGAGGGAGGATCCAGCATCAAAGCAACAGTCACAGCCACAGTCACAACAAAAGGAGAACGCAAAGAAGAAGAAAGAGGAGGACGAGGAGTTTGAAAAGATGTTTAGTCGGCTGTTGGAGTTGGAGAAGTTGGAGAAGGAGAGCATGGAGGCAGGAATGGAGGATGAGGAAATTGAAAAGAGTATGAAGCAGGCCGAGGAGATGTATGAGGAGGAGTTTGAGGATGAGAGCAAACATCATGGTCGCACTGGTAGACAAAAGCGAGGAGGCAATGGTGAAGAAGACGAAGAGGAATACGATATAAATGACAATGATTATGAAGAGGTAGTGGAGTATTATGACGAGCAAGGAAATAGAGTAGAGGTTACATCCGATGATGAAGACGTGGAGTACATAGAGGAGGAGTATACAGAGAATGTTAGATCATTGCCAGCTGATGTGGAGCAAGTTGATGACTTCGACAATGGTCTTGGAAAAGAGGAACAAGATAACGAGTTTGATCGTGATGATGACCAAGCATTCCAAACGAAGGATTCAATGGAGATCAAGCGATACCTTGAACAGAGGAGAAAGATGACGTCTCAAGCCACTCCATCATCACCATCGACTACATCCGCCACGCCTCAAAAGTCACAAGTCGATCCAGATCAGCAAACACAACAACATCAGCATGGCAGCACGCCAAAGTCAATCCTCAAGGGCACGCCAAGTGATCCAAACGATCCATTGGACTTTATAAGAAAGGTTAACAAGCAGGTGAGCTTCAGGGAGAATCTGAAGAAAGAGGTGTCTGTGCCCAACCCGCCAGAACACCAGGCATTCTCTGGCGACGTGGTCGAGAAGAACCTCGATGCGATCATCTACGACAACGAGCCCACCGACGACCAGGAGGACAGCCCCGCGCCTCCACCTGAACAGAAGGTGTCCAGGTTCAAAGCAAGCAGACAACAAAGGAATTAATCAATACTATGACAACTTTACTTGACAATTCATTTCTTTGTGGCGACTGACGACGACGACGACTTGATGTTGGTTGGATGATGACTCTCAATGTTCTTTTTGATCACCATTGAAATGATACTGTCACATGGATGCTGGATCCTAGTCAGGTCGTCCATGGTCAAACAGTGCAGTTGCTTCATGGGGATGGTGAATATCGATGAGAGGTCCAACAGGATGTTCTCGGACTTGCTGTAGTCCTCCGACGACATGAGCGCAGACAGCACCTCGATGGGTATTGGCTCCTCCACGCTGTCCAGGTCGGGCGTGTACATTGTCAACAGCTGTTTGATCTGAGCGGTGGTGATCGATGGACACACCTCCTTCCTGATGTCGGCATGTGTGAGAAGTGTCTTGTCGATCATCAAGATATAGATGGTCTCCTTCAACTGTGAGAGATGGCTGATGGCCTTGACTGACCACTCCTTGCCGTAGCTCTTGGCCCAGTGTTCCAACTCGGAAATATTGATCTTGAGCTGGATACTGCTGCGCAGGCAGCACAGGTCACGTCGCAGCACTATCTCATTGAACATCAATGAGTCAATATAATGGAATATCTGTTCAAAGAGTGATTGTCTGATTGGATCATATACATGGCATAGCTGGAGGAGTGAGAATACATTGGTCCTGTTGTGAGTTCAAGCATGAGGAGTTAGTAATGGACTGATTGATCGGATGAGTGAATAACTTACAAATAACATGTGAGCTGCTCAATTGCATCACTCTCGGATGATGCTTCGTTAAGCATGCGATGACAGAGCGGTTGGATGTATCCAAGGATGTTGTTCACTAATGATTTGTACACCTTGGTGATGAGGGTCTGCAGTTGTGTCTTGATCTGAAGTGACTCCATCGATATGTTGGCAGGCAACTTGTCATTGATGTCAATGTCCTCATCGCTGCCAGTGCTGGCATCTAAGCTAGGTGGATGTTGAATGGCCGAGTCCAAAACCTTGAGCATCAGTGAGATGTTTGACAACCAGAAGCAGAGCAACTCATTGTCGTGACTTTCCTTGGTGAGTGAGGCGACCGAGTCGACAAAGTAGTGCATGACCTCCACCTTGGCCACCGAGCAGTTCATGACAATGTCGGCGAGGTAGCAGCGCGAGAGGATGTAGCATGGCTCGGGGATGGTGCCAACTACAAAGGAGAATGTCTCCTTGAGCAACATGTCCACCAAGTACTTGCCGGCAGTCAATTGATTGTTGTTAATGTCCAGGGCGGCAACCAAGTCAGATATGCCATTGGCACTTGCCTTGAGCCCGCCGTGTGATGGTGAATGCTGCTGTTGCTGTGGCTGGTGATGCTCAGTCTCAGAGTCGGATGATGCGCGAGAGGTGACTGCTGAGTCCCTTGGACTCTCTGGCCTGGATAGCGAGTTGGACGAAGAGGAATGTGACATTGTTAGAGGTGTCTTGTTCTTCTCGCTCTCTAGCTGTTCACGAAGGCTGTGGACCAAGTCGTTCAAGTTGTCAATCTCCACTTGATGTGAAGACTCCTTCTCACGAAGGAGTTGCACCTCTCTGTGCAGATGCTCGTCTACTTCCATGGCCTTGGCCGTCATCTCTGGTGAGTTGTAGATGATCACATCATGTTCGCGGTCCTCCTTCCTGGCTGTATGTACAGCCACCACGACAGGCGGGGACTGGACAACACTGGAGCTACCAGTGTCTGCCTCTTCCAGAGGTGTATCAGTGTCTGGTGGAGGTGTTGTCGAGTAGTTCTCCTCTTGTGGAGGTGGTTGTTGTCTGTTGTCCTTGGTCTCCTTGGCGGGTTTGCGGATGATGTATGGTGGTGAGACCTCTGGTGTTGCAATCTCTGGCGATGTTGATCTTGGAGGTGTGGTGAACTTGCGCTCCAACTGCTGGAGGTTGGTGTTGAGACTCTGTATCCTCTCCTCAGACTCGGCCTTGGCCTTCTCAGTCTCTGCTCTGGCTCTCTCAATCTCCTTGTCCTTATCCTCAAGCTGTTGCTTGAGTAGCTGATTCTCGCGCTTGAGCTCCTTGATGAGGTCCGCTTCCTTCTCCCTCATCCTCTGCTCGGCCTGCATACGGTACTGCAACTCCTCGACCTTGAGCTCCAACTTGTTCTTCTGCTCCACAACATGATTGAGTGAGCGAGCTTCGATCTTGAGCTTGGTGTACTCCTTGCGTGCCATCTTGCCTCTCCACCTCGTCTGCGCCTTTAGACAGGCCTTGTTCAACAGGTGCAGGTGCTCTGCTTCCTTGGCCATCCTCACATAGCTCTGTAGTATCTCTGATGCCCTCTCGATGCGCAGCTGTTCGAGCATCTCGCCACTGGTGCACACTCTGAACAGGCCTTGCAGCTTGGTGGCGGAAACCAAAGTGTCCTGGTAGTCCCTGGCGGCCAGAGTTGATCTGATGGCAGTCTGCAGCACCAATGATGACTGATCCTCGAGAAGACCAATATATATCTGCTTAGAGGTGGCACGTCTGACGAGTGACTGAAGATGTTTTGCCGCATGTTGAATGGCCACGTACCTCTTCTTGCAGACAAAGCCCTTCCAATACTTCTGGATCATGATGGCCGACGCCCTCATGAGGTTGCCACGCATGATCTCCAGGTTGGCAATGATGCCAGATCTGAAGAAGATCTTCGTGAGACCCAGCTGCACCTTGGTGCCATCGATGCTAAGCAAGCGCATCAACACCTCGGAGCCCTTGCGCGGCTCCTTGGTCATGTCCAGCGCACTGGTCTGTGCGTTGACAAGTCGTGAGGCCAGAACCTTGTAGCGCTTGAAGAAGTTCTCGTAGGGCAGACGACCAGGATATCCCGATCGACTGATGCGCAGCTGCTCTATCACACCACCACATCGCAATTGCTGCAGAACCATCATGTCGCTAAAGTTGTCCGGTTGCTTCTGTGTGTTGGGCTTGATGCAGCGGATGTAGTGTGGGTTGGTGCTGTTGATCGTGGTCATCAGATGATTGAGTGACTCCTTGAATTGCGATGTCACCGAGAGGAACTTGAGAGACTTGCCTCCAGCAGACGCCGAGGGCGCTGGTCCCTTTGTGGCGCTACCACCAATTGTCGTGACCAACTTGCGGAAGAACTCCCAGCTGCTGGCCTGTAGCGCCATCACCTGTTCCGGTATGATAAAGTCCTTGTTCTTCTCGAGGAACAGTGTGGTGTCGTAGTCGACCTTGCCAGCATAGTGATCGATGGTAAAGTGAACGTTGGAGAAACGTGGCTTCTCAAAGTGTTTGGTCTTGTTGTGATGGTTGGACGTCAGCTTTGTTGTGAGGGTCACTGGTGTTGCCTTGGGGAACTGCGTCTCCTCGTCCATTATCGACAGGATACCCAATGGCTTCTTCTCTATCAGGTCAATGCAGTCCTGGTTATCGTTGAACTTGATATACGACCAATCAATCTTCTCCTTTGTATACTCTTGTTGTTCCAGCTTGAATATCTGATGGTTGAATTGATTCTGTAGCTTCTCATTGGCCTGTTGTGATGCGATGTGGTAGGGATGGATTGGTTAGATATGGGCATGATTGGCAAGCATGGACCAAGGTCGAGGGTCAACATACATAATTGATCGTGAACTGTTCGAATGAGTTGGTCTCAAATGACTCAAATCTGGATGAATGGAGAGGGAGAGGTCAGTGTCAAGTCATTCGATCGAATCAATCAAAGTGGAGGACCATCATACCCATAGATATCAAGGATACCGATGAAGAGGTAGTCCTTTTTCTTCTTGTCAATGCATATGTTGATACGGTGAACGATCCAGTCGAATAGACGTGAGTAGAGGTACATGGCAAGGGAGTCCTTGGCCTCTTTGGATTGTTGAACAGTCATTGGGAGTGTGTATGTCTCATTGCCAGCCTTTATGATCCTCGTTAGCAAAGTGTTCTTAAGTTGATCGATCTTGCAACCCAACAACTCTGCCATTGTGATGAGTGGCGAGTATGAATGTTGAGTACTCTCCAATGTGTACTCGTCCACGATGGCAGATACATTCTCCTCTTTCTCGGCGAACTGGATGTTACCACAATGCAGAATGGCAGCGAGCACCTTCCAAACACCCATCTGATCGTCGTCTGTGAAGCCCATGACCTTGAGGGCCTTTTGTGTCTTTAAGAATACCTGTCCATCATCGATGTCATCGATTGTATGACACTCGCTCTGACTCAGGAAGACAAAGTCCGTGGGATTGGATGTGACCACCAGCTTGCTCCTAATGTCATCGCCAACACCAGCCAAGAACTGGTAAAATATATGATATGATCGTTCATGTTGTGGAGGTCTAACAATCCTAGACTTCTCCAACAAGTATGTATCCAAGTTTGCTCCAACAATCGTTCCCTTTGTCTTGTCAAAGTGTATTTGGATGAACTATTTTGTTATATGATGTGATTGGTTGATTGAGTTAGTGATTGGAATGATTCCAGACGATGATCATACCGGTACATACCTTTCCAAATCTTGAACTGTTGTCATTCCTGGATGTCTTGGCATTGCCAAATGCCTCGAGGATTGGGGTCGATTTGATGACTTGTGATTCAATGTTGTTGTTGTCCAGTGCCTCTTGCTTGGACTGACCCATCTTCTCACCCATGGCGGCAAAGTATTGCAAGAGGAACTTGGTGGACTCGGTCTTGCCAGCACCAGACTCACCACTGACCAATATAGATTGATTCTTCTGGCTGTTTAACATCTCCCTATACGACGCTTCTGCAATGCCGTATACATGTGGTGGCAGTTTGGACACTGTCTGATTGCAGAAACTATCAATCATCTCCTTCGTATAGAATGATAGTTTACAATAAGGATTGATTGCAATCAATATAGTTCCTGTATAAGTATATATAGTATTCAAGTTATATCTTGTCTTTAAGTTATGGATGACAGCAGGTTCCTGTTATTATTGTTGTTGTTGGGGTAGGGTATGTATTAGCAATGGTATCATTCCATTCCGTTGATTGATTGATCGGTCATACATGTAAATGTGATAGGTTGGTCATGTCGTCTAGACCTTCCTGAATGGATGGATTCTGCATCTTGAGGTCATCCTTGTGTATTGATATCTCTTGTCCATCGGCTACAAGCACAATGACAGAGTCACCTTGTTCGTCCACAATCTCACCAGAGGTCCAGGCACCAGTCTCCTTACATGGTATCCAAGCCTTTCCTCTATTAATTGATTCCATCATTATTCTTTCTTGTTGGATGGATTATTATTGTAAATAAATAATATATTGTTAAAGTTGATTGGGGTAATTATAATAAATAATATATATAAATATACAATGTGTTTGTTGTTGTTGTTGAGGCTAATACGCTAATGTTTGATGCTCTTGTCGTCCAACATCCAAAAGTAGCAAGTAGTTCCAGTCCAATCCAGTCCAGTCCAATTCGATCCAATCAAACTGTTGTTGATGAGTGTGACCAATCTGATTGATTGATTGATTGATTGATCAGTGTGTATGTATGATTCGTGTGTATGACTTGAGTATTATCTCTGTCTATTCTATTATCTATCTATCTATCTCCAAACAAGCAATCTAGGGGCAAAGATGAAGTTAAGCTAAAGTATTAATATCTTGTAGAGTGTATGTCGTTCAGAGTAATTGGCAACCTCTCTTCTCTCTATCTCTCTCTGCTCGAGTGGATATCCATTATCCACACACTCTCTCTCTTATCTTAACACATGTCAATGAGTGTTGTTGGGACCACAAACCGACACGCATCACCACACAACACATCAGCACATCAACACATCACCAACACCAACACCAACACAAACACAAACACAAACACATAACAATGTCTATCTTTACCTAAACATAGACTCACGTCGTACATGTACTACTTGTTGTTGTTATCTCTATCTCTCTCTGTTGTTGTTGTACTTGTTGTACAACTATTATCTGTTTGTCTGTCGTTGGAATGAATGACCCATCCAATTCACTTCACACCTACACTATTACTACTACTACTATCAATACCACCTATACATACTTTCACACATCAGGGCAGATCAAGTCAGGTGAACCGATATGTCGTGTATGTGTGTATGTGTATGTGTAGGTGTAAGTGTCTCTGTCCTTTAATGCATGTTGTTTGTGATAAAGTGTCCCGTCATTCATGTAAGGGGAAGAGTGGGTGTCGATGGGTGTTGTCAAGTGGGTCAACTGGTCTTTCTTTCTTTCTCGCCACCATGGTACACACAACAACAATCAAACAAACACACATTTAGCCCCGGTTCGAATATTGATCGGTGGAGAGAACAAGTAGGACTCAATCACTACTCCCTACTTGCTTAGATGCATGGAGATAGAGACCCTAATGTATAATATGCGAGGGAATGATGTGTTATAAATGTCTACTATAACACCACATGATCTGTTCAATCTGATTGATTGATTGACACGGTATAATGTTGTACAGGATAAAGAGATGGTTTGATATCATAAGGACATATTGATTGGTTGTGTGGTTGGTTGTGGATGGGTATGGTCTGATCAAAGGAGATCATCATTATTGGGATACATACTCTATTGATTGATTAATTGATTGATTAATAGATTGATTGTTTGTATGATATGATTGTTTAATTGAAGTTGATAATAGGTATATTATAATGGTGCAACGTTGTTAGAATCAGATGTTGAGTTCTGACAATCTCAGGTTTGTGACCCATGACTTTGACAAACTTGAGAAGTTCCATCGTTGTAATTTTTATCCTTTTTAGGACTTTGGGACTGGTCCCAACAACAAAAAATGGACCACTATGGGTCCAAATGCAAATAATAACAAACAAATAAACAAATATGTATTATGTTTAAATGGACCAGAATGACAATGTAGGTCTACGGACACCACAATTGATTCAACCATTACTTCTCAAGATATTGAGTTATACATGGCATTCAGCTTCAAGACCAAAGAGATGTCTGGAGGCACATCGTTGGAGACTATCACTCTCACTCATCAGTTGGAGAACACATCAACTCGTCTCAACAGTACTCAATGATACACTACTTTTCCTTTCATAAAAATATCTCGTTCAAGCAATCGATGAACGACATATTGTCATGAGTACAACAACAAAGACATCATCATCATTCAATCGATACTCACTGGTACAACGACCACTACGAAGTCAGACAATCTGTACATATGAACACTCTGATCATCAATGTGATCCAGACCCATCAACATGCCCCAACGTCTCACTGAGCTGGTAGCATTCAGATCATTGCTCAGCACCAGTCTGGAACATCTCTACATCGAACTGGACATGGTCAATGAGTAACTAACATCGGACCTGAACATCAATCTGACTTCGATTGTGGCCACGCATTATATAGGTGAGGTGCCATAGGAGTTAATCGGCTTAGCACACGAGCGGGTCTCATCACTTGTAATTCGCAGCAGTGGATCTACATCGGAAACTTGGATCCATTGACCAACCTCATCAGCAGTCCATCATTGTGCAATCTTACACGCTTAAAGCTTATTGACTTTGACGACAATGAGGGTATCGGATACATGTTGATCGATCCGGATCATGTAGACGTGTTCTTTGACAGTCTCTCAAAGACGGCACATCAACTCACCTACCTTGAACTGATACTGGACCTCTTCCCTATCGACTACCCTGATTTGGACGTAACCAGATTCGAGGAGTTGTTGCTCTCATATCTCAAGGCGGCGTCATCACTCACAACATTCAAGTTCAATCGATCCTTTATTGACCAGGGTATCAATCGATACCTGCTTCAATCGGCACCATCATCAACACTCACCAACTTGAGTCTGACCTTTGACAGCTGTCCATCATTCGGCATCACCAGATCAATCAAAAAATTCAAGTTGGAAGACGGTGGAATAATTAATGCTTATGATAATGATAATGTATTCATCAAGTCGATCGATTAACATGTTCGACACTTCAAGACACGGAGCTGTCACCTTATCCCAAAGTTCAACATTCAAACAATCATCATCACAGTGGACATTATCGCAATGGTGGAATCTCGGTTTGAATCAGTATGTTCATGGTTGAAGGCAAACAACGCACTAAATACATCTACAATACTTTGCACGTCAGAACATGTTCATGTATATGAACTCAATATCCAAAATATGAGCATATTCAACTCAATCATCCAACAACATCCATCAATCATCATTAAGTCATCATGGAACTCTTCGGTATTTGTATTGGATGAAGAATAATTGAATGATCATGACATAAGCCCAACCAAGACAAGGGCATTTGGTATGGTCCATGAAAGGCAATACCCATAAAGTTTGGAAGTTGAGTGTGGTCGGAAAGTAGATCGCACCCTTGATTGATTATGATCAGATCTATTGATCGCACCCCTTCGCAACTGTCAAACATATATTATCAATCAAACTATTAAAAGTACATTATCTCAAACCTCCAACGTGTAACATTATCACAAACCAATCTATTAGTAATAATAACATTTGGAAACAACTGACATGAATGATCGCCACTCTCAACATTGTTGTGACCAAGGCCATCTTTGATCATGTGATCGAGCAAAGTGGTGGCGTCCAAGATCATGTGCTAGATGCACTCTCATTGGGACTGTCCTGCAAACGCTTGTTTCATATGATGCGAGTTACTCTTCCCCAAGCCATACCCTACACATGGTCATCATCACACAATCACCTCGATCCATTGTTGCCAACATCAACGACAACGATGACAACAACCTCAGTCTGTACTGCCCGATGTTGGCCAACAACCAGTTGATCACACCATCAACATTCAATCAGTCGCTGACCGATCTAACATTCGGCGATACATTCAATCAAATGATCAGGACGGGTTGTTTGCCGGCCTCCCTCCTAGAACTTACATTTGGTAATGACTTTGATCAGGAGCTGGCGGCATTCGCACTGCCATCATCCATCACTAGACTATCCTTTGGGATACCACGCAGTAGCTCATACCTCGACAACATCACGTCTGGCAGCAACTTTGACCATCCCATCCAACCCAATGCATTGCCGTCGTCATTAACCGAGTTGTTGCTGGGTAGAAGCTTTGATCAGATGATGCCAGTGGGATGCCTACCTCCCTCTCTGACCATACTTGCATTCGAGTATGCCTCCGACTTTGATCGTCCTATAGCCTCGGGCACTCTGCCCATCGGCCTCAAGACCCTGCTGTTTGGACCAAGGTTCGACGGCACACTTGAGCCAGGTGTGCTCCCGCCGGCACTCCAAACACTCACACTCAGCCGAGCAAGTCACCTCAGACTCTTGCCAGGGGTCCTGCCCCAATCACTCAAGACATTGAGGTTCCTGTTGGCCTCAATGTATAACGAGCCAATCGCGCCGGGCACCCTCCCGGATGGTCTGCGAGAGCTGGCCTTTGGAAATAGATTCAATCAAGACATTATGCCAGGTGTCCTACCGTCGTCGCTGACCAAGTTGACGTTTGGGATCGACTTCAAGTATGAGATTGCGTCGGGAGCACTGCCGTCATCACTCAAGGTCTTAAAGGTGTTGGTCGATCGACCTGTACCAGTTGGTTCGATCCCCGCATCGCTGGAGGACTTGTACATTGGCTCGCGGTATCCTATCATGCCAGGCTATCTCCCGGCTGGCCTAACATCCTTCAAGTATCTCGACCAACTGCTCACACGAGATCTGCTGCCAAACACGCTCACACACCTTGCCCTAGGCTTCTTGTTCAAGGGCTTCGAACATGGTGCATCATTCCCTCTCTCACTAAAGCACATGACTCTGAAAAACTTTGGTCAGATGTCGTTTGTGCCCCGATGGGTGGACAGGGTCACAGTTGCGCGAGTGGCTTCACAGACTGTCCTGCAATCATCGATAATCTTAAAGGACTTGATGATATCGGCACGAATCACTCAGGTACATCATACGGAACCACTGTCAGAGTGGGCACCAGGTATCGACTTGCAAGCATTGCTAAATGATATGCCCAATGTACGAACATATCATGTTAGTAGTATTGAGGATGGATTGATCGAACCAACAGACATTGTATCAGTACACATACGCAAAATGGACCCATCACAAGCAATTTATATAATCAAGAGGAGAACCAATCGAACAAGTTTCACAAGGCGTGGCTGGGTCGATATACACGCCATTCCACATAGACCAAATAACGTAAAAAATATATATATATCAAAGTATGTCAAATGGTGACATAAACTTTAATAATCATTATCATTCTCTATCTCTATCAGTTATACTTATCAATTAAATGAATGATTGAATGAGTGAATGATGTGATCAAGATGATTTATAGACTCAACAAACCAAAATGTTGTTAAAGATAAGATCCCATCCACGCTACACCTTGTAAAATTACCAAATTAGGTTAAAAGTCCTCGAGGTCGAGCAATTCACGAGATCGTGTCCTTCCTATGTTTGGGCATCTGCAAAGCTGTAAAGTTCCAAACAAAATATATGTGTTTGTGTGTTGGCTTGCTCTACAAACAAGATGCATGAGCAAACAAGTGAGTGTATTCAAGTATGGTGTTAGTACTTGTTGGGTGTATGTTTCAGATTCGAGTGTAACATGTCACTCTTATCTCTTGTGTGGGTGAATGTATGTAGACGTCTCCATACACTATTGACATCAATTTGTTTGGATAGTTGGTTGTAGTCACTGACATTGAGTCTGAGACAGTCTGTCAATGCTTCATTCATCATTGATGAAACAATAGTCTACCTATATATATTATTATATTCAAATATTGAAACAAATAATTAATCAATCAAACAAAGAATTATTATTAATTTAAATTAAAAGATGTCCTCATCCCCAGCATCTTCATCATCTTCAAGTCGACAATTGTCGGCGGATGAGTTGTCGGATATTATTTCCAATGAGGATATAAATAAGATAAAGTCATGTGGAGGTGTTAGAGGTATTGCAAACCTACTAAACAGTAACCTAGAGCGTGGACTATCAACCGCAGAGAGAACATCCGAAGAAAGAATCGAACGATATGGTGCCAATAGGAACAAAGAAGTTCAACTCAAATCCTTCTGGTTCTTTGTCTGGGAAGCCGTACACGACAAGACTCTACTCATTCTTATTGCCGCCGCTACTGTATCCATTATCCTCGGTCTAACAGTGGAGGACCGTGCCACTGGCTGGATTGATGGTACTGCCATCTGGTTCGCTGTTATTATTGTCGTGATGGTCACCGCTGGAAATGACTACAACAAAGAGAAGAAGTTCAGGAAACTTAATGCAATCCGTAATGAACATAACTGCTCCATAATTGTCGATGGACATCTCAGCTCAATTCCAGTTACCGACATTGTAGTTGGAGACATCGTTCGACTTGAGTCCGGAGATACCGTACCAGCCGATGGTCTATATATTAATGGAACAAGTATGTATCAATCAATCAATCAATCAAACATAATACTAACTTTTAATCAATCAACAGACTTGTCCGTTGATGAGAGTGCAATGACTGGAGAGTCTGATGCCAAACACAAGTCGGATTCCGAACCATACATGCTATCTGGATGCCAGATCACTGAGGGCAGATGTGAGATGTTGGTGATTGCAGTTGGAGTCAACTCACAATGGGGCAAGTTGAAGTCATTGCTTGAGGTACCAGACTCTGACACTCCATTGACCGTAAAGTTGGAATCCTTGGCAGAGTCAATTGGAAAGTTTGGTTTGATCGCCGCCATGGTCACGTTGATCATTCTGATCGTCAAGTTCTTCATCTGGTATGGTACCAATCACAAGTCCTGGGAATGGTCCTACCTTGGCACTTTGGTCGGCTACCTCGTCACCTCCATCGCCATCATTGTCATGGCCGTACCAGAGGGTCTCCCACTGGCCGTTACAATCTCTCTCGCCTACAGTATGATGAAGATGATGAAGGATAACAACCTGGTTCGTCACTTGGAAGCCTGTGAGACAATGGGTGGTGCCAGCAACATTTGCTCCGACAAGACTGGAACATTGACCATGAACAGAATGTCCGTCGAGAACAGTATCATTGGTCTGAACCTCAAGCAACCTAGTGAACCAATTATCAAGTTGCTGGCCGACAATATCTGTTTGAACTCCACTGCCTACCTGGTCCACAAGCGTGATGGGGTGCCCAACGATCACTTTGGAAGCAAGACTGAGTGTGCTCTGCTTGAGTTTATCGAGAAGTTCAACATTGACTATGAGCACTACCGTGAGGCCAACAAGGCAAGAACCATGCAAATCATTCCCTTCTCCTCAGAGAAGAAGATGTCAGGTATCGTTCTCAAGGGTACCGATGCTGGACAAGCTACTTTGTACATCAAGGGTGCAGCCGAGATTGTGTTGTCAAGATGTAACACAGTTCTCTTGGAGGATGGTTCTTCGCGCCAGTTTACCAACGAGGAGAAGTTGCTTGTATCCAAGGACATTGAGTTGTTTGCCAGCTCTGGTCTGAGAACATTGGTCCTTGCTCAAAAGCCTATGAAGCCAGATACCGAGGTCAACCTAGGCGGCGAGTATCAGTTCACCTTCACCGCACTGGTCGGAATCAAGGATCCAGTTCGTCCAGAGGTGCCTGCTGCAGTCAGGAAGTGTCAACATGCTGGTATCACTGTCAGAATGCTCACCGGAGACAACATTCTTACAGCCAAGAACATTGCCAGAGAGTGTGGTATCTTGAAGGACGGAGGTGTGGCTATTGAGGGTCCACAACTTAGACAGCTGTCCACCGACCAGATCGACATCCTCTTGCCTCATCTCCAAGTGGTCGCAAGATGCTCTCCAACCGACAAGTACACATTGGTTCATCGCCTCAGGGAGCTTGGTGAGGTAGTGGCCGTCACTGGTGATGGAGTGAACGATGCTCCTCAACTCAAGGAGGCCGATGTTGGTTTCTCAATGGGTATTGCTGGTACAGAGGTGGCCAAGGAGGCGTCCGACATTGTGCTTCTCGATGACAACTTCTCATCGCTGGCCAAGGCTGTCATGTGGGGAAGGAACGTCTACGACTCGATCAGAAAGTTCATTCAGTTCCAATTGACAGTGAACTTTGTTGCCGTGACCATTGCCATCGTAGGTGCCCTTACCAATGGTGAGAGTCCACTTCGTCCAATCCAAATGCTCTGGGTCAACTTGATCATGGATACCCTTGGTGCACTGGCCCTGGCCACTGAGCCACCAACGGAGAAGCTGTACGATCGTCTTCCATATGGTAGATTTGACTCCTTGATCACCAGAAGAATGTGGCGCAACATCATTGGACAGACTATATATCAACTGTCATTCTTGTTCGCCATCATGTATGGTGCTAAGGCTATGGTCAATCTCTTTGACCTCCCTCCAACAGACGTTTGGACCGACCACGACCAACTTGTATATAGAACCATCATCTTCAACACCTTTGTCTTCTGTCAATTCATCAACGAGATCAACTGTAGAATACTTAACAATGGTATGTTAATTACTTATGAGCTAAACCAATGTGCTTTACACTTACTTACTCTGAAACAACAATCTAGACTTGAATGTATTCAGAGGTATTCATAGAAGCCAATTGTTCCTTGGTATCATGGCTGGAACAATCGGTATTCAAGCTCTTCTGGTACAATTCGGTGGAGACTTCTTTGGAACAAGACCGTTGGACGGCTATCAATGGCTGTTCTGTCTGGTCATTGGATCGGGTGGCATCATTTGGGGTGTCATGCTCAGACTGATCCCAATTCACGACCAGAAGCCAGCGTCAAGAAAGGTTCTGCCCCTCAAGCAGGGTGAGTTGGGCGACATTCAGATCGACATTGAAGAGTCGCAGCCATTGCTCGGCAAGGAGAGCAAGTGGAGAACAGCCAAGCGTGTGTTGACCCAGGTGAATGTTATCTCTGCCATGAGAAACCAGCCTCGTTTGAAGAGGACCAAGGGTTTATTTCTATCCAAGACCTCCGACCAACAGTCTAGAAGAAGAGGAAGCAGCAGCAATATTGCTGGCAAACAATAAAGACTGGATAGAGATGGAAGCTCTACCGTATCCTTAGACAATACAAACGATGGCACTGAGTTGCCGTGTCTACCAGGGCTTGTGAGGGCGAGTAGGACTGGGTGAGCAAGGTGATATCGCATAGGTTTGGCGAGCGAGTGTGCACCTCTGCCAAGAACTGTACAAGGGCGTCCTCGCTTATGTTGGTGTTGTTGAGATTGATACTGAGTAATGTTTGATTGGAAAGCAGTGCAGATACAATGCTGTAGGAAGACTCTTTCAACTGGCAGTGGCTGACATTGAGATGCTTGAGTCGACATGTAGTCTGTATGTACAATGATAATGTGTCGCCAAACGATCTTGTAGACACACGGTTATAAGATAGATTGAGTGACTCCAGTCCGCAGGGAATGGCTACTGCTCTGCATCAGTGAGCGGATCAAAGTGATACAGCCATTGTCGGTGATGGCATTGTGGCTGAGGTCCAGACACTTCAAAGTAGTGTTGTGCTCAAACACCTTGGCCAGAGAGCGTGCCGCCTTGTTAGACAGACAGTTGGCCGAGAGGTTGAGATTAGTCAGAGATGTATTGCTACATAGGGCATCGATGAACGTGAAGAGACTGTCCCCATCCTGTATATAGTTGTGAGATAGGTTGAGTAGTTGAAGTTGAGAGGTCTTTGATCGCAGTACTCTGTTGAGTGATTGTAATGTCGCTCCATCACATTGATTATCAATCAATGCCAAGTAGGATATGTTGTTGTGGCATCTAGTAGTGGTCTCGGTATTGTTGTTTGTATCATGCTGTGGCTGAGACGTGGACTGGAACAAAGAGTCGATGATAGGAGGTAGCGTTACATCAGTTGCACCACGCTCAATCGTTAATGAGCTGATTGATGGTATGTTCTCAATTGGAATCCTTGTGAACTGGTACATAGGCAACTTGCCAATCAGATGTAGTAGGTGCACCGATGTGTTCTGACCCATACTGGCGAGGATGTCCTGTTGTGACCCAATATCGTTGGTGTCCTCGGCTTGATGTATCTTTAGAGCATGACATCCTTGTGTATCCTGTAGGAACTCACGATAGAGATCGAGCATCACCTGTCTGTCCGTCTTTTTGGAGTGTCTCTGCTTCAGATGTATGTTGACATACTGGAACTGAATGGGTAGTCGCTGTTGACAGAGCACACCAAACCTTGACAAATGGACAAGTTCCCTAAACTCGCCAATACTACCCACGTGTATGTACTTGTAGAACAGTGAAGGTACTATTGCCAACCAATGCTTGCATACCAACGACAATGTTAACATTGATCTGACCATTGCAAACTCGTGTATATGTCTGTGTTGATGTCGCAAGTTGCCACCCATTGGTATTGGCAATGTTTCGGCTTCGGCTTCGGCTTCGTCATCAACCTCTCCGACTCCTGCTGCCGCTGCTGCTACATCCGAACCAAACACCATTGTGTTACTACGTCTGATGTTTATATCATCTTCATCATCGTTGTTGTTATTATTATTGTTGTTGTTGATATCATCATCATCATTGATGTTGTTGTGATCGATCTCTGATTGACAATCAACATCCAATATACATTGGAATATCTGTTTAAGAATGATAATATGTAGGTTTACAATAGGATGATCATCCGTCATCTCTTGATTATTACTTTGTAATCATTATACATTACTGTCGACATCAAATGATCGATCATCCAAACTTTGTTCAAGCCAAAGTGTGGCTGTGTAGTTCACGCGATGGTAAGGGTTAGGGTTGGCGAGGCGAGGGTTTAAACCCTCACCTGATGATGATGATGAGGAAGGTGATTGATTGGTTTGTTTAATATATGTATGTATGTATATATATATATATATATTGGTTGACGCTTTAAAGCTCCCATGACGGCTTGTCAGGGAAGTAATCTTCAAAGAACTGACGAAGCTCTTCAATAACATTCATGTTTGGATTGTCCACGCTCAGTCCATCGTTGAGACACACGGTCTTTGGCTTGATACTCTTGATTCGCTTGAGTTCGTACTTGACCTTGTCCAAATCATCAGAGAGCAGCGCATAGTAGTTGATAGGACTGGGTTCGAACGTGGCATAATATCGCAACACGTATTGGAGATGCAGGAAGGGCATCTGGAGATCCTGCGCCGTTCTGAATGGATGTGATGAGCTCAGTTCAAATGCCGCGGGCAGGTCATGTTGCATCATCTTGAGTATATTCTTGTTGAATGTGTTTGTACCATGTGATGAATAATGTCTATTGCTATTGTCCACTCCCCAAAGTCCATTCAGTAATTCGTTACTGTACTTTATACATCTGTTGTGTTTGTGGCACAAGACTGGTTAGCATCGGATGATGGATGTGATTTGGAGGTACATACGCATGCCAAATGTTCTTTAGTTTGGCCTCTGGCTGTGGGGCAGTCCAGCCTGACTTGTATATCGCCTGTCCATAGACTGGATCCCAAAAGTCCTTCATCTCTACTGGTGATCCAACAAAGATATCATCATTGAAGTATACAAAACAGTCGGATACAAAGTCTGGGAGGTTGTAGAAGTTTGTCTCTATCGCATTCGAGTTGAATGTTGGCAGGTCGTCCCTAGATGATGAGTTGGAGTTAGTCACAGTCACGTGGCCAAGTGTGTCTATTTGTGCGTGCAACAAGACATACAGGTTCTTGAAGAACTCTTGATGAAAGATGAACCGCACATCCTCGCTAGATTCATTGAACCATTGTGGATACTGATTGTCTGAGACGACAAACACTCTTCGTACCCAGGGCGCGAACTTCTTCAGACTTCTCAAGGAGTACTTCAATCCCATCAAGTCTCTAAACCTATTGTTTCCAGGTGCTGCATATTTACTTCCACTGATCGTTTGAATGAATGAGTGATCAAATGAATGAATGAACTTTGAATGAAGATGCATGACATACCCTCCTGATCGCTCTATTCTTGATTTGATATGTTTGGGATCACTACCATTGACCCATGTATATACAATGTCCATGTGCTCACAGCGATAGACAGGTTTGTCGGATATAGTCTTATCTACCGTTGAACTACTTGTATTGATCAAGTACATGGCCATACCAAACAGCCACAGGAATGAGATGACCAAGAATATAAGGTGGTGTGTCTTCATTTCTGTAACTGTTCTAATAAGAATATAATATATATATATTATGTGATTGATTGAATGTTTAAATGATTGTTTAAGTGATGATGATGTTGATGATGACCCTTGACCCCAACAAACAAACACTGTCGCAAGAGAGAGTGCAAGTGTGAACAATGCTCACTTTCACACACTGCACAAGCCCACGATGTGGGGAAATGCAAACAATGTTGATTGATGTGATGAGCTGTGAACTGTGGAAGTTCGATCGATCAAAAGTCAAAACTTTAATTATGGGAGAGTGTCCTTCCACCTTAGTATTCATCGAGCTGGATCTTGAGGTCGGCCTCTGGTGCCCTGTACTTCTTCTTGTTGTTGTTGTTGCTACCATTGGCACCCTTGCCACTGTGCTCTCCAAAGAAGTGACTGTTCCTAAAGGCACTCTTCTCCATCACCAGTGCAAACTTGTCGGTGAGCTCAGGGTCCTCGGTGACGTCCATGAACGCAATGATATCACCATCCTTTAGCAGCCATGGCTTGCCTCGCATCTCGTTTGGATTAGCAACCTCTGACTTCTTCTTCTTGAGGGGTCTGGGAGGAGGGGGTGGTGGCGCAGGGAACGCGATGTCATACAGGGCCACGGCAGCATCGGCCAGAGGAGATGATTGATCTGCGTCAGCAGCAAAAATTTCAGCGACTATATCTGAGACTGAGATTTTGTTGTTGCCATTGGTCTGATTGTTGTCAGCTGGTATCAATGGTGGAACATCATTGGCTTGAAGGTCTGTGGATGGTGTCGAGGGGATCACATCCTTGTCCTTATCCTTATTGCTCTGTTGCTGTTGCTGTTGCTGTTGCTTGGTATCTCTCTCCTCGATAACCCTCCATGGACTGTTGGACACCTGATGTGTGATGTACTTGTAGAGCTTGAGGTTCTCCTCAGGTACGCCGTAGGTCTTGGACACTTGATCCCTGAGATCGGCAATGGTCTTGCCCGTGAAGTATACTTGTTGAGGTTGCGAGAAGCATTGAATATCAGGGTGACGTCGATGTATGTACAGGAGTACGGGTGGTGGTACGATTGAGTCAGGGTTGGGGGGAAGCGTGCTCTTGTTATAGAACTCCACAGTGATGTTGGACTCTTGCTGGAGATGCAGCTTATCCAACTGCTTGTTGGCATTGACAAAGCCTGATATCAGCTTCTCCTCCAGCCACAGTCTAATGTCGACATCGTCGGTGATGGCATTGAACGCGTGGTTCTTGAGGGGCTGCCAGTCAAGCAGCAGAGTCTTGAGATCGGTAATGGTCATCTTCTTGTTGACAGAGAGGTCGCCCAAGCTGTTGATCGTGTACAGGCCCATGATTGGCGGGATGTATTGAGGATTCAGATGGATGATGGGTGAGGAGGGCACTGGATACTTCTTGTCCTCGTCATAGATCAATCGATACACGGAGAACTTGAGTAGTATCTCATTGATCGATGGCACGATGCCCTCTGTGATGGCCAGGAGATCCTCGGCACGAATGCCCGACTCCTCTAGCGTCCTGTCCTCGTCGGCAATGATGAACTGGGGCGTGTCGAATGAGTCGGTGTTCTTGAGCACATACTTGGCAAAGTCGTCCGCGTTCAGGCCAATGTGCTCGAGCATCGCCTTCTTGAGATCCAACACTGTGCCCTTCTTTGGGAAGTACACAGTCCTGTGAAGGTTGTCCACAAGGTAGAGGAATCTGATTGGTATCTTTTGCTGTGTTGGTGTGCCCTTCTCGATGATGATCAATGATCCGTCGGTAATGTCCACATCCTTCATCAGGAATGAGTCATCCGATATCGATGTGCCAGGTGCACCGCCACGCTGAGTCTTCCTGATGATGGTCGATCTCATCAAAGCCTCCTTGTCATTGGGCCTGATCGTCTCAAGGATGATATCCTTGAGCTGCAGTATGCTGGACTTGGGATGAAGATGAACGGTTGTGGGCTTGACATCCATGACACTGTCGCCAATGTCAATGCGATCCTGCACGTACACCTGTATCTTGTATTTGTTGGTCTCGAACTCTTGTCGCAGCTGGCTCTCCTCGGGAGTCAGTGTGGAGTCCTCGACCAACAGTCTGATGCTGTTGTAGATGCGATCGGCGAGTGCGGCATGAGGCATATCATTCTCGAGTGCTATCAGTGTGTTCTGGGCGCAATGGTAGATGGCCAGCTTTTCCACGGGCAGACCACAGGCGCCAGAGATCTGCTTCTGGAGGTCGCTGAACTGCATTTGTCGCTCAATCGACATCTGATGCTCCTCTCTGATCTCCTCGCCCTTCTTGTAGTGGACGACGGTGAATGTGATTGGCGGGGAGCGGATGCCATGGGCCGATGCGCCCTTCCACACCAAGAGGAAGGCGCCCTCGCGGACGCCAAACTTGCGAACACTCAGTGATGAGACAGGCTCGAGGGGCGAGCCCAGCAAGACCTTGCCCTCCTTGATGTTGATCTCCTGGATGACCAGGCGAGCAGTGGGGTCGATGCGATCCTCGTAGGTGCTGCGAACCTGTTTGTAGATGTCCTGGCAGGAGACGTTGTTCTCTATCTTCATCACCATGTGCTCGAGCTGATCGGCATTGCTCTTGGAACACAGCACATTGTCCACAATATCAAACTCCTCGACGAAGCGTGGGTAGACATAAGTATAGTTAACCGAGTTGTCAAAGGTTTCGCGTTGTTGCTCCAACTCTGTGTTGAACTTGGCCAACTCTGCCTCCATATGTAGTGGCACCTCATTGCTCTTCACCTCGCCAAGCGAGACGTTTCTGTACACCAGCATGTCTGATTGGTAACAAAGGTTAGTTAGTTATTGTTGGACTCATTGCTGGCTGGTGGTGATGACTTACATGCACTCTCATGTTTGTTACCAAACTGCCTCTTGATGTAGGCATCGGGGATGGGTGTGACTGAGCTGTCGTTGAAGTCGAACCAACCTGAGTAGACTGGTGGACCCTCGTCCTCTTGCTTCTTCTTGTTCTTCTTTGATTTGTTGTTCTTGTTGTTGTGGTTGTTGTTGTTCTGTTGTGTTTGATTGGTAGTCTGGTTATCGTTACCTCCTCCCAAGCCTTGCTCTTCTTGGTAGGTTAACGCTTCAATGTACAGGTCGTTTGTGTTTGTGGTGGTGGTGGTGTCGTTGTTGTTTGTTGCGGCAGTGTCAGTTGTACCATTGGTGGCAGCATCACTGTTTGTGTTGTTGGTATCTGGTGTTGGTTGGGTGGCAGCGGGAGTAGTAGCATCAGTCTGATTGTCTTGAGTCTGCTGTTGTGGTTGTGTCTCGTCGACTGGATGGATGACACCTAGCTTGGTGATGTCCTTGATGTACGCATGGTAGTGACCGCCATAGGCACCGCCACTGTGAATGAGAACCGTGAACAACTCGTAGATTTGATCCGCTGGCTTGGGAACTGTTGTAGGGTTCTTCAAGTGCAGTGAATGATCAGAGGTATATGGCGTCATGTTCAATGTCATTGGGAACTCGAACGATGATGTGATCTTCACTCTTGCCTCCTGTTGTATGTGTGAGTTGAGTGTGAGTGAGTGATGGGATATGGAAGGATGGCGATCCTGCTTAACTTACCCTCTCAAAGTCAAAGTCGAACCTTCTGAGGGGAAGGACGAGGATTGGTGGAAGCTGACCCATCTTGGCACCAAAGTTGGCGACGACCTTCTCGTCGCAGGACTCACAATGATACATGTTCTTGCCATCAAGCACCTCTGGTGTGACCAAGGCAGCCAAACTGTCCTGCAATGTCTTGTGTCCCTTGATTGGTATCGATACATCCTGATAGTACTCATCTCTGTCCTTGATCTCTGAATGAATGTGAATGAATGGAATGAATGTGTCAGCCATCATGATGAGTTAGGAACACGAGTCCAAGGAGTATACATACTTCCACACTTTGTACATTCAATACGATTGATGAGCACGCCACGGTAGAGGTTGTTGATGAGGCTCTCGATTGAAGTCTGTTTGATCGAGTGCTCAAAGGCGTCGTATAAGATACGATTGAGCTCGTGGATGTCTTGCTGTTGACCAGCCTCATTGCCATTCCAGCCAAATGAGCGTGTCAAGTCCTCAGTGCCAATGGAGTGTACATCACCCTTTTGCAAGAATGAGAATAGCTTCTGAAGCTCGTATGCCAACACTCTTCCTCTCCTCCTCCTCTGTTGTTGTTGTTGTTGTTGTGGTTGTGGCTGAGGCTGAGGCTGAGGTTGGACCTGAGTTGCTTGAGATGAGGGGATGAGTGGAGGTAGGTTATCGAGGGAGTTTGGAGCGCTGTCCCTGGCCGCTGCCAACACATTGTTAATGTTGGTTGCGTCGTAGACCACTACCGCCCTTGAGTTGTCATAGTATGCGTTGTTGTTGATGTGGTTGTTGTTTGACTCGACGTTAAGATGTGACTTGTTGTCATCTTTGAAGCCCAGCAGTGAGAAGGCGGCAAACTCCTCATCACCACCCTTGTTGCTTGGGCCTGCAGCGTGTGCTTGCAGGGGCGAAGACGTGACACATTCTTCGTCGGTGGCCGACAGTATCCAATCGATTAGACGCTCCTGTTGGTATGAATGAGGGAACTTCTGCAGACCTACAAGTACCTTGTGCTCCGCAAAGCCAAAGGCCAGGATGGACTGCACGTACTCTTGGTCGTAGTTGGACAGATCGTCCAGTGGATGTGACGCCGACACCAAGTCTTCGGAGGAGGTCAAGTGCTGAACGTCATTGTACTGAGCGTTGGGCAGTGGTGACGTCGATCTCCTTGGCGGGTATGTGCTAATGTTCGAGTCGTCCTCCGACATAAAGGACGTCATCGTTTCAGCATCATATCGTATTGAGTTATTATTATTGTTGTTGTTAGCACCTGTTGTTGTAGTTGTTGTTGTAGTTGTAGTTGTTGATGTTGTGGATGCATCCTCAGGTGCTGTTGCCGTTGTGTTTGATGAGGATTGAGTCTGTGTCTGTGATTGATCATTAACATTCTCAAGGTTCATATCAGCTAATGATAGTTTGTACAAGTTATTCTTGAGTTCAGGTGTCATATACATCATCTGGATAAGACTGTTCAAGTAGCATGTGGCACCTCTGTTTCATACATTGATTGATTGATTGAGAGCGTGAGTGAGTGAGTGAGTGATCACCAAGAGGAACAGTTCAAACTTGATACAATACTGATTGAGTAGACCAACAAAGCCATGAGGAGACCTCTTTGTAGGTGGCTTCTTTGAATATGTTGTGTTGCGCAGTGCTGGGTATGGTGCACGGTCATCCGTAGCCAGATCATCTTCATCGAATAGTCCACGAAACATGTTTGGTCCTCAATCTAAGATATTATGCTGTAATGTATATATATATAAATATGAATGACGAATAAGTTGAATGAATGAATGAATGAATGAATGGATGAATGTTATATGTTATGAATACAAAGAAAAAGATAAGATGCCCAATTTGACTGACTTTTGATCATCAAGTGGTCTGTCTACTCATCCATTTAAATTAAATTTTTAATCTTTGTTGTGATGATGAAGGTGATTGTTCTCAACAACAATACTATTCATCTCTGGAAAAATGAAAGAACATTGGACTTATCATTTGAAGTTATCTTGTTCTTTCCTAATCAACTAAATGATTAATGTAATTTTTAATTTCCAATGATGTATGGATACTGGATAAAATATACAATTCTATTTTAATATCAAACAAATAAATATATCAATGAATAAAAAATATTTTTATTTATATATCTTTAAATCAGATTTAATATTTATTTGTAATTGTTGTAGTTGGTTGGATGAGTAGTGAGTGGTTGATTTAGTGGTTGGTGAAAAGTGTGAACTGACTGAGACACACTCACTCAAACGAATAACAACAAGAAGATATCGCCCGCAACAAACAAACAACACAAACACCAACTTATTAGATCACTCACTTAATCAATCAATCAATCAATCTATCATTCATTCAATCAATTAATCAATCATTATTATACATATAAATAATACTTTACTTACTACGTTCAATCATTCAATCATTATCTCGATAACCAACTTGTAATTTAAACAAGCAAAGACAAAAAAAAAAAAAGAAAGAAGCTGCAAAGATGTTCTCTGGCGCATTGAATTATATGAAGAGCTTTGTTGCTCCGACAAACTTACAGGTGGAGGAGAGTGGAGCAGAGACAAAGGCTGAAGCACCAGTAGCTGACCAAGAGCAACGTGATGGTTTGTTCAAACAATTGGCCAATCACATTGGTAAGGATGTCACATCGATGATATCCCTGCCAGTCTGGGTGTTTGAGCCAGTGTCCTTCCTTCAAGTGATGGCCGAGCCACTCCAATACAGTTCACTTCTCGACAAGGCTGCCAACGACGCTAACCCCTACCATCGACTAGCCTACATCGCCGCTTTTAACTGTGGACTCTACAGTACTGCCGTCAGGACAAGTATGTACCCTATTTGTTGTTGTTGTTATGACTGACTGACTGACACGCAACACAACAGAGAAACCATTCAATCCTATACTTGGTGAGACATTTGAGGTTGTGAAGGAAGGTGACTTCAAATTGATTGCTGAGCAGGTGAGCCATCATCCACCTATTGGTGTGTCTGAGACTACCACTCAGTCGTACACGTTGCAGTTGGAGACTGAGTTGAAGTCCAAGTTCTATGGCAACTCATCCGAGGTTGAGATCAATGGCACCAACCATTTCATCAACAATCAGACTGGTGAGCACTTTTCCTGGGGCCACATCGTGACGTCGTGCCACAACATCATCATTGGTTACACATGGCTTGATCACTACGGTGAGATAACCATCAAGAATCATACTTCGGGCGCTCGCTGTGTGCTCAAGTTTGCCAAATCTGGCTGGTTGGGTGCCGGTCGCTACGGAGTCACCGGAGAGATCTTTGACAGCGAGAATCAGCTCAAGTACCGTCTGGTTGGCAAGTGGAATGAGAACCTCATTCTCCACGAGGTCGTGGCCAATGGACAGAACGATCCCAACCCAGTCACACTCTGGGAGGCCGCCAAGGAGACCATCACCAGCAAGTTCAACTTCCCCAAGTGGGTCGAGGACAATATCATCAGTATGTTATCATCAATCAATCATTGAATCGATTGAACGAGTTGGGATACTAATCATTCCATTCAATCAATCAAATAGACCTCTCACCAGAGTATGAGAAGATTTTGCCAGAGACTGACAGTAGAGTGAGAGCTGATAGGAGAGCACTTGAGGCTGGTGATATGGATAATGCTGGAAAGCATAAGCATACATTGGAGGAGAAGCAAAGAGCTGATAAGAAGGCAAGAGCTGCCGAGAACAAGGAGTGGGAGACTAGATATTTCACAAAGGTCGACGATGAGCTCCACACCTACCGCTGGAAGTCCAACAACAAGTATTGGGAGGAGAGAGAGGCCAGAGTCAAGGCATCAACATCCTCATGAGGAGTCCAAAGGGCGAGTCTACCAGAGTGAGTTCATACACATAGTCGAGTCATGTGTACATGGCCATACTATTCAATCTAATCCAATCAAATCCAACCAAATCCAAGATCAATCCAACTTCAATCAACATCAATAACAAGTAACCATTTGTACAAAAGATAGAACACAATAGAGTACATGCTCTATGTGGCCCTAGCGACGTTCATTGTAGGGCGAGTGAATTGGACTGACGTCAAAGGTGACGACAGTCTGACGGGGTGACTCGTTGCGCGGCGATTCGGTACCGATGCGTGGACCACGAGGAGAATCACGCGGTGATCGAGGCACCAGTGATGGAGGGAAGGCCAGATTGTTCAGACTGCGTATGGGATTGAATGAGCTGAGTGGCGACTGCTTAAATCGCGATGTGATTGATGGCGAAGAGGGAGTGGAGTGATCCACCGAGTGATAGAGTGGCGAGTGTCCGACCGATTGTAACTGTGACGAAATGCTAAAGTCGAGTGAAGGTACCTTGTTGGCGGGCGAGGTCAAGATCGCTGGTGATGAAGTGTTGGCTGCATCGCCCTTCTTCATCCAATCGCTCGTACTGCTTGGTGGCGAACGAATCGACGACAAGTTGAGGGGCGTGACTGGTGAGTGCGAGACTGAGATCGAGACTGGCGAGGAGGGCGGCGAGGACAGTGTGGTCGAGTCACGATGTCTCCTTGACTTCTTGCCAGGTGATGATAATGATGTAGTCGTCGTTGTTGATGTTGTATCGATGCGTAGCTTGGATGGCGACAACAACAGGTCTCCCGCAAGGTCATTACTCGATGTAGACATTGTCAGTTGACGCTCGCGATCCGTTCGCTTGATGATCTTCTTCATGTGTCTCTTCTCGATCGCCGTCGACTTCTCGTAGAGCTGTGCCTCGGTCAATACGGGCGTGTTCAGGATGATGTCCTGTATGAAGCTGACGGGCGCGAAACAGAAGGGCGTCTGCTTGAACGCCATGAACTTGTTCACAAGGTTGGCTTCCAATCGCTTCTTTACAAAGTTGAGCAAGCCGTTGATAAACGTCGGATTGCCCTCCTCCATGAATGTGAGATCCTGCAAGTACAGTCCAAAGAATGGAATGCATGGACCTTTAGTCTCGGACAGCAGTATGCGGTACTGCCTGTAGTTGCCTTCCATGTTCATCGTGCGAGTCATGTCGTCAAACTGTTCGCGTCGACGCGAGGACAGTGCACCCCAGGTGCCCTTGAGGCGTCCGACTGAGCTGCTGATCAGGCCACTGACGATCATCATCAGACTGTTGTAGTTGCACATCTCGAAGCAGAGTCTTGCGACGTCCAAGAAGAACTTGAGCTTGCGTCGTCTGATCTTGGACTTGCGCTCCATCACGATTTCCGAAGCTATCCACTGCGAGCCATTGTTGAATACATGTATCATGTTCTTGATGTTGGGGCATTCGTCGCTGACTGTGCTCCAGCGCTTGGACAGCAGCTCGTGTGCCGAGATACGAGTCAACATCGTGTGATCGATCAGTGCCATTTGACGCGCCACCTCAATGGTCGACAGCTCCAGCAGGGTGTAGGGACCGGTCGGCCGCAGTGGCAGATAGGGCTTGGGTGCGTTGTTTACAAACTTGATCAACTCCTCCAGGTCATCCTTGCTCTTCTTCTTGGTCTCGTTGAAGATAGCGATCAGGCGGCGCGCCGAAGTCTCTTTCTCTAGCATGAGCGTGTTGAGTAGGAAGCTGTTGAAGTTGCGCAACAGCGTAGCGTTGGTCTCAAAGTCGTTGAGATGGTTCTTGATCCAATGTCCAATCATCTCGATCACTCGCTCCTGGATACGAGGGCGCACCATCTTGCGGAATGTGGCTAGCTCACTAGCCGTGGCAGTGAGTGGTGGCTCGGCATGGTAGCGCACACATAGCAGCTGGAATAGCTCCACGCATGGTATGAATGAGCTGCATGTTGCAAAGAACGCGGTGGCAAAGCCTGCCTCTTGGTATGTTGTGTACGTAAGATGCTCGACCAGCTTGGCAATCGTGGCGAACCTAATGATCTTCTGTGGGCCATACGTGTATACGATGTTCCTCTCGCTGTCTGGCTCATCAAATCCAAAGATTGAGCCAAGGCGTCGACCTTCGTGTGAGGCTTGTTGAAGTCGCGTGGACGAGAGCAGCATGGCCTTGGACACCAGCCCATGCCACGCGTTAATAATACGACGCGATCTGTACCATCGCTGAATCTTGATTGCGGCGCGTCTCTTGTCCGCATCCTTGCTGACCTCGGTCTTGATCCTTTGTTGTTTGCATCCATCCATCAACTCGTAGACTATCGATCTGAAGCGATACTGTCGTCGCCATGCCCTGTAGTGTCTCTGGATGACCCGTGCACATATCTCGCGTCTGTGCAGCAGCTCGCAATGCAAATGTTTGAGTAGCACGGCCAGGTCGCCCTGTAGTAGTCGCGCCGGCAGCGGGTTGCCCGTTAGGTTGAGACTCTCCACATACTTGAGCAATGAGATCTCGCAAGGTATCGATTGAAGGCGGTTGTGATGTAAAAGTAGCGTGCTGAGCTGGCGAAGGTACTTGAGCTCGACGGGCAGACGCTCAATGTCGTTGTACTGCAGGTAGAGTTTGCGCAGGTTGGTCAACGCGCCAATCTCGGCAGGCACGTCGGTGAGTCTGTTGTTGGCCAGCGACAGTTCGGTCAGCGCTGTGCACTGCGTGAGACACACGGGGAAGTGTTCGAAGCTGTTGTCCCACAGCAGGAGTGTGGTGAGGCTGGTCAGGCGTCCGAATGACTCGGGTAGCGTGTGAAGACGGTTGCTGCGTAGATTGAGCACGGTGAGAGTGCGCAGCGTGCCGAATGAGTCTGGCAGCGTGGTGAGTCGGTTACACGCAAGCGACAGGTTAGCCAGCTGATGACAGTGGACAAAGTCGGCAAAGATATACTCGATGTGGTTGGACGCGGCGTTGAGTGTGCGAAGCGAGATGAGGCCGGCCAGCGCCGGCAGGATCGTCAGCTGATTGTCCTCGAGCGAGAGCGTGCGCAGTGATCGTAGCATGTTGAGCTCGGCGGCGGGCAGCTCGCGAAGTTGGTTGCGCGCCAGCGACAGCTCGTCGATCTTTTTCAGCTCGAAGAAGACCTTGTGGATCTTGGCGACGTGGTTACCGTCCGCCTGGAAGTCCTCCAGCTCGGACAGCAGGCCCACCTCATCGGGAATAGATGACAATCTATTATTGTTGATCCAGAACACTTTGAGTGCTCGTAGTTTATAAATGTCTGGCGGTATCTCTTTGATAAGATTATCATTCAAGTTGAGCTTGGTTATAAAGTTGAAGTTTGTACAAATGACCATTGGTAAATGCTTAAGATGAGTCTCCTTAAGATTTATCTCTTTGGCATGGTTCTTCTGTGCGTCCTCCAATAGTTTGGATGCTTTAGAGCCCTGTTGATTGATTGATTGATTGATTGATTGATTGATTGATCATGTGTTTTGTGTGTGTGAGAGTGTGAGTGGGGTGTTGTGGAATAGTTCCATCATGTATTAGTATCTCGTGATTGAAGTTGTGATGATCACAATATCGAACATACCATTAATATATGTATATATGTATATATATAAAGTAAAGTAAATGTTCATTCAATTGAATGAAGGACAATCACAAAGTGATACGCAATTTTGAATGGTGATTGAGACGTGAGTCGGTTGACTGTTTTCGAGATTTATAATCAAATCATGATTTGATTGTACAAGTGGGGTAACCGGACCCAAAAACCACAAAACTACGAGTCTGATCAGTTGTGGACCTGGAGTGGGGGTTGGATGGCAACTAGCTACAATTTTGATTGATTGATCAAGTTTATTACTTGTTTCCTATGTTGTCGACCATGTAGAATAGTTTGCGGTACTGATCGGGGAATAGGTTGGTGGTACGCGAGGATATCTTGAGAAGTTGAAGAGTCTCCATGGGTATGGCCTTCTTCAAAAGGTCAGAGAAGATGAATAGGTTGAGTATAAAGTCATGTGCCTTTTGTTGTATGATCTCATGTTGAGAGTATGTTATCAATACTCTCAACATAGTATTGGCCAATCCATTCTGTATAATCTTATTCGAGTTTGTTGAATTGTCCATTGTCATATTCTTCAATATCCTCAAACATTCTATTATAATCGATTCATTATGTACATTGCCCCTTATAATACTATGTAATAATTGGATTCCACCATATTCTCCAATCTTTGTTGATATTATATCTGATTGGAATAGTTCCAGTTAGTGATGGTAGTGCTGCATCGATCAAAGTTAGATATACATACTCTTCATGGACAAGTTGGTAAGACATCGTAGTCCACTCAACATGTATGATTTGTCGTAGGAACGTTGATCCATCGATTGGATCAATGTCTTGATCGAGTTGAACTCTGATACCCTCAAGAGGTCTGATTGAATGAATGAGTTAGTTAGTATCTTTGGAGAATTAGGGAGAGGCAAGTGTAGACATACATGATTGACTGGTTTGCATGAGGATAAAGTTATAGACCATGGTGACAATGTGATGCTTTGGATGATTATCAAACACCTTCATCATTAGTTTGACACCACCAGTCTCTCCAAATATCTTTCCACCTTGTATGTCTCGAGTGACATTAACAAGTAGTTTACAAGCTTTACCAACCATCCTAGATGATGTAATATATTGCTTGATGACCATATATATCGAACTAATATTATTCAACAGTACTTGGAATGTACTAGTTGTTGAATCTTGATTTATGGGTTAGATAAGTGGTGGTATAGAGTTGGACTTGGCTTAACATACCTTTGGACAAATTGATCATAATGCCTAACATGTCGAATATAAGTTGTTCGTGTTGGAGTGATGATGGAATGAGTTGGAATATTATGGAGGCACATTGATCGGTCGAGAGAAGTTCTTGGCGTTGATATTTGTCAAAGGTGACTCGACTTAAAATATGCATGAGTGAACTTAAAGTTGGAATATCATGTCGTTGTATATCAATCATATTGACAAGTTGTAATGATTCGTTTGATATCATCATCATCAAAATATCCTCATTCCATCTTAATATTCTCCTTGGCAGTACTGAGTTGAGTATATCCAAATCACCAATGATTGTTAAATATGTAGTTGGCATTCTTTGTTTGAACATCCTCTCCCACATATATCCATTGATGAATGATCGAATTGTTTGACAAGTACTACTTAGTGCTACCAAGTCCATCGTTGACAAGTTGAGTAACATATCAGTCAACACCTCACATGGTAGCCAAAGTAGTGCACTCTCTATCTGTTGATCCACACCAAATCCAAGTCCAACTATTCGTCGATCATTTAGGAATTGTACTGATTTGTGTAAAGTTGACCTCCTATTTGTTGGTATCTCATCCATACTATCCTTCTTCAAATATAAACAATCCAATGATTTCTGGCTCTTCATAAATGAGAGTGATGGAGGTCCATCTAATAATTGTTTGATAGATTGATTGATTGATTGAAACGAATGAGTGAGGGAGTGATGGTTGGGCCTTGATAAATGGTTACACGAACCTTTGTCGTGGACTTTCCAGGTTCGATCGCCAGACAGTAGTTGAAGAAAGGATGCCATCTGTCTCATCTTATCTCGAAAAAAGGGTTGTTGGTTATTATTAATCTCTGGCTGGAATTGTCAAACGACGTGTCGAGTGCCCTGATTCCTTGATTGCTGTTGTTGTTGTTGTTGCCGGTTGACAATGATGAAGATGGTGATCAATGAAGTATAATAATAATTTCCTATTGAGGTAATGATGCCTGTCACAATGTTGTGTCTGTTGAGCAACCAAACAACTGGTTGATGATGCTTGATTGTAACCAATCAGCAAATGGCAGCGAGGGAGATTGCAGCTGAGTTGCAAGGAGTGATCAGAAAGAAGGCTGGAGGGAAAGGTGGACGCGTCCTCTTCCCACTCAACTGAACTCACTCATCAACACAATCAATCAATCTATCCCTGATGATGGATGAGGGGGGTGCATTCCCATCATCATAAGATGTCATTTTTCAAAGTTGCTGGCACTCAGACACATGGATGTTGATGTTGATGTTGATGTGGATGTGGATGAGGATGTGGATGTATATCGTTGTTGTGGTGGCAGTGGATTCGTCGATCACCCGAGTAAGATGGGCTGTTAATCAATCAAACGAGCTAATTATAAATGAATGAAAGATTGACACAGGCATTCAAAATACGTTATGAGGGACTACTCATTGTTGTTATTGTCTATCATTGGGTATGATTGATTGATTGATGGATTGTTCATCGTCGACTCAGTCATCATTCATCATTTGGAGATGTTGATCATATATCTGGTGTGAATGTGTGTGTGTGTGTTGGATAGTTGGTGGATGTCCATCAATCATGTGAGTGGATGAGTGTGTGGGTGGATATTGGATTATGTCTTGGAGATGAGGAGACAACACGCTCATGGATTACCTGGAGAAGGTGAAGACTATTGATACATAACAATCGTGTGGTGAAAGTATGTTAGATGCTCTATTTAGGCATCCACTCCACAGTGTTGGATACGAAATCAATCAAATGGAATCCAGTTTATAACAACTATTATTATTTTTGTTGGCTATGGTTGAGAGACTACTACTTTGTTGACAATCAATCGATGTAGCTTGTGAACGACCATGAATAGCAATGAAACATCTGACTGATCAATCAATCAATCAATCAATCAAGCATACAAAGTGATGAATGAATGGATGGATGGATGGATGGATATGTGTCGACAGAGAACTCCTTGTTTGTATGATTGTTTGTGTCGGTATCTATCTTACATGTTATGAATAGGGAATAATCTGGATGGAGTTGAGAATGGAACAGGAGTGAAGTCGCGACTCATAGTTGAACTAACTAGGTTAGAAGGTCGTCTTTGATGCCTTACCATCCATCACATCTCATCATCACATCACACCACTATAACCAACCATCCAACCATGAGTGACTGGCCGTGGCCATTGCCAGAACAGAGCTCCGACTGACGTCGTGTGTGAGCCGTTCAGTTCAGTACCATACTATAACACATTTATATATATATCAACTTGATGATAATGGAGCGCAACAACACACCAGTGATAACTCCAAACATAGTTGACTGAATTGTTGATGGTTAGTTAGCTGCACATGAGATGGATGGATTCTTTGATGTGGCCACACATCACTAAGGTACTTGTTCATATTTATCTATACGAGTGCACTGGAATGAGAATCAAGTTTGTTGTAGTTGTTGTTTGTTGAGTGGTAGGTATGTTATGTTGTGGTTGTCAGGTGATGAACTAAATGATTGTGTGTGATCAAACACACACTCAATAACACACACTTTTGATCATGTGATCAAAGCTGAGGCATTAAGCCCTCAACCACTACGACAACTACAACAACAGCATCTACCACCAACAACAACAACAACAACACATAGCGGAATGTAGAGTAGTAATGTTACAATGTAGGCCAGGCTTACCTCTGCGCACATACCAAGGATGATACTTAGCACATGTGCTTTGAACACAACCCAATGGTAAGCTTAACACTATAATCAACATGATCATCACCTTCTCTCTCCTACAGTAATACTAAGAGTAGAGAGAGCAGCAATGTATGTAGCCACCTTATCCATCCATCCATCTATACATCTAATGATCACCCCCCACGCGCATTCATTCATCCTATATCTCTCGCACTCACTCACTCACTCTCTCTTAATCAAGCCCCAGCAGCAGCATAGCTTAGAGCATTCATAGTTCATTATATTATTATCCACTGCACTGCTCTATCCAAACAACAACATACCTACCACTACAAATTGAATATACACGCCAGCAACTTAGTGTCCTTTATTCTATCATTCATTCATTCATTCAATCAATCACAATCACTCAATCACTCACTCAATCATTCAATCACTCACCTATCACTAAACAACAACAACAGTTCCCATCTTTAATATTTATATATATATATATATACTTACTAATATATAAATATAATATATTATCTCTTTTCGATAACCTTAGCTCACCCTCACTCAATCAAACACTACTAGCTACCAACAACAACTACAACACCTAGTCAAAAAGAGGAATGCGATTGTTACTTTCCTTGTTTATACTGTCAGCCATCGTGGTGGCGACACGTGGTGATGGTATGTATCTTAATAATAATAATTTATTATTATTTCCAGGTTCACTGGAAATATTGGATTAAAGTTGATCAATCACATGACACATGACTCTAACATATTTGATCAATCACATCAAACTAAACAAATAGAATGTGCATCACTTGGTAGGGATGCCTGTCAGAGCAATTTGAACTGTCAATATTTAAGTTTCCTGTCGTGTTGTGGCGACTCGCAGCAGTTCTGTGTGTCCAACCAGAACTGTGCACAGCAGATAAGCTGTGGAAAGGATGCCGGTGGAAAGATCTGGGAGTTCTGGACATCGTGCAAGCCACTTGGTTTCACCGATTACCGTATTCCAAACGACACCTGTGAATCTTTGAGATGTGAGGCCCAAGGCAGAACCTGTGAGTGGGCCCCATCCGAGCCATGCTACGGTACCTCCTGTTGCCCAAGAGTTGCCAGATGTTCTGGATCCTCATCATCATCCTCATCGACCTCCGGTGGAATCGACCTCTGCAACGGATACCAATGCCCAGGCGGTATGCACTGCATCGTTGACAACAACCAGGCCAAGTGCATCTACACCTCGTCCGGTTCTAGCTCATCTTCCTCATCCTCATCTGGCTCGTCGACCTCGGGTGGTATCGATCTCTGCAACGGCGTCGTCTGCCCAGGCGGCACCCACTGCATCGTCGACAACAACCAGGCCAAGTGCATCTACACCTCGTCTGGTGCCTCATCCGGTACCTCTGGCACCTCATCCGGTTCATCTGGTACTACCGGCAGCCTCTGCTCCATCCTCGAGTGCCCAGAGGGATACGAGTGCGTCGTGAGAAACGGCCGCGCCACCTGCATCCTCTGCGAGCCACAGCCACCCGTCACCTGTGAGCACCTCAAGTGTGCCAACGGCTTTGAGTGTCTGATGATCAACAACGTTGCCACCTGTATCGCCAAGGATGTCTGCGCTGGCGTCGTCTGCCAGGCCGGCTTCACCTGCAAGAACCAGGGCGGCAGCGCATGCTGTGTCAAGCCAACCAACTGCTCGCAGCTCACCTGTGGTGAGGAGTGTCTGATCAACCCAGACTGCACCCTGTTCACCACCAAGTCCTGCTGTGGCGCCGACCTTAAGGTCTGTGTCAACAAGAGACCAGAGGGCTGTTTCGACCTGCCCGAGGTTCAGTGCGGTGTCTACTCAAGAAACGGAGAGATCTACGAGATTGCCAACACCTGTTTCCCACGTGAGGACTTCATCCAGTACTTCCCAATCCGTAGCAGAGAGACCTGCCAGACTCTCAACTGTGAGCTCCTCGGCCTCGAGTGTCGCTACGTCAACACCAGCAAGTGCGCCAACGAGCCATGTTGCCCAACCGTCCCAGGCTGTTTCCCAAGAGCCACCGTCCCCATCGACCCAGAGTGCCCACCACAGACCTGTGACACCTTGAGGTGTGCCGCTGATGAGGCCTGCTGCCAACCATCGCCAAACCTTGAGGCAAGATGCCTCAAGTTGTGCGACTTTGCCAACTGCGCCCCAGGCACCAAGTGTATCCTTGTCAACAGCCAGCCACAATGTATTGCCGGCATCTAAGGATGTTGTTGTGTCCGATCGAGTATTGTTGTTAAGTCGTAGGTAGTAGTAGTGTTTGTCACAATCAAACATCTATCTATCTTTCCAACAACAATGCTCCACATCAACCAAACATCATCATCATTATCAACATAATCATAATTCATTCATTCAATATCATACTCTATCATCACCTATCTCTCATACTCTCTTCATCCCTCAATCACATTCATCATCCATCCACTCAACCCAACCAATTGTTGGAGAGGCTATGAAGTGCACTACTTTTGTCTCATCCTTCCATCAATCAATCAAACATATTAACATCAACACAGACAATAAAGCTGAACTATCAAATCCAGGTTGAGTATTAGGTTACTTGAATGTGTGAGAGAGAGGAGTGAGCTTGCAAGCTGGGTGGGTGAGTTCGGGGAACTTGCAAGTAGCCCAACCAACCATTAATTAAGTTGTTGTTCAAGTTGATACAACTTATAATGTTTGTTAATTGATTGGATTGGTAAGGTCGTCTTACAGCAGTCTCACTCAATTACAACTATACTCGGTTTCATGAACCTTCCGAAAGTAACCTATCAAGTCATTCACGTTAGCCGAATAGCCAACATCGCAAGGTGGTGGTTTGCAGGCTGGCAACGAAAGACGTACGGTGAACTAGTACGATAGACGATCTGTCCTTTTTTTATATTAGCGACCGAGTTATGGTCGACAACACGACCTTTAGCGGATAGATAGTCGACCAGGTTCGAATCATATATATTATCATTATAATCCTCTCTCTCTCTCTCTCTCTACATGATGTAGCGTCTAAATATGAGATGACTTTCAATGTATTCTCAAACGTGACGTCATGGTTGAAGTATCTTACTTTATTTTTAGATTTTGGTCGATTCAACATAGAACCCATAAATATGATTGATCACGTGATTGTCATGTCTCATTATGTTTTCAACACTGTTTGATATACAAGGTCGTCTTACAGCAATCTACACAATTCAACTGTTAACTGAAACCCCGGCGATCTGTTCTATCCTTTTTATCTTTCTTGTCAACATCCTCTGGAACTATCCCTGGACCCTGGAAGTCACCGGCAAACCGAAACGAGGTCACTGGATACTATATCTATCTATATCTATTTATATATTTTTATATGTTTATGATCTATCACCTCTCTGATCATTAGATAATCTCTCATCATGATCCAAAGATGATTGTAGTAACTATTACAAGGGGAATGAGAATAGATAGAATTATGAGTGATGCCATTGCTACTCGTTTGCAGAGACGAATGGTGAACCTCTTGGCTGCTCGGTACATCGATTGATCAGCCTCTCGTTGCAATGCATTGATGTTCTTCTCCCAGTCGACGGACTCCACCATCAATGACTTCAATATAGCTCGTTGCTCTGCAGTCATATGGCGATGATTCTTACGGAATCTAATTGACTGCAGGTAGATTATCAGTGGGATGATAAAGTTGGCGATCGAACTGAATATGATGCTGGACCATTGTGTGATGAGGTTCAGGCCATCACCAGTCATGAACGGGATGACGATCAGCCAGGGCAGGATAACAGAGATGAAGTTGGCCACACTTCTAGGCAACAGGTTGTTCTGCATCAAGTTGTATCGTACGACGATGGAGAACACGGGGATCGATGAGGCCAGTACTACAAATGGGAAGATGTAGACACATATCTTGGAGAAGACATTGGCCTCTGGTGAGCTGTTGATGATACTTAGAATATCAGAGTTTGTTGGCATGTTGCCAAAGGACAGACTTCCAAAGATACCAATAGCCAAGAAGATCACCGTTGAGAATGCAACAGAACTCCAAACTGTCTTGCTAATCTTTACCGATGGTTTCTAATTGATTTGATTGATTGATTGAGTGAGTTAGTAAGTTAGGGATAGTTCCAGACTATTGGGTTGGAGTACATACAGCTTCATTGACCCAACTTGGTATGGTTGTGATGTATGCATAGTTGAACATGACGTTACCGATCAGTTCGGCCATTCCACGCCCACTTCCAAACGTTGGCAGGTTGTCAGTGTTCAAACCGTGCATGCAGAACATGACAACCCACGAGGAGGTGATGATCAACATGATGACAAACGATGCTATCTGTACAATGATGTTGTCTTCCAGATTGAGGAATCCAAGTGGGATGATGATGACCAGTACAATAAGGTAGCCAATTGTGAAGAACATGTACATGTCGACAAAGGGCGACGTCGTGCCAGTGAGCTGATCGACACAGGTCCAGTGGAAGGCATGTGGATACATCTCCAGTCCACACGTACGTTTGAATATGAACACAATCATCGAGTCCATAACTTGTGCACATACTATAATCGAGGCAATGTTTGTTGCCTGTAATGCAACATTGATAAACACCTGTGCAAGGATGTATCCCCATTTACCAAAGTAGAATCGTACCAACATACTAAACTCGACACGCAACTGATTGTTTGATTGATTGGTTGGTTAGTACCAACTGCGATTGAATGCGAGGCCATGGAGGTCCTAAACATACCTGAAACCTGGAGTTACCAGGAATAGATGCCATGGACTCTGTAAGGAACAGAGCAGCGAATGTACTAACGACCATGATTAACATGAATGTGAATATAGACCTAGATAAGTTGTTTGATTGATTGAGTGAGTAAGACTGTATGATTGGACATGTGATGGAATGATCATGAACATACAGCAACCATCCACCTTGCTGCATTTGTAATGCTATTCCAACCATTCCAGGGCCTGTCATATTACCAATGAGTAGACAGAATCCACCCAAAGTTCCTCTGTTTGATTGGTCGTTTGTTAGTCACATGCTATCATTCAATCTATCAATGTAAGAATGAATGAAACATACATTGTCTTATGACCATAAGTTGTATTTATAATCTTCTTTTGCTCTTCAGTTAGATGTGGAGCATCGGTAACATCACTGTTGATGGTGGATGGAGTTGGAATGACTTCGTCACAATCTTCACTGTCGTCCAAAGAGTCATCGTCGTCATTATTTGTTGTATTTCTATTTGAATTTCCATAGTCATCTATACTATTGCCAGCCATCATTCTCATAGGATTGATCAAAGGATCAGTCTCGGCACTAACATCAATATCGATATTCATTCTTCAATCCTTTATACTTTATGTACCTCCAGTACTTGTCGACAGGGAGTGAGTGAGTGAGTGAGGTGACTGAGTGAGGTGGGAGATTGATTGTTTGTTTGTTGTTGGAATATAATATCCTTAGTTATCCACCAGACAAAGAGTTGAATGAGTCAATGTGGACAATGAGTCAGCAAGCAAGTACGATACTCTGACTATCTATCTGTACTTGTATATATATATACAAGTAGTATTATTATGGCAATCACGTCGTCGCAAAGTATTAAACTAGGGGTGTGAATGAGGATGATGAATGGAGTAAGTGGGAGGTTGCTAGAGTGATTGTGGTTTATGGATGTGGTAATATGTGTGTGTGAGTGAGTGTGCGTATGCTCAGCAGTTGAGTGATGTGACCCTGGTGAGTGGATGCGTGATGATGACAATGGTAGTAGAATATATATATATATTAGATTAGAGAGTAAATATGAATGTGTGTATTGTATTTGTTTGTTAGGCTGGATGTTTGTTTGTTTGTTTCCTGAATGAATAATAATAATAATAATGTTAATAATAATTATATGTTTGATGAGGTGAGTAATATATATAAATAACAATATGATAAGTATGTAAGTTGCTTATTCTGTAATTTACTATTGACATGTTTGACCCTAAAGGCCTAGGTAATCGGCAAAGATTGAAATTGAATCTAAAACAGCCCCTGTATCACCAAAACATATATCTTCAGATGGACTATTTTGGTTCGTTTTGCTTTCGTGGCACCTATGACCAGTGAGTTCCATTTGCCGAGAAGGGTGGGCGTTATGTCTGGGACCAAAGTGAACACCTGTGATGATATTCTCAAAGATCAAATGATTATTGTTTACACGGCGCGCCCTTTGTCTTAACACGTGGTACCCAATCAATCAGTATGTATCATATATTTGATGATAATGTGATTGTGTGCCCTTGTTAGGCCACAATAATGACGGACTTTATTCAAATCTTCAAGTAATAAACATTGTTGAAGATACTTTGTCGGTCGTGCAGTGCAGGTGCACAGATAACTCCTAGATTCATTCATTCCTAAAGCCTAAGGACCCAATAACAAGGGCTGGCGTCATGACCAGCTTTGCTCGTCTTGTGGGTATCGGGAGTCATTCAACCGACAAGTTCTGTTGTTGCTGATGTGTGATATTTGATTGACAATGCATTGTTGATATAATGGTTTGACCTGATACTTTGGGTCAACAGCAGTCAATAAAGAAGCAGACTAGTCTTAACTATCCATCATAGTAGAAGTTATTATTACAGACATAGTGTAGTTCTTTTTAGATTGATTGCTTGTTGTAGGAAACTTTCCTTCCAAAGTCAGTTCTGGAGCGTCGGTTGTAGAGGTGTCTCTTCTTGGCACGTCCAACCTTTGGCTTCTTCTGATCTACCTTTATGACACGAGGTGTAATAGATCTAACCTTTCCTGCTCTCTTTACTGAAAAGTTTGATGCTACATCATCATTGTCATTGATTGATTGGAGTTGGATTGTTAGACATTGACCATGGATATCATTGTGGTATCAAGAATATACATACGCATTAAAGATGATGATGTTGAGTGAGTTGTTATCGTCGAACAACATGTTGTCCTATTAATACTTGTAGTCGCTGCGAACAAACAAAGAAATGTCCAACAAAGTTGAGAAGACAACTCGTGACAACACTTTCTCAACTCACTCGCGAGCGGGCAACAGAAGGAGAAGTGCGAAGGAAAGAGTGAATGAAGTAAGTTAATGTTTAATTACATAGTAAAGTCGTATATAGTATATATATATGGATTGAATGAATGAATTGAATGTATGATTGATGAAGAATGACTTAGACTTCACCTCGAGCAAGCCTGTCAAGTAGATCGTCCAGGTCGTTATCTTTGGCGCCGTCGCCGCCGGCTTGGTCGTTGCCCATGTCGTAGCTTGACTCGTTTGGCATCTCCAGGTTGTGCTCCTTGAGCAGATCCTCAAAGGTCAGAGTGTTGTTGTTGATGATCGACTCTAGATCCTCAAAGGTCAGCTCGTCAACTGGTTTGTCCAACGCTGCATTGTCATCCTGTACGTAATCGTATGTTGTGTCTTGATAGTCTGCCTGTGTAGCATCTGTATAATCTGTTGTAGTTGTGTTGTTGTTATATTCTTCTTCGTAATGATGCTCGGGCTCTGGCTCTGGCTCTGGCTCTGCCACTGGTGCGGGAGGTGGGACGATAGATCTGGCTGCTGGCGCAGGTGGCTTGGAGAGCTTCCTTGGTGGCGATGGAGGCAGTGTCGATGGGAGTGTAGATGGGAGGGGTGGAGGTGGTGCGGTGGTGGTCGTGTCGTACTCGTCGTTGTATGGCTCGGAGATGGGCATTGGTGGAGGCGGCAGCCTGGATGGCGATACGATATGATCCAGATCAACGCTGGAGGCGGGAGGTGGTGGAGGAGGTGGAAGATCGTATGGCATTGGTGGCAGGGGCATGTTGGAGATGGGTGGTGGAGGTGGTGGCAGGTCGGCAGCGGCATTGGATGGTGCCGGGGAATTGTGAGCTCTTGGTGGTAGAGCTGGCTTGCCTCTGGCTTGTGTAGGTGGTGGAGGTGCTGGCTTGGCCATGCGAGGTGGCTGTTGTGGAGGTGTCTGTTGCTGGGGTGGTGAGGCGACTGGATGGTTGCCATTCTGAGCGGGGACACGAGGAGGTGGCTTGACAGCTGGTCTCTTCATTGGCTGTGGAGCTGGGGCGGACACGCCGGCAGACTCTGTTGGTGGAGTATGTGTGATTGGCTTGGCCACAGCGGGTGGTGGCTTTGGAACGAAGCCTGCCGATGGCTTGGCGGGCATCTTCCTCATTGGTGGTGGCTTGAGGTTTGGATCGGCAAGGGGTGGAGGTACCTCAGCTGTTGTGTCACCATTATGTGCTCTGACAGGCACTGGTGGTCTCCTGATTGGACTGGCACCACCCTGCTGCTGTTGCTGCTGTTGACCAGCAATCGCTGATAATCTAGCCTTTGGATTGGACTCTGTAAAATGTTTGATAATGATACCCATGATCCTCATCATGGTCTCGGGACGCGACTCCCAGAGATCCTCGCCAGTGATGTTGACCAGATTGACTCCGAGCACCTTGAGGTAACGAATGATGATGTTGTGGTTCTCCACGGTGTGTATCTTGGTCTGGGGATTCCTGTTGAAGTCCTTGATGGCCAGCCCGCTCAGACACTCGAGCAGCACGGCCAACACCGTGCCATCCTTCAGATCGCTCTCGAGGTTCTCGATGCGCGAGTCCTTGCCACCCTCCTCCAGCTTCTTGTTCACCCACTGGATGATGGCCATCTGGCTCTGCTCCTTGCGTGGCACCTGACGCAGCAGCACCTTGTCCTGCGCGGCACGCTTGAGCGACAGCTCGGCCATGATGGGATTGGCGGCGCTGGGGCGGGGAGGTGGCGCGGGGTGGCGCACTCCCTCGTCTGCGCCATTGGGCACAGAGGTGGGCGAGGGTGGTGGACGCGAGGGTGGCTTGGCATTTGCGCTCGCATTTTGTGGCGTGTGTGACACGGTGACTGAGGGTGGAGGAGCGTTACTCGTGGCCGATATGCTGACCAACTCGTCCTCCTTCCACTTGAATGCGTCCTTCTTCCTCTTAAACACCATCTTAAAGTTCATCATCGACTTGTCGCTGTCCCATTTTTTAAATATCTGTCCTGGATGTTCATTCTCTGCAATCTCAGTGTAGACCTCGCCTTTGGTCATTGTAAGTTATTAATTATTAAGTTAATTATTGGATAAGTTAGAATATTTGTTTGTTGTTTGATTAATTGAGTATCCTTGGATTGATTGATTGAACGAATGAATGGGGAAACGAATGGAAGTGTTGGGAGTGATGATGGGGAGTGGTCGGCAGGCAAGGAGGTGTAGGATGGGCAGTTGTTGTACGTGTGTCGACAATAATAGACATCCCATTATCAATCAATCAATCAATAATCCAGTGAAATGAAGTCACATACCTGATGAATCTCTGTGAACGTAGAACAGCATCAAACCCTTTGTCTTGGGGAAGGTGACCTTCTCCATGATGGTCTGCACCACCTTGCCAGTGTTATCACTCTCATTGATCAGCATCGACTTGTAGCTACCATCTGCAAAGTAGCATTTAAACACAACATCCTATGTATGAGTGTATGTGTGTTAGTCGATCGATCGATCATGTCCATGTCCAATGTCGTTTGTTCGATATACGTACAGTTGGTCCCATATTTAATGCCACCTGATTGCTATTATATGTATATAATTATATGTATATGTTGTATATGTATATTGACGAATGGAAGAGTGTTTTGGGAAATGCGCGCTTTGTGTTGTGTGGGTGAATGTGTTCGGGATTGTGATCGGAACCGAGGGTCGAATGAAATGATGGGGTCAGTCGGTGGAATTGTTGTCTGAGTGGTAATGTCCGATCGATGTGTTGACTTCTGTGTTGTTGTTGTCGAAGTAGTTTAGACTATGTCAATGTCAATATCAATATCAATGTCAAAGGCAATGTCTCAGTTTGATTGATTGATTAATTGATTGATTGATTGATTGATAAAGGTATGTCAGATGTAATTCGGCTTGATGTTGATGATGATGTTGTTGTTGTTGTTGTTGATTGATGATGTTGATGATTGATGATGTTGTTGATGGTGGCAGAGTGCAAGATAGGTTGTATATATTTAAATATATAATAGAGTGTATGTGTATGTGTGTATAATTATAACACAATAAGTGTAAGAAAGTATATATGTATTGGTTGAATTCAACTCAAGAACAACACACACCTTTGAACGAAAGGAATGAATGATGTTGTCAGTGATGCAGTGCTCACATAACAGTGAATGTACCTGATTGCCCTAAAGTGTGGGAAGTGGGCCAATCGAGATCAAAATTAGATGTGTGTGCGATCGTGTTTTAACTTAACGAAACAGTGTGGGTGGGGGAAACTTGGTAGTAGTGATGGTGGGAAAGAACTGGCAATCAAGCTCGGTTGTGTGGTCTTGATCTAATATCAATACCCCTGGATAGAGAGTGAAGGTCGTTTCTGATGATTGATATGGTTTGATTGATTGGATGACAACATCACGACTAGTTTCAAACCTAGGTAGGAAAGACAACCCATCTGACTTGAATGGGTTAGTGATCAAGGTTGTTGGGGAATATCCCAACTTATAACATTGGATGATGTATTTGTTATTGGTTGGCAATCATATGGTGTTGACAATAGAGAGTGTCAATGTCAATTGAATGTTCATTGGTTATCATGTCGACAGTACCAAACCCTTTCTTAATTGCTTACCTTATTTGAGCAATGACAACACTGGGTTTGGAAATAGAACGGAATAGCACACACACAGGTTCCAAAGTTAGGATGACGTATGTCGTTTCATTCATTCATTGTAAAATCAACAACAGGTCAATGACACACAGGTAGAGATAGATAGATAGAGAGGTAGATAGAGATAGTGAAAGGCACTAATGTACATACAATGGAGGCTAATCCAACAACAATAACAACAATGACACCAACAACACAATCAACAATGACACCAACAACAGTTGAGTTTGATTTACAACTGTTACATCAGTTGTATGATGTATTCAAACTAATGTTTGATGACAAGATTGATGATGTAGCGACCAAACCAGCATCAACATCAACATCAACATCAACATCAACATCAACATCAACATCAACATCAACATCAACATCAACAATAACAACAACAGATAACAATGAAGTACAAGTAGAAGTACAGGATAATCAAAGAAAGAATGAAAAGTTCAAGTATAGATATGAGTTGGACTGGCTGTCCGACAAGGAGAGGTCTGCCATGTTGGACGACGATGACCGTCCAAACTATATGGATACGACTGTGAGTGTCACTATCTCCAATGATCAATCATATAAACAATGCTGACTGACACTTGATAATATAGCTTGTAAACAATGTAGCAACAATGTTCACTTACACACCAGAGAGTGAATTGATGAGATACAACTCATTGATGTCATCAAAGTGCTTCTATCCAATGAAGCCATATTATAAACATGTATCATTGGTCACATTGGCTTGGGCAGCACTTGGACGATTCCCAATCACAATGCAACCAGTTCACGGACTTGCAGAGCTCGATCGTGAGAGCAATGATATAACTACCAGGAATGACATTACACAGTGTATCACTAAGCTGCTACAACAAAATGATGGCGAATGGTCCACAATGACACTGGACAAAAGGGTCGACGCTATGTATCAATGGTTCAAGAGTCTAGACATGCGTGCTCTGTTGACAATGATGGGTTTCCGCAGGACTGTTGGCTCGACAAATAGTCTGCCACCAGGCCCAATACGCCTGATCAATGCGGCCAACCTGCCACACAGTCCTGGCTCACCATCCAAGCTTACCACATCAGCTCGTGCACTCTGTAAACATAGTAATCGCTCGGACAACTCATTCTGGGGACCTGGAACTGGTCCAGAGCCCGTCAAGAACATTCGATCTGAAAAGATCATCGTTACCATGCTCCAAGAGAATGTCTGGATGAACATGCACTGGCTGCCTGTATGTATCCATCCTCGATCAGTTTGTAGCTAATAATTGATCTAACTCTAACTCATTCAATCATTAGCATGACATTACTATCCTTGAGATTAGATGTGAGGCAGGATATGGATTAAGATGGGATGCGTCTGGAGCAGCCTTCAGAGGTACTCTTGAGCCAATGATGGAGAGTATGTATCATCATACACTGTTACGCCTCAATGACAATTGATTGGCGAGCTAACCAACTCTCTCTCTGATGATAGATGGACACGAGAAAGGATGGAGACACTGAAAATCGGACTTGAGAGACGACGATCAATCATTTGATTTAATCATCATACATAGAGATAGAGGTAGAGATAGAGACATAGAGATAGGATCAATATACACGACGAACAAACACTGATGGCCAGTCCGACTCGAGTGCAGACACAATTGTTGTACTGACTATTGCGGAGTACCTAGGACTTATGCATCGGAGAGCGCGTGAATAAAGCACGAGATCAAGAGCCATCCTCGATGTAATGCTAGCGTCTGCGATAGGAAGTGCGGTCACTTTGAGAAGGAAGTAGCCAAGGAGTTCGCTTGTCCACACTTGTGGTGTGACAGTGAATTTACTTCTCTCAAGGAGCTGAATCGCCACCTTAAGGAGAGGGTACACAAGTGCAACAAGCAGTTGTTAGACCGAGCTTCGTGTGACACGTGCGATCCTGGTCCTCAACCAACATCTTAAGTATTGTGATCACAATAGTTTATTGCTCTACATATATAAATAATAATTATATGGACAGTCAGACAGATGATCGATCAGTCGCTGCTGCCATTGCTTCCACTTCCAGCTTCTACCAATTGGCTAATCTCTGTGAATAGGGCCTGCTTCTCCTCTGGCGTCGACGTGGCAAACAGCCATATCCTCTGTGTTGAGTAGCGCATTTCGATTGAGTTGGGCTGCTCGGCACCCTCGCGCACGGTCGCAGCGTCGAATGGAACGCTGGCCTTGAGCTTCAGGGGAGAGGTTGGCACGGCGGGATCAGACACCAGTACAAAGATGAACAGGTCATTGAACAGGTAGTAGTAGCCTGGCTTGGACTTCTTGTTGAATGCTGGTGTCGATGTGCTGCCAGGGACAACGTGGCCAAAACACTCGATGTTACCCTCCTTCACCAACTTCCTGGATGGTGCCAGGATCTTGTAGTCGCAGCCGCCCTCGACCAGACGTGTCTGGATATTGTACATCTTCATCTGTCCCTCATACTCGCGCTTTCTCTCATTGACTATTGTTACAATCGACTCAATCTTTGACTGTGCCTGCACCAACATATTGTAAGCTGGTGTTGTGCTTGGCGTGGACTTGATCAATTCCTGTTGTGTGGGTGGAATGGTTCCATATGTTAATCATATGATTGATTGATTGAGTTGGTGATGTAGACATGTGGATACATACTCTGAGCAAAAGTGGATACTTGCATACACGCTGCACTGGCTTGATCAGGAATGAGTCAAAGGCTAGTGAGCGACACTCCTTGCGGTTGAGGAGCGAGGTGATGGTGGCGGCATTCTTGCCCTTGAGAGCGTTGTATGTTTGGAGAGCCTTTTGTTGGTTGCTGCAGTAGACGACGTAGGTCTTGAGGAACTCGGCCATCGAGATGAAGCCATTGGCAATCGACTCGGCAAAGTCGCCAGACGTGGGCACCTTGCTAAAGTGCTTGAACAGCTCGTGGTTGACCATGAGCAGCTGGGTGACGTTGCTGAACAGCGTGTTGATCTCGTCCATGGCGCCCTCTTGCGCGACCATCTCTGAGCGCATCCACACCATGATCTCAAGGTCGCGGATGTAGTCTGCCTCGGTGACCAACACCTCGGTGATTACACGGCTGCGCTGGTCTGTGGCCTGTGGCAGTGTGGGGAGTGCTGGTGCACCATTGGGGCCCTTTGGGTCAGTTGAAGTCATCTGTGGCGATGGTTGAGAGACTGGCGAGACGCCACCGTCAGCGTTGTTGTCTGATGTGGCCTTTTGTGACTTGCTGAGTGGCGAGAGTGCACTGTCTGCTGCGGCAGTACCATTGGGCTGGGCTTTCTCGACAACGACAGGTGATGTTCTGCCATTGCCATTGGTAGTGTGCTCACTGCCTGGCGCCGAGATGATGAGCTCATCCTCATCTGTGCCCTTGCTGTCGCCACCTCTGATGAAGCCGAGGAAGTTCTTGGACTTCTTCTTATCAGCCTTGGCTGCGTCTGAAGCCTCGTCGACGTTGGCAGCTGACTCCTCACGGGCCAGGTTGCGCTTTGTCTCGGTCATCTTGAGCTTCCTCTCCTCAGCTGATGCAATCTTTCGCTCCTCCTCCTTCATCAACTGGTCCTGACGCGAAGCCTCTTTCTCGGACTCGAGTCTCTGCCTCTGTTGCTCAAACTCCCTCACTCGCTCCTTCTCCTTCTCGCGAGCCTCTTCCTTCTCGCGCTCAGCATCCACATTGACCTCGACCACGCGACACACAATGGGCTGTGGTGCGGCACTGAGTGTGGCGAACGAGGGGCCAGTCGACAACACGACCTTGTTGGTGCTGTTGTGGTTGTTGAACGTGGTGCTGTTGGTGGAAGGTCTTGGGTTTGGTAGTCTGCCAACGGTCAGTGATCCATTGAGCAGGGATATCTCGCGCTGGGCAATAGTGTCCATCTGATCACGTGACTTGATCATGTTCTTGACGAACGAGCTCTGTGAGGTGGTTGATGTTGATGGTGCTGATTGATCAGCTGGAGGGGTCTTCACAGGCGATGTCGACTGTGGCTGGACAAAGGATGTGCTGGTGCTGTTTACAATCTTGCTGCTTCCATTGCTGTTGGTTCTAAGTCTGATGTCTTTAAAGTTGTCGATGCTCACGCTCTTGGTGAGGGGTGGTGGTGGCACATGTGATGGCGTGGGTGCTGGTGATGATGCAGTGTTGATGGTGGATGTTCGTCTGTAAGATGGTATTGGTGCCATTGTTGTTGTTGATGTGGTGGAGGTGGAGGTGGTTGGGACTGATGGTGGTAGGAATGACCTCAATGAGGTGGATGACGAGCTGATGACATTGGCCTTGGAGTTTGATGTGACTAGAGGGCGTGGTGCAGATGGCTGTGTTGGTGCAATAGTGATTGGCTTCACACTTGACAAGTTATTTCCACATTGTGTACAAAAGTTGGCTGCGGAAGCATTAGTGTTTCCACATGATGAACACTGTTTGCTGCTCATTTGTAATTTATTTATGATACTAATAATACTATTAATGTATATATATCTGTTTGATTGATTGGATTGATTGATAGATAGATAGATTGATTGATTGATTGAATGTGTGTATTTGATTACAAGGAGATAAGGAGTTTGATGACAGGGACCTTGCAAGAATTAGTCTGTTTGTGTGAGTGTGCTTTGATTGAATGAATGACCAAACCAAAGTGTTTGGTTTTTTTGATCAGTTTGTTTGATTGGTGCGTGGTTCTTGGTCCGATCAAAAATCTGAAAACAATCGGTTGGTTTCAAAAACTCACCAATTTAATTTGAAAATAAGGTAAACTTTTATATGAATGAATGATTGAGCAAGTTGCAAACAAGCCTGAATCACATGACAGTCCAAATCATAATGGTGCTGTGTGTCTTCCATCCCTTTGATGGTTGTTCAAGTAATGTTGATGCTCTACTTGCGCACCTATTCATACTCATTTCACTCATTCCCCAACACTGTTTGATACGATTTGCATTAAGCATCACCAAAGAGATATAAAGATGGTGCCAATCAGATACCAAATCCAATGCAATGAGACCTCCTGACCACCCATGGATGGTTGCGAGAATGGAGGAAGAGAGGAGGGAGATGGAATGGTCATCATCGGATTCTTGGTTGGAATCCGAAATGTCGGGGATACTCACTGTCCTGTGTCATACACAAGGCAAGGGAAGGGAGAGTGAGCAAGGGTTATAATAACAACAGCGGAAGAGAGTGATGGTGATGTATTGGGTTTGCAATCAATCCATTGGGCATCCCTGGGATGGGGGGGTGTCCTCTTTGCCAAACTAGACTACACGCATTCGATGCCAATCAATCAATCGATCACTTGCGGCACTTGTGGAAACTGAATCCTCCACAAGCTGACAGCACAATGATGAATATAATGATCTATGAGGAGACAGGCTAAGGTTAGTTCGTGTACTACATCATCAACATCGTCCACAGAAATGGACATGGACAGGCCAAGACAAAGCCAAAGACATAGCCAATAATCGACACTTACAGCGACAACAGCAGCAATGATAAGAGTGAGTTTGAAGTTCTTCCACCACATTGTGCACTTTAGTTGTTTGCTCTGCTTCTTGAACTTGAACGATTCCTGTACCATGTTCTCGGTCTTGTCCACAAGTATCTCAATCTTCTCTCCACGCTTTAATAGTTGAGGAGCTAAGTAGTATGGTTGTTTCAGTATCATTTCCATGAGTGTCCACGAGTCCAGGTCGACTACATACCAACATCACTGATCAAATATTGCTTGACCTCATCTACTTGTGCTTGGGTACGACTAAGGGAATCTGCTTTGGGTTTGTTGTTGTATTGGTCCTGGTTTGATTGATTGATTGATTGAGTTAGTGAGTGATCGAGTGAGGGATGACCTGATAGGGCATACCATCAATTGCTCGAGTACTGAGGAGAACTCAGTGTTCATGGCGTATGCAAGTGCAGTCCTTCCACTGTCGCCATATCTCTGCATGAATCTATTCTTTATATCCTCTAGGAAGAGGAATGGTATCCTTTGTCCAAACTCATGATCGGCCATACACAAGAATGTCAATGTATTATGTACCAAGTAGTGGAAGTTATATCTAATGTTGTTGTTGTCGTATTGTAAGTCATTCATTCTTTCAATCAATCATTCATTCAATCTTACTTCTCATAAGTGTAGGACATCTTTGTCTCATTGGGAGGTATCAGATCGAGAATACGTCTTGTGATTGTTTGGAAGTTTCCTGTTGTGTTTGTGTACTCTGCGAGTACTGATGATCCTCTTGATACCAATGAGTAAATGATAGGCATGTTTGAAAGTGTTTCAAAGTACAATACAAATATATATATATTATAACAACAAAGAATAGTTGACTATTGTAATTGATGTTAGTGAGTGATTGAATGAATGATAGAATGAGCAAACAAACGCAAGGAAGGCAAGCCAAGGAATGAAGTGTTGGCTCACTTTTCCCTTTCTCTTTTTGGTTGACAAGCACACACACAAAAGGGGGTTGGTAACTCAATCAATCTTACAAAGGCGAGAGTGATGTTGATTCAACGTGGTCAATCAAATCGATGAATGGTAACAATCATGATTGTTTAGTTTACAACGATGATCGAGTCGCATTGGTTTATTGAGTGATTGTATGTACAATGATGAGATCGATCTTAGTCAACGAGTTTAACTTCTTGTTTGAGTTCGGTAATGGATATGTCGACAGAGTCGATAGAGTCAGTATGCTCAAGATCTGTATTAGGATTAGGATTAGGATGTGATTGATTGATCTCTAGACATCTTTGACATGATGATGAACAATAGAGATGTTGAACTATCTTCTCATGTTTGGCAATGTTGGACTTTACAAAGTATCGTTTGTCCATGGTACATCATGTCTACAACGTTGCAATTGTTGTAGACGTTCTTGTCTCTGTACAAGTTGTAGTTGAATCTGGGGTGAGCACCTATGACATTGTGTTACATCATCGCATCTAACATTCTTATGCTTCTTCCTGTAATGTTTGGCACGTGATTCAATAATCTTATATGGATGTCGATAAAGGTCTGGACACGCACTATGTTCGCAAAGGTAGACTGGACTAAAGGTTGTGTCTAACATGTCTCATGAGACACAACACAGGAGTTATATATATATTATTACCTGTGTTGACTGTCTCTAAACTAGATACACCTCGAGGTGAATTCCAATAATTTATTATTGACAAGCGAGGGCGAGGGTAAGGGTAAGGGTTGTTGTTGATGTTATATACAATGAGATCAGGAGATTTAGATCCTTCTCTTGATTTGATTCTTGAGAGCTGAATAGTGGAATGCTATACAGAGGTCAAACACTGCACTTGCCAATGGATACCAACTTGGTGATGATAGTCTTGGTAGTGCCAATACATTCAACCAACCATGTTGCATTATGTTCCAAACACCATTGATCAGATATCCAACAACCAATGATCTTCTAAAGAGAGTGTGTATATGTGTGCCAGTCTGTCAGTAAGATGATCAATCAATCACAACTCATACAACACATAGACATTGACTTACCTTGTTCTATCATCATTGGCTAATAATGAGAATGTGAATATCACTAATGATATTAATAGATTAAGATTGTAAGAGTTCCATGATTGTCCGAATATGATACCGGATGATGCTGTGAGTAGTGATGTGGCAAGGTTGAATGCAAAGCCAGGGTTGGACCTATGTGCAATGAACCATGCTACATAGGCACCTGCACCCATGGCAATAGCCATTATATCCTGTTGTGCTAATAACATGCTCATCATTGTTGTTGATTGGTATAAGATGTATCTATTTATCTGTTTCAGATATTAATACTTCAAGCGTGACGCACTTTAATGATCATCATTCCGAATGACATGACCCTTTTTGAAAGGAAGCCCTGGGTGTTCTTAGGTCCCAAAACAGGGACAAGTCGACACAAAACTACCACTTCATTCAAATCAAAAAGACGACAAAGTGGGAGCAGTAGTGTTTAGTAAGCAATAAAGACGAGAAGCACAAATACACATAAAGAATATACCCTGGGTAGTGAAACAGAGACAAGATGGCAACAGCATCAGCGACAGGAACAATGACATCAGCTGCAAAGTCAATTTGGGGATGGTATAGTAACTGCATCAGAATGGCACCTGTGCGAACAAAGTGCATTACCTCTGGTGGTATGTACCCTTCTTACAAGGTTAAGACCCATCATGATTGATTGGCTGACCAGGTCAATCATTCATTCAATCGCACCCATAGTTATTATGGCATTGGGTGATTATACAGCACAGAGATTGGAGAGTGATAGAGAGTGGGACTACATTAGAACAGCCAAGTGGTCATCAGTTGGTATCTTTGTAATATCACCACAGATACAGTTGTAAGTGTCCCTGGTCTATACTCCAATCAATCATTCACATACTCACACGCTCAATCAATGTTACTGGAACTATCCCATTCACATTTATCCAAATCAATATATTAGATGGCTTAAGTTCCTGGATAAATATATTCCGGGTACAACCAATGGACGAGTTGTGGCAAAGATGATTGTGGATCAGACATTCTTTGCACCATACTTATTATGTTGTAACTTTGCATCAGTCAACTTCCTAAGTAATAATGGACATCTTGATGTAGATGCCCTAAAGAATAAGATATCCAATGATCTAATCAATACCATGAAGGTTGGAGTGTAAGTATACACTCTCACTGGTATCAATCAGTTAATGGAATCACTCACTAACCTCAATCAATCAAATATAAATATAGGATGATTTGGCCATTGGCAAACTTTATATCATTCAAGTATATTCCTTTGGACTTCAGATTACTATACTCCAATTCAGTGGCATTCTTCTGGAGTATATACTTGTCATCAGTATCAAACAAGAAACACAAAGTTGTACCATCACTAGACCAGGACCAGGAATCCTCCAATCAAACAACAACTACACCAACAACAACATCTATTTAATAATATATCGTGTATCAACTATTTAATCAATTTGGAAATATTACTCAGTGCACTTAGTAGCAATGGTCTTCCACCTTGGCTCCATCCAATGGCCGTGGATGAGATTGGTCGTCGTAGTGCCATCCAATTGTTGTTGTTGAACGTCGTGATTGGTTGTGGATATGGCAATGGTGTCCAGAATGAGCTACAACTACCAAAGCTTCTGACTCCAGTTTGACCATTTGATTGATTGTCATTGTTGTGACGTCTTCGTCGTCGTCTACCTTCACCACCACCACCACCGCTGCCTTCTCCCATCTTTAGCTTGTTCTTCTGACTCTTCTCAATCAAAGATGCATAGCCAGGTGTAGGCTTGTTGATGCTTTTGTTGTTGTTGTTGTTGTTGTTGCTGTTGACGCTAGGCTTCAACCTAAGGATGACCTAGGGATTGATTGATTGTTGGATGGGTAGGACAATGGACATTAATGAGTTTATTGCTGCACATCGTCGTCTCGACCATCGGCCTGCAACTTGCTGTTTTTATCGCCATCGTGGCATTCGCTAATGTCGCCGCTGATAATAGTCGCTGTTGGTCCTCCTGCTGCTGCTGTTGTTGTTGCAGCAGCAGTGATGCTGTTCAATTCCGTCTCCTGCACCTTTGTGTCAGGTTGTCCACCATTGTCGGACAATGTAATCGCCTCCCTAACCTTCCTCTTCTTGTCTGTCGCAGTCGTCGTCGTAGTCGTGGTCGTAGTAGTTGTTGTCTGTTTGTTCTTCTGTTTGTTATTGTTGTTCTTCTTGTTAGATACCTTTTTGTTGTTGTTGTTGTTGTCTTTGCTGTCGATGGGGAGGTTGTCTACTTTGTCATCGGTGGCGCCAATGTTTATGGTCTCGAGTTGTTGAGTCAGTATGGACTCGGCAGGCTTGATGAGATGTGGCAGCACTGGGAATTGGTATGGAGCCACCTGGAGCAGATCGAAACCAACGCCAAAGTTGCCATTGCCAACGTCTGGCATCTTTGGATACCTCTGACTGAAATGCGTCAGCAGAGTGAACTGTGCATTCATGTTCTTGCCAATCTCCAGTGCCTCTCCAATCGTCGAATGTCTCTTGGCAATCGCCTCGCTAAGCATATCATCGCCAAAAGTAGCCTCATGCAGCAGGAACGTTGAGTTTGCACCTGCCTTGACCAAGTCTGCGCATGGTCTAGTGTCGCCCGAGTAACTACATGTGTGTGATTGTAAGTGAGTGAGTGATTGATGATTGATTGAGTGAGCATGGACAGCAGCGGAATGACTTACGTGAACTTTACGCCATCCTCCAGTTCCACGACGAGTCCACACGCGTCGTGACAATGTATCACTGGAACACTCTCCATGGTCACAATACCAAGCTGTTGAAGTGCAGTCCTTGCCTCATCTGACTTTTGTATCTTCTCAAATGGTACTCCCAAGTATGATAATGTTAAGTACTTGTTGAGATTGTGTAGCCACTTGATAATGCTCATTGGACCCACCACAACCAATGGTGGAAGTGTCTTTCCAGACATCTTGGCATACTAATGATTGATTGATTGATTGAATGTTAGGGCCGCACTTCAACGTGATCAATCAATCAAGCAAACAAACAAACATACCATCTCTCTCTTCTCCAATATCTTGGGCAGTCCAAGATGATGATCGGCGTGAAGATGTGAGATCCATATCATCTTCATGTTGAGTATGATGTCCTCGATCTGATCAGGTCCAAAGAATCTGACGAGTTGACCAAAGGTACCTTCGCCACAATCGAGCATCATACTGTTTCCATTGGACATGAGAATGTGATTGCCAGTGACATTGCGATACACCGATGGGATGGCACTGCCGGTGCCAGTCAACAGGATCTTTGGATACATCACTTTGTTCTCCTTTGCATTGATCTCATCCATGGCCTTTGATATCTTCTTGAGGTATGAGGGCTTGGTGTAGGGGGTGGCCTGACCCTCGAGGGCAGGCGTATTGATTTCTTCAGAGAGTGACTCGAAGCTCATGTCACCAATCTGTGATGATGGTGCCAGCACGACCTTCGTCAGCTTCTGGATTGGGATGATATTCTTCTTGAGTGTCTCTGAGTATAATGATGATGATGGAGTATCTTTTTGGAACAATGACTGTGGCAGGCTTTGAGTGGACATCTTTGGAAATATCTCAGGTACCAACTTTGCAATGCTCCTCATCAAATTATCTGATGATGGGAATGATGGATAATATTCACAGTTCTCTCTATTGATAATAACATGCTATTATATGATTGATTGATTGTTAGTGATTGTGAGTGGATCATCATATAAATGAGGGGATATGTACCTTGGTAGTTGGTCCAAACTTTTCCATAAACTCAATGTAGGCTGGATTGTTCAATACTTGTTGTGGAGCAACATGGAATACAACGATCATGTTGATTGTCTTGTCAAAGTATGGCTTGAACTCCTTGTTTGATGCCATAAGTGATGGTATGTATTCCTCTGATGGACATCTGATGATCGCGAATCTCTGAATATGAGTGAGTGAGGTGCAAAGTGTTAGTTTATCAATGAAAGTGATCAATGAAGGTGATCGATCAACATACCGATGCAGGTACAGACTTCTCCATTACTTGATGTGGCTGGACAATGTCGCCATTGGGGAGTGTGACAGAGTTGCCAGAGACTAACTTTCTGAAGAGTCCACCCTTTGGCACTCCAAGTCTGATGGCCTCATCAGGCAAGAATTTGCCAACAAAGTCATTGGTGCTGCAGATGAAGCAATGCACAATGTCATCATGGGCATTCTCTTGCGATGGAACTTTCTCCTTCTTTGTGTCCTTCCTCTGCTTCTTGATTGGTTGTGTTGGATCGTTCTCCTCCTCGCCACCCTCATGATCCGAGATGTCGGAGCAGGATGATGGAGCCTCCTCCATGGCTGAGCCATCGACGTGACAAACGCGACTGATCAGCTTCTTCTCCAACACGTACTTGGCAAACTGTGACTTGACGTTGATTGGCTTTGAGCAGATTGGCACCGACACCACGGTGAAGTCGGGAAAGTTGAGCGTGTGCGATTCCGAGTTGGGCAGCTCGTGAATGTTGATCTTGATGTTGCGATAGTTGGCGAATGTCTTGGCGGCGACAAACACGTTGTGGAAGCCGTGTGGGCCGTAGAGGTCGACCTCGCCCATCACGTTGATGTCGTCCAGTGTGAACAGCATGCCAGGCAGACCGCCAATACTCTCCCACTTCAATGTCGACAACAGTATACTCTGCATTCTTGACAATGATATTGATTTACGCTGTGTAAAGAATCTCTGTGTAGACTCGCCGCATTCAAACAAGAATCTATGTTGATCAAAGAATGTATAAAATGTTGGTGAAGTCTCTAAATTATCGCCTGAGGCTTCAATATATGCTTTGACCATTTTGTACTGTTTTTGTTATGAATGGGAGTTGTTTGGTCTAACAACTCTCTATTCAATGTATATGTATGTATATGTATATTAAAGAGTGAAAGATTATAAGTATGAATGAGGTGGATGAACAGCGAACGACCTCTCGCTCACCCTTCCTTCGTCTTTCGCGAAAAAAGTATTAAAACTTGAAGTCGAGATACCCTCACACACTTACCCTCGCATTAATCACTCACTCAATCAATCATTCATTAATGTATGTTATTGGATTGTATTAACTAGTATTGTTGTGATAATAGCATGGCATTGTCATGCTTTAGACTTCCTATATCCAGTTGTCTCTCCCATCTTGATTGACTTTGCAATTGAGGTCAGAGGATCACTACCAGCTGCAATCTTATGTTGTTGACCGCCCACGATCGTTGATGATATGGCACCTCCGCCACCAACAGTTGGTGACATGTTGTTCGACAGTTGTTGTAACAATCTCTGACAACTCTTGGAATATTGGATGACGAAGGAGAAGATGGTGCCGAATAGTTGTTGACATTGGATTGTGTGATGGACGTGACTTGGATAGCCAAAGAACAGGAGTAGGGAGTTGAATGAGTTGGACGCTTGTTCAAACTGCTCGCGCAGTCTAAGTAGCTCGGAATCACATCGCTCTGTAAGTGTTTGCATCGATCGCTGGAATAGCATTGCCTCCTCAATGTTGCCCGAGGCTAACAATAGATCGGACGATGTCTTGGCGTGATACGTCTTGAATTGGCCGTAGCTGTCCTCTAGGTCACTGATGTCGATGTTGATGTGTTGTAACGATTGGTCCACATGGCATAGTGAGCGCAACTCGTCGACAAGATTGGCCGATGCTGGATGTCGTTCAAGTGCCACCTTGCAGATATAGTCGAGCAGGGTGGTCCTTCCATCGACATCCTTGATCGACGACAGACTGGGCAGAATCTCCAGGGTGAAGGCATCGGCCTGTCCTCGTCCAGATCCGCCATTCATGTGATTGCCCAATGCAAGGACAATGCCAAACACCTGTCCGAGATGCGCGTTGGTTCTTAGGTCATTGGTGGCCGTGGCAATGCACTTGATCCTGGTTGTGATGGTCACCAGTTGATTGGACAGCTCGCTTCGTGTCAAGTAGCATCTGGCACGCTCAGTCAAGGCTGGTACCTCCTGCATCTCCATTATCCATCTATCTGCATCAGCTAACTTCTCCAATGGCAAGCCACTGGCCTTGATCAACTTGACATCCTCCAAACATGGGGCATTGCGTATCAACAGTCTCATCAACTCCACATTGTTCAATGTTGAGTCATCTACATCGTTGCTCTGTATGCTTGACTTGAGATGCTGACTGCTTGGAAGCTTGGGCATCACGGACTCAATAGCCCATCTTCGTTCTTTGTCAATGAATGAAGTCCTGGTCGGCTCGCTACCGTTCTGGGACAGGGACAGTGGGCTCTGGAGTGGCAAGACTTGTGAGTCCATCCTCCTTTCTCCAAACAGTTGTTCAAACTCGATGACATTGATTGGTATTAAACCGATCGGGGCGGTAGTGCGCCAAAGGCAGTCCTCCTTCATGGACAACGAAGATCTGGAAGATGGAACTGGTGGCAATATTATCCTGTTCCAGAACAATGGCTTCATCTTGGTGGCGGGGTTGATCAATGGCTTGGTAGGTGGTGGTCGTGCAATCATCTGTCCATCAGTCACATCTCCAACACTTCCATCATTGGTTGTGTATCCTTTGTTGGTCGACACCTTATCCGAGCGTTGTAGGGTGGGATATGAAGCCTCGCACACAACGGCTTGTGATGGAGGTGATTGCATTGTCTCGATAATATGTTTCAATCTATCAATCTCCTTCAATGCCTCGCCCAATGACATCTCTGTCGAGGTAATGTGATGCGTGGCTTCGACTGATCCATCATCAATAGATGATTGATTGGCACCATCCTTGATGTTATGACCATCCATCATTGATCCATGTTGTTGTCTCTTCAACTGATCAATCTCTGTCTGTAACTGCTTGGTTGACTCATTCAACGTCTGTTCAAATCTCTGTCTGTTTGTCTCCAACTGTCTCTTCAACTCCTCTGCAGTCCTCTGTTCCTGTCTTGCTCTCTCCTGTGCCAAGTTAACCTTTCTCTCCAAATCACAACTCTTCTCTCTCTCAATCACGGCAATTCTTAGGAATGACAAGTCCTCTGGATAAGTATGATTGAGTGGACCCAAGAACCTCTGAACTGGATGAGCTGTAAGATGTGATTGAATGAGTAAGTGATTGATCAATCATCAAGCTATCACATATACTAACAGTTGAGGAATATACTGCTGTTGGATGCCTCTTTGATCAGTTGCTGGTTCAGACGCAACTCCTCTTTGAGCATGGATATGAGCGGCTGTTGTAGCTCATACTCGGTCAACTTGGTTTTGAGTCTGTTACACATGGCCTCTAGCCTGGACGCTCGGCTTCGTAGTTGAATGTTGGACTCTCTCTCGTAGATCTCCAGCTGTACTTGGAACTCCTTATTCTGTAGCTCGGTAAGTGAACGAAGCGTGTTGTTCAGTCCATATTCGTCCCAACTCTTCAACAATCTCTCGACTTTAGCTCGTGTTGGACATGCGATCAAGAGTACATTGAGCAGAGTGAATGCGTTGACCTTGGTCTCGAGATCTCCGCTCTCTAGCAGCTTGACAACACTCTGATATGGCTTGGAACTTGATGTGATGGCAGTTGACTTGGCCGCAGAATGTACAGACGCGAATCCTTGCTCCTTGTTCAAGTCGCAGAGAACAAACAGCAACTCGAGGGCAACACGGCAGACTCCAACAACTGGTGAGCTGACCAGTAGGAACAACTGATTGATGAGGGATGGAGTCTTTGTGATGGCGTCCATGCCCTTGACGTACTCGAGACATGCGCGAAGTGAGCCAAGGGCATAAGTTTGCGAGTTGCCCTTGACATCATTGACTATGTGAAGGATGCCCGTCACGCCGCCTCTATCAATGAATGCTTCTGCAAACTCTGGCTCGCTCAATCTTTGCTTCAAGTTGAATACTGTGTCTTTGCCAGTACTTGAGCCAGTGCCAGAGGTCGAGCCAATGCTAAGGTTAGACGAGCTATCTGACATGCTGCGCACAGCATTCAATGCGGCTATCCATCTCTCTGCGCGATATGTTGGAGTGATCTTGAGTAGCAGGCCACATTCACCACTCTCTATCAACTGCTTGACTATATTCCTTGTGTTGTACTCGTTTGAATCATGTGGCCAGTTGAGATAGCGCTTTGATGATTCAACTTGCAACACATAATATTCTGTTATCTTACCAGCAATACCAAATAGTTGACATATTGCTTGGAACACTGTTGTATAACTTGAATTCTCATTCAGCGTATAAGTCTTTGATTGATTATTTTGTTGTTGTTGGGCTAATTGTTGTTGTAATATATTTGATGATGTACTATCCTTTGATAATGATGTTGAAGGTTGTGACACTGCCAACCATTTACCAGATGATCCGGAATTAACAACAATTGGAATATTATTAATATGATCAACAATAAATGTTATAGTTAATATCATTCTTCTGGAAATTAATATTATTGAATAATTGAGTATTTAATTGATTGATTGTTTTATTGATTGAATGAACGATACTGAATACTTTAGACTACATTATTGTTGCGCCTCAACACATCATTCATTCATTCCTAAGTACGACGACCTCGATGTTATTATTATTATAAATAGTAGGAACACACATTGTTGTTGGAGTCCATATACCCCCTTATCATCAGGTGATCACTCTTGTCAATAATTATTGATAGCAATCAGATGAATAAGTGTGTGTGTGTGTTTGTTTGTTTGTTGTTTGGGGTTGTAGCAATCAAACAATGAGTGTTTGTTCGATTGAGTGGGGGTATGTTGTTGAGTAAGTAGAGGACCTCTCTACCCAATGAATGTCTTGTGGAATATGAAGAGTTTGTTGAGTCCATTGCCATGATAAGGTATAGTGGTGGGACAGCCAACAAAGATTGTTTACCCAAAATGATCATGTTTAAATTAAACTGGACATTTGACATTTACAAACAGTCCAGAAAGATTGATCAATCTATAATACTAAAAAGGATAAAGATATTATTATCAAATGGAAGATGTAGAACAATATAATGATGGGATTGTAAAGGGTCAGTTATATTTGTCAAGTTCTAAACACGAGGTTTTCATCTGAAACACAGTAAACTCATCATATCAATGACAATCCCTAAATCATTCTCATAGTTCTTTTACTAAAACATATAAAAACGAACGAATCTTTATATCTATCGTTGTTTATGGGTTGAAAATGATTAAAAATCGTTAATTATTTGGGTATCAATTGACGTCACCTGATCAGATATTATCAATTGTACAATAACTTTATTCAATGTAATATAAACAGATAGAGAATGACATCAACATCTCAAGAATCACTCTCACAACGATTCCTATTCGGTGGTCTATCATGCATGGCTGCTGCTTGTGTAGTATGTTTGATTGATCAGATTGATTGAGTGGTGTGAGACATGGATGATGCTGACATGAAGATTATAGACCAACCCAATAGATGTGATAAAGACAAGACTTCAGCTACAGGGTGAACTTGCAAAGAAAGCTGCATCTACTACGACTGCGGCCACACTTCGTACAAGTGGATTGTCCACTTCCACTTTGATGGACGCAGCCACAGCAACAGCCAACACAACAGCCAATGCCACACAACATCATCAACAACAATATAGAGGATTCATTAGAGGTATACTACATATAATCAATCAAGAAGGTGTACGTGGATTATACAAAGGATTGGCACCATCATTGTTGAGAGAGGCTACTTATTCAACATTGAGAATGGGTGGCTATGATATGATCAAGGTGTACTTTGTCGATAAGGATGGTAAGACATCGTTGCCATCAAAGATCATCTCGGGCTGCATATCTGGAGGTGTTGGCGCATGCATTGCCAACCCAACCGATTTGATCAAAGTCAGGATGCAAGCACAGTCCACGGTTGGCGGACATAGATACACATCAATGCGACAGGCCTTCACCGACGTCATCCAGAAAGAGGGCATCCGAGGCCTATACAAGGGCGTTGGACCAACTACCCAGCGTGCCGCGCTGCTCACAGCCAGTCAACTGGCCAGCTACGATCAATTCAAACACAGCCTTATCGATCATGGCTTGGTGCCTGGCGAGGGCCTGCAAGCACACGTGTCGGCATCGTTGCTGGCCGGCTTTGTCGCGGCCGTCGTCACATCGCCTGTCGACGTGATCAAGACACGCATCATGAATCAACCATTCGACGCATCAGGTCATGGCACAATGTATCGCTCCACACTGGATTGTCTGACAAAGACCCTGCAGACTGAGGGCCTTCATGGCCTCTACAAAGGATTCATTCCAAACTGGCTACGCATTGGTCCACACACACTCGTCACCTTTATATTCTACGAGAACCTTCGAAAGCTTGGCGGTATCTCGCCAGTCTGAGTTCATTGGAACATAAATATCGAGCTCGATCGATCAAAAATATCATGCGTCTTTGTTGTCGTTGTTGTTGCTGTTGTTGGGCGATTGATCATTAGTATTGTTTGTTCGCAAGTCCAGACGCATATCCTTTCTTCTGCTTCTTGATGATGGAGGTGACTTCCAGCGGTTGAGTGTCTTCCTGTACTTGGCCAACAGGATCGTGTAGTGATTGATGACCATCAGTCGCAGAACCGCCCTTGCACGATCGTCCAGTACCTCTCCATCAGCATCATGCGTTGGCACGCCATACTGATCGAATGCTGAATAATCCTCCTCACGGTATTCCTTCTTTGGTTTCTTCAACATCTTTTGACCAAGATTGTCATAAAGCTCCAAGCTTGGCTTTGATGATTGAGTTTGAGTTGGAGTTTGAGTTGGAGGTGTTGTCTCTTGTTGTTGAGTCTGTGTCGCAGGTGCTCGATGTGTTTGTTGTTGCTTTGGTACATGCTTCTGAGTTTGATTGTTTGGGTTGGGTGTGGACGTGGAAGAGGAAGTGGAAATTAAAGTTGAAGTCGTGGAGGATGGTGATGATTCTGTCATGTGATCAAGGATTGCTCTGCTTAACTTGTCGAATCCATCATGGGTGTCTGTGGGGTTGGGCTCGTAGTCCACTTCGATGTCAGCCTTGGGCAGAGACCTCTTGCGAGTCTTAGACAACTCCTTCTCAACAGTCTGTTGGTCCAGGATCGAGTAGCTATAGCTGTCATCGATCTCATCCTGTACAGATATGCCACCGATCAACAAGTTGATTCGCTCATCGTCGCAGAGCTCCAGGAGCTTCGCTGGCTCCAGGGCGTCCTTGCTACGGGCATATGTACGCACCGAGCATCTAAAGTCGAGGTATTGCTCCAGCAGCTTCTCCAGACCGGTGAATCGCTCGTCCTGTTGCTGCGTCTCGGGCTTCTTCTCAACGCGCAGCTTCATCTGTCCGTCCTCCAACATGCCAAACACGCGGAACATCCTCTTGATGTAGTCGTAGATGTTGTAGAGGATGTCTCGAGGCATTGGCTTCAGTTGTGTGTCAGTCTGCATTGTCTCCCTTATTAGCAACTGCATGATCTTGAGTGCCTTTGAAGTATTGAAGTCGTCGCACAATGCCAAATGTACATCATTCTTTGAGAAGTTGAACAAGTCAATGATTGACTTGGCCTGAGCATACTTTGTTCGCTGTAAATTGATGTTAATAGGCTCGGACAGTCCCATCTATGATTGATTTAGTTAGTTCGATGGGATGGGGTGGAACTGAGTGTCATTGATTGTTGATTCATACCTCAACGAGAGTGAACCAATCCTGGAACTTAGTCAGTGATTCAAAGTATGTCTTGTTGGAGGGTGTATAGTTGATTGGTTCATAGTAGTGATTGGTAAGGCAGAGCCACCTGAATGATGCGGCACTGTTTGTCTCTAGGTATTCCTGTTATTGGTGGATGATGATGAATGAGTGAGTGAGATGATTGGATCATTAGACTGACCAATCAATGATCATGGTTCCATTGCAACATACTCTGATGGTGATGAAGTTCTTGAGTGACTTGGACATCTTGGATCCCTTGATATTGAGATGTCCAATGTGCATAAAGTAGTTGACCCATTGTTTGTACTGATTGGTATGAGGGTCTGGATTGTTGCAGAAATGAGCCTCGCATTGAGCAATCTCATTCTCATGATGAGGGAATTGAAGATCAATGCCACCAGCATGTACATCAAGCTTCTCTCCAAATATCGAGCTAATCAGATTGAGTGATTGAATGAGTGAGTGATGGATAGCCAGCCATGTAGTTGAAAGTACTTACTGAATCATTGAAGAACACTCAATGTGCCAGCCAGGTCGTCCACTGCCGAATGGTGATCCCCATGAGACTGCCTGACCTGTGCCATCTTTTTCGGCAGGGTTGGACGCCTTCCACAGGGCAAAGTCACGGTGGTTTCGTTTGCCATCCTTCTGGATGGCCAGGTTCTGATCTGATTGTCCGCTCTTGTTTTCGGCCTGTTGGAACTTGCCATAGCGATCGCCAAAGGCACCCGTGTCAAAAAGGATCGAGGACTCTGTGCCAGATGTTTCGTTGGCCTCATAGGCATAGCCATTATCCTTGATCTGCTTGACGAATGATACAATGTCGGTGATGTGCTCACTGACACGAGTGATGAGCAAGGGTGGTCTGATGTCGAGCGACTCCATGTCCTTTACAAACTCGAGTTCTTTACTTCTTGCCAGATCGCGATGTGATATGTTCTTCTGCTGTGACATCTTTATAATCTTATCATCGACATCTGTCATACCCATCACATGATTAACATTGAGATTGAAGTAGTCTGTAAGAAGTCTTTGAATGATATCGACTGATACGTATGCTCTGTTTGATTGAATGAGTGAGCGAGTGAGTTAGTGAATGAAGTTGTCGCGTGTGATGATGACATTGCTACATACCTTGCATGACCCAAGTGAGCACTGTCGTATACTGTTGGTCCACATGTGTACCATGAGATAGAACGATCGCTGCCTTCGAGTATGAATGGTACCTTTCGCTTCTCCCTCACCAATGTATTGTTGACATTGATACCTGTGTTGTGACCTTTAGGCACCCTCCATCTTGAGTCTGATGACAGTCCACCTCCGCCTACACCACCATTGCCATTGTTATTGGCACTGTTGGCAGCGTTTGCGGCAGCAGCAGCAGCAGCAGATTGTAATTTAATATGACTTGTTGATGCTGGCAAGGTTGGACCTGTGCCTGGCAGTGCCTGACCAGCAGTCTTGGCCACCGTCTGTTTCAACGATGTTAATATATTCTTGAACATATATACAACACTACTTCTTCTTCGTCTTCCTCTCTCAATGTAGTAGTGATTGATTATCTGATTGCTGAGTTGTCTTGAAGATTGATTGAGTGTCGTTGCTCGACATCATCATTAATCACGTTTTCGAAAAACGACCAAGTCGTGAACCCTCAACCCTCGTTTACACTACCCTTGCCCTAACCCTATCCCTTGTTGTTTGGACGTGATGTGAAGTGTACACAGCAGCAAAGAGACTGGTCGTTTATGAGTGTTCTTGCTTGCGCACAAGGTGAAGGAATACATCCTCAAGAGTGGTGTTCTGAATCTGCCAGTCGGTGATCAGTGCCTCGATGTTGTTGGTGTTGGTGGCGAGCAACTTGAGGAAGTTGGAGAAGTTCTGGTCCATCGTTGGAATTGTGTAGATGATGTTCATCGAGTTGATACGGTCCAGTGCGGCATCTGGCAGGTGACTACGTACAAACTCCTGTGTCTTCTCCAGATCGGTGGTGATCAAGTGCAGCTTGTATCCACTTCCATATCTGTCCTTCAAATGCAACGATGTTCCACATCCAGACAGCTGGCCTTGGTCCATTATAAGGATCTTGTCGCCCAATGCATCAGCTTCCTCCATCGAGTGAGTTGTTAGTAGGCTAGTAGTAGTGGGAGGCGAGTGTTAGTCGACTGATCAGCGGAGAGCGGGTGGGATCATCCCAGTGGACTTACATTAACTTGTCCTTCTTTATACTCTTGATCAACTTCCAAATGTATCTACGGTTGGCTGGCTATAATGATTGATTGATTGATTGATTGATTGAGTGAGTCATACTGATTGAATGAATGAGTGAATGATTAGGGCCACAACTTACATCGATACCAGTGGTTGGCTCATCTAGGATGACAACTTTTGGCTCTCCAATGATACCAATGGCCACTGAAAGTCTTCTTCTCATACCACCACTGTATGAACTGACTTGGTTGTCACCAACTGAGGATAGCCTGACGCTGGCCAAAATCTGATTGATGTCCTCCTTGATGTTATCTCTCTTCTCCTTGACCAATGTCATGATTGTGAGATGCTCACGAGCGGTGAAGTCTGGCCAGTAGACATCGAACTGTGGACACAGTCCCAACATGGTCCTGATGTGCTCCATCTGGGTGCTGACGTCGTAGCCGTGCACAAAGACCTGGCCAGCAGTGATGGTGGTCTGGCCGGTGACCATGTTGATGGTGGTGGTCTTACCAGCACCATTGTGACCCAGCAGTGCGACGATCTTGCCCTTCTCAGCCGAGATGGACAGGTTGTTGACGACACGCTTCTTGCCGTACTTCTTCTGCAGATTCCTGATGACCAGAGAGTGGTCGCGGAAGTTGTCCATGGTGACACAGGTGCCCTCACCTACAATGTCGGGGTCTTGTGAGTCGTTCATGGCGTAGAGGTCGGATTCTTTGATGGGGCTGGGCGTGGCATTGGGGAACCAGAACTTCTTGGTGAAGAGGAAGATTGGCGAGCGTCTGCCGCCAAAGTCGTCGGGGATCACCTTGTCAAAGTACCATGCCAACAACATGTAGATGATCGTTGCTACAAAGATGTAGCTGTTTGTGTTGTACGTTGTAGTAATCTTGCGCTCAGCATAACTTGATGTGATGTTACCGACAAAGTTGGACCAATCATAGTGACCTGGTACAACCTTACTGTTAAAGTCTATAAAGTTGGCATTGATCGTCACAGTTGATATGTCTACAATGACCTTGATCCAGCTGTTGTGTGTGGATAGCATATGTATGAGTCAGTCTTGTGTCCATGCGGAAACCAATCATTCAATCAAACAAACATACTTTAGTGGAGTCAACACTTGGAACAAGATGAGCCAGTCGTAGTACTTGTCCTTGTTTGACCAGAGAGCATAGACGAGTGATGTCATCATTGACATAAGGATCGAGCCAACAATCGAGATCGAGAAGATGACGACGGCAAGGATCACTAATGGTTATGGTGAGGGCGAGGGTTAGGGTTTGGACGTGAGGTTAAGTGTCGTGAGGGTGACTTACTGGCTGCCTTGGTACGCGAGATGAGTGAGGCGATCAGAAGTCCAATGCCAATGAGACTGACTTGGTAAGTCATGAGCACAATGAATATGACTGATGAGTTGGTGTTGCTGATGAAGGTGATGTCAGCAGAGTAACCAAAGATCATGACGATGATAGTGTTGATCAATGCCACCAGGATACCATCGATGAGCCATGTGCTGTAGTAGATGGTGTCATGTACTCCGAATGCGCGGAGGTATGAACGGATCTTGCGCTCCTTCTCCTCGACGATTAGGTAGACGAACAGGATGAATGGGAATGTCAGGCCGAGAGTCAGGAAGAAGGGGAACAGCATGGAGATGACGGTCTTGCCGGGGAGTGTGGCGGCGCCGCCCAGCACTGAGGGTGGCTCACGGTTCAAGATCTCAATTTTGGCTTCACCTCCAGTGATGGTCGCGGCCAACGATGTCTCGATGGCGGCACGGATGGCGTAGACGTACCTGGTGGCGGTGTTGTAGCCGTATGGCTGGAAGTTGAAGATGAATGACGACTTTGACACCTGATCATTGTAGTTGTAGCCGAGCGAGTAGAAGTAGTTGGTGGCGTTTCTCTTTGAGAAGAAGACGGTAGCAAGGGTAGTGTTGGTGTTGGTCATGGCCTGCTCAGTGAATGTGTCGATCTGATTTGTACCATTTGTGAGCTCCAGGATATCGCCCTCCTTCCAGCCCATATAGCCAACAATGTCACCGACAATCTGGTCCTTCTCTGGCTGTGTAATAGTTGGATCAAAGTAGTATTGTAGGTAGTAATCACTCTGTTTGATTCGTGTTTGGATAGTGGATCGTCAGTATCAGTGGTGGTGGGGTGGGTCTGTGAGGCCTTGGCCTCGGCCCGGCCTAGCCTAAGGCCTTCAAGTGTCCAAACACATACATTTGTGGTGTAGTTAAAGACAACTGATGTTGTTGGGTATACTTCATCACCAGATGAGTGGATACTCTTGAGAATAATATAGAATATGAGCACAGTCCATAATGATGCAGTCACTCTAACAAATGTGAGTACCTTGTTTCTGATCTAAATGTGTGTCATTTGATTGATTGTTTGATTGAGTGAGTGAGTGATCGATCGATTGATTGAATGACACTAGCATGAGACATACCAGCAACAGGTATTGCTTATACAAAAGTGTATAGAATTGTTGGAATAGACCTGCTTTCTCAGTCATTGTGATTGTTGTGTCTGTCTGTATTCCACTTCAAAAGTTTGGATTGATACTCTGACTGACTGACTGATTGTTGTAAATGACGAATGTTAGTTTGGTCTCAAGTCGATAATAATAAACAATGACAATGTCTTTCACTCAATCAAACATGTTATCCCTGGCCACTCCTCGCCAACCACCAATGCCCAACACTACCTCTCCTGTTTCCTGGCTTCTACAACATCACCAAGATAGGACCTGCATATCTGGGGGTGTTAACAGTGATTTAGTGGACTAAAAAAAGCAAAACTGGGCCAAATCAACGGACATTCTTTGGAAACCAGGGTTGCGTGTTTGTTGACGAGTGCGACCAATCATCTGAAGTATCTATCTAGGAGTGCCCAGTTATGACCTCACTAGCACCTCATACATACATTACAAATTCATACAGTGATAGGCACTCTTTGTCTTTAAGGAATCAGGACTGTCCTCTACCCTCCAATACTTGCCTTTGTCAGACTTACACCTTGTACAGATACGGAAATATCTGTCAGTGCCCCCGAGTGTCCAAGACAACTGTGATCTGATCATTGGTTCATTCATCATTTCATCCAATCATTCAATTATTCCTTCGACCATTCATTTCATTCATTCATTCATTCGTTCATTCAGTGATCGATCACAACACCTTTGGTTAAAGTAACGAGCACTGGTGTGCACTCAATCAATCAATCAATCAATCAGTCAATCAGTCAAACAATCAACTGGTGTCGCTCAATCAATCATACACATATACAAACAATGATCACAGTCAGAGGTCAAATAAGAGCATTAGTATGTGTCATTCATGAATACTTGGGATAGTTCCAGCCTCAGCCTCAGCCTCGGCCTCAAGATCAATCACTCACACTGACACTCACTCTCACACTCACTCATAGTTCCACAGGAATGTGCTCATGCAACTTAGACAGATCAAGACTAATGTCGTTCAATTGGTGTTCCCATTGGCATTGATGGTTATCTTGATCGTTGTCGGTAACGTAGTTAAGAAGCTCACTGATCAAAATGGTGGCAATAACTCTGGCATGAGTGTGTACACTTATTACATGCCAATGGATCAATCAATCTATGGCTACTACTGGTTCTCCAACCCACCACCCCCATCAATGCCCGCCGGCATCAACAACAACACCCAGCCAAACACCACTCTGCTCGGTCAGATCCCGCAGCAATGGAGCAGCTTCTACCAGGCCAATGGCCCGGTCACCCAGGTGCTCACGCCCTACTTCTACGAGGACAGTGCGGCCAACATTGACAACGACATCATCGCACTATACCAGAACAACCTGTCGGCCGTTCGTGACGCCGGCTGGAACCCACCCAACCTGTCCTACGTGCCACCCCTGTCAGCCATCTACTTCAACAGCTATGAGCCCGCTGCACACTCCATCAGCTACACCCTTGAGAACTTTGCCCAACAGTTTACCAAAGGTGCCTTTAGCAACATGCTCCAGTGGTCACAGCAGTCCTATGACTCCAACTGGCGACTAATGTCCACAATCAACACTGCTTTCCGTAAGTCATGTTCACCTCCCCTTCACTCCCCTCCCTCACCTCGCCATCTAACATATCATTCATTCTAATCGCGCACGCGTGCACACATCAATCAGTGAACATGGCATATGGCGAGGATTATGGAATTATTGGAGATCAGATTCAGTTCACGGTGCAGGCTGGCTTCCAGCCAAACACTGTATTCTACTTCATGGCCATTTACTTGTTGCCAACGGTGTTGACATTCATCTTCCCAGTGTTTGTCTTCAACTTGGTCTATGAGAAGGAGCACAAGCTGTTCCAGGTGATGAGTATGATGGGTTTGAAGAACACCACCTACGTCCTATCCAACCATCTCTTCTTCCTGATGCTCTACACCTTCATTGCACTCCTCATGATTGCCATCAGCTTTGCTGGAAACGTCCCCTACATGTTTGAGCAACCATTCCGCATCATCTTACTCATCTTTGCCTATGGCCTGTCCCTCGTCTCCATGGCCTTCCTCTTCAGTGCCTTCTTCTGGAAGGCCAAGACCTCAGCCAGTATGTTGTTCATCCATCACTCACTCCATCACTCCGTCACTCAATCAATCACTAACTCAATCAATCATTAGTCATCAGTTACATATTCGTCCTGCTCGCACCAAACATTGGATGTAACATTGATCAGTTCGTGTTCAAGGGCAGTGCTGCACCTATTCCATACCTCTGGGTACCTCAATTCGCATTCACTCATGGATTGTACATCATCTTTGTCGTGATGACCAGTCCACCAGGTACCTACGATCATCTCATCGCTCTCGATCATTACTCAGAGTACGGTGTTGTCATCATCTCATTGTTAATGGAGTCAATCGTATTCTTCTTCTTGGGAATGTAAGTACCACTGCTACCCCTTGCTGTTGTCCACGATGGATGGAGCATACATGACTAACACAAGAGCATGTAGTTACCTTGGCAATGTCATTCCAAAGGAGTATGGTGTCACTCTGTCACCATTGTACCCAATCAAGGACTTTATTGGCTGGACAAAGAAGAAGACTAGAGGTGTGGGCGAGGCCAGTCCATTGATTGGCAAGCAATCAGATGACACAACTCCAATCCTTATCAATGATGACACTGACATTGTAAGTAGTCACCATCAATCATTCACTCAATCAATCAACTCACTCACTCATTCAATCACTCAATCAATCAATCATACGTAGATTGAGGAGGACCAAGACTGCAAGAGAGAAAGAGAGAGAGCCAACTCTGATGATAGCTACTTGTTGAAGGCTGTGAACATTAAGAAGATTTACAAGACCAAGGGTACTGTGAAGGAGGCTTTGGTCAACTTCTGTTTGACATCGGAGAAGGGTGAGATCCTTGGTTTGCTTGGACCAAACGGTGCTGGCAAGACCACCTTCATTCATATCATTGGTGGTGTCTACACACCAACCTCTGGCGATGCCTACATCAACGGTTACTCCATCTCCACTGAGATGCGTGACATTTACAACTTCCTTGGGTAAGTTACAATGCCTACATGGTGGCCAATCATGGACACAAGACTAACCAACTCAAACATCTTAGCTTCTGTCCACAGCACGACATATTGTATGATGACCTTACTATTCAGGAGCACTTGGTGTTCTACTCGAGATTGAAGGGACTGTACAACTCAACTTACGAGATGGAGAAGGCTATCGATTCATTGTTGGAGCGTGTCAAACTCGCTGAGCACAGAGACAAGAGAATCTCTGCGTTGAGTGGCGGTATGAAGAGACGTGTATCAATCTCAATCTCATTGCTCGGTGACAACAAGCTGATCCTACTCGATGAGCCCACCACCGGTCTCGACCCAGATGCCAGACGTGCCATCTGGGACATCATCCAAGATGTGCGCCAAGACAAGACTATATTGTATGTTCGTCTCCCGCCGCCTAATCCCCGCCCGTCCTCATACTAACGATCAATCAATCAAACATATGACACAGGATTACAACTCACAACATGGAGGAGGCAGACGTACTTTGTAACAAGATTGCCATCGTTGCATCAGGTAGATTGCAGTGCATTGGCTCACCATTGTACTTGAAGAATAGGTTTGGAAATGGATTCAAGTTGGAGGTGGTACCTGTGGCCGACCAGTATCGCGAGTCTATCGTGCACACTGTGATGAGCACCTATCCAACAGCCATCACGGAGGAGGCTGTAGGCCAGGAGCTGATCTTCCTGATACCCAAACAAGAGGACATTGGTCGTATCTTTGAGGTCATCGCCAACAACAAGGTACAGATGGGTGTTAAGGAGTGGGGAGTATCACAGACCAGTCTGGAGGAGATCTTCATGAAGATGGTAGAGAATGAGATTGTCAAATAAACATTCATTCAATCATTCAATCCAAGTTATCGCCATGGTATACCATACTCGGACTTGGGACGGCCGTGACACCATGTGTTGGGCACTCGTGGCGACGACGATTCGACTTGGAGGGAAACCCAATCAAAGAGTGTAGTCATCATTTCAATAACCAAACTAATGTGAAGCTACATATTCAATCAGATAAAAATAGAACGAGGAGGACATGAATCAGGACACGACTCCTGTGGACTTAGGATATTGGATATTCCAACAGGACGATCATGATGTCTTTGATTGAATTGAGCGAGGACAACACCCACACCCGCCCATCATGTTTTACTGCAGAGGACAATTACATCAAAAGGTGTAAGTTCACCATGATGATGAAGTCTAGTATGGGGGGGAAGTGTCATGTGGTCTAGGGAGGTCCCACCCTGAGTGAGACCCGACAAGCCCAATGCCAGTCAACAACAAACTGACACATGTCGTTCAATAACGAAACGAGCTCTAAAATATCTATGTCATTCATGAACAACTTGTAGACATTCGAAAACCAGGCCACGTCCATCCATCAACAGTATTTCACATAAAGTAATGAATGAATGACTGATGACCAGTCACTACTACGACGTTTGTTCGGGTATCGAATCGGCTCTGTCGTTGTGGTTGTTGATGATGGGTAAGTATGTAGAATGAAACATTAAGACGAGACATACCCGTGGCGATATTTGAACATTCGAATGTAATCCAAAAGATTCGAATGCCACCCTTTGATAATTATAAATAGGGACCTGGTTGGTGGATGGTCATTTCAAACATACCTTCACTTCTATCCCTTCAAATATATACATACAATGAACAGAATCTTTGCTACCATTGCCATCACTTTGGCCCTTGCCTCCTCTGCTTTTGCCGTCTGCCCTACCCCAGACGTAAGTCTTCTCTCCCAACTAAATCAATCAAACATCCATCCTAACACACTCCATTTGAACGGACATCAATCACAATAGTACCACCTCTGGCCACAGACATGCTTCCAGTACACTCATGCTGAGCCAACTTTTGAGCTCCGCAATGCTGCCATCTGGGCTGGCGTCACCCTCCAGAACACCGCCTCGCTCGCCATTATCACCCCAGTTGTTGATGCCGCTGGTACCAACTCCTACACTCTCACCGCTGGCACCTATCAATTGCTGTCGAACGGTCCAGTCGGCGAGTCCACCTGCCCAGGCATCAACTACAGCTTCACCGTCACTGCCAACAACCCAGTGGTCTCCTACGTCTCTGGCTGCCCATCCAGCACCAAGTCCAGAATCGTGATTTCCAACCCAGGCTCATTCACCCACATCCGTATCGACGGTGGTGCTCCAATTGTCATCTCTGGTGCCTCTGGTCTCCAGTCCCCAGGCGTCCACACCATTGCCTACCTCCAGGGATCTCCATCCACCGTCCCATCATGCTGGGTCTACGCCACCGTCCCAACCGTCACCTGCTAAATCCATCGCGGTCTATTCACCATTCATCATCTTGATGCTCTCCAGGCAGTACATTGAGATTGATTAAACTTCATGTTATTATTACATCATTCAATGATGCATCCCTTCTTCGTTGATGATGAATGTGCCATGGCCTGGCGCGTGGGCTTGATTGATCGTTGTTTTGTTCCATGAGTGATCGTTTGGTTGAGGTCCAAGAAGTATATGTATGATGGCAATGTGTGATTGAGTTGGAGATGTGTATCGCGATTCAGGATACAGAGTGCATGATCCTTGTTTAGACGTCTAACAATACATTGGTGTGTGGTCACCAATGTCTGGTCTAGACCTGGACCTTGACTTCGATTTGTACCCTCATCATCGACAACATTCATGATAATATTCTCCAACGATTGATTGTTGTCTCCTCTAGCAAGCTTGATGCACTCAATTCGAAGTTGATTCAAATTGATACCATCATAGTATATGGTCAAGGTCTTGACATGATGAGGAAGTGATGGTATCTCTCTAAGTTGTAGCATGCTCCTAAACACCAAGTATCCATTGGCAGCAGTTGCCAGTTTCTTCCGATTAGTGATGGACAATGATAGTGAGGTGAGTGATTGAGGTAGATCCATTGATGTATACTTGAAGCATAGTCCCAGCCTAAGATGTGTGAGTGACTCGGGTAGTAGTCCTGCCGTCAGAGGTTGATCAAACTGTAGACCAAAGGTCAGGCTTTGCAATGTGGTCGGTATCCAATGATCATTGATTATTGGAATATTGTAGCATTCACCAAACTCCAGAGTGACAAGTGCCGGTGGCAACGTCTCAATCAACTGATTAAAGTTATTTCCCATCTTTAGATGTTTGATCGAGTCTGGCAACAATCCATTACCAATTGGCCTGTCATAGTCATTGCCCAGCACCAATGTCTCGAGTGATGGTGGTAGTGCGCCATCAGTAAAGTCAGTGAAGCCACATCCCAGCTTCAATGATGTGAGCGAAAATGGCACTGTTGCCGGCTTGATGCTCCAGCCATACTCTGAGTTGACCTCCAGCGACTCCAACATATTGGTGTATAATCTTGGCTGCCAGGGACTGTTGAATGTCACCAAGTGTCTGATGGTCGGCGGCAGGGTCTGGCTCAATGGCATGCCCTGTTGTCCATACAATGTCAGACTGGTGAGTGATTGAGGCACACCAGTGTTCAACTGATGCGTGTTCCTCTCGCCCAGAGTAAGATATATGAGTGAGTTTGGCAATGCCTCGGGCTGTATCATATGACTAAAGTTGTTGCCAAACCTCAGGCTCGTGATGGAGTTGGGTAATGCACCAGGCTCAATAAGTTGATCGAATTGGTTACCCAATGAAAGCGATGTGAGACCATCCGGAAGCACTCCAATGTCAATAGGTAGGTTGTATGATTGACCAAGATTCAATAATCTTAAAGTCAATGGTAGTGTGTTGGGTGCCAAGACAAAGTTGAACGTGGACATTGTCAACATGATGAGTGATGGCGGGAACAGGCCTGGCACGATATGTTGAGTTTGACCACCTCTGTACGTTAAGTGCTTAAGTGACAGTGGTAGTGCACCTGGTGTGATGGTATTGCTAAACATATGGCCAAGCTCGAGACTCACCAGACAATCCGGGAGATCACCTTTGTGTATTGAATGATTGAATTGTTCATCCAACTTGAGATGAAGCAATCGTGGAATTGATGGACATGGCAGATCACAAACATCTTTGCGTAATAAAACTTGATTGATATCCCATTGTAACAAACTGTTAATGACTGTCTTTATATAACTATGTACTCTCTTGCATGTTAGACTCAAACTAACAATGTCAACAACTATCGTCAATGTCGTTGTTGTTGTCTCTGGTGATGATAATGATGGTGCATCATCAAAATGTTTGAACAAATGATCAATGATTGATCTGATCAAGATAGTTGGAAGTGTATCCATCTTACTATATGTATGTATATATCTCAATAGATATATTATCTCTAACTTTCATTGATGATGGGACGTCAAAAAGTTTAAATTGCGCGGTTAAATTATTTCGACTTTTGTCAACTTCATCACATCTTTCACTCTTTCTTCAACGTCATCATCTTCAAAGATAGACATAACTGTTACTTCTCTTATCGATCAATCAATCAATCAATCATTTGGGTATCTTCACTCTGCATTTCATTCAAAAAAGTCAATCAATCATTGATCATTCATTTGGATAACACGATAATTTCATTCACTCGATCATCCAATTGATCGATCATTCAAAGGTTGTCATCATCAAGAACTTAGATAGTTAACATACAATGTCCGATCGTGGTGTGGATGGAGCTGCTAATGGCCACTCCAATGGAACTGCATCACCATCGTCTTCACCATTCGTACCTCGACCAAGCACATATGATAGACGTCTTCGTAAACTGGAGGAAACTGCACTATATCTGACGGAACCACCTGACAAGCATCCAAATCATCAATCAAAGCCAAGGGATAGAGAGAAGAGCAAAGAGAAGGAGAAGGAGAAGGAGAGATTGAAAGAGAAAGAGAAAGAAAAGGAGAAAGAGAAAGAGAAGGAGAAGGAGAGAATGAGATTGAAAGAGAAAGAACAAGAGAGGGAGAAGGAGAAGGAGAAAGAGAAAGAGAAGGAGAGGGACCGTAAACCCAAGGCCAAGGAGAATAAGAAGTTTGTTCTTGTCGACAAGAACGTTAGACATGAGCTCGTAAGTATCATTCATTCATTGGATCATCCGATCATTTTCGCTCACTCATTCATTCAATAGAACTCTGCTGGACTGGTCAACAACGACTTTTGTTACTCATGCAAGGATGGAGGTGAGCTGCTATGTTGCGAGAACTGTGAGCTATCATTTCATCTACTATGTCTCAATCCTCCCAATCCAAACGTGCCAGATGGCGACTGGTACTGCGCCACCTGCTCCGACAAATTGCATCCAAAGCCTAAGACTCGATATGGCAAGACCCTATTCTCGACACTCTTTAAACAACTTGATGCGACCAATCCCGAAGCTTTCAAGCTGCCACCTGGCACAAAGAGTATGCCTTGCGCGTGTCTCCATCTCACTGGAATCATCCCACTAACCAATCAATCAACTTACTTAGCGCACAAGAAGAAGAAGAGCAAGCTCACTTTGTCATGTAGGATATGTGAGACTGATGACAATCAGAAGGATATTATGGAGTGCTATCATGAGCATTGTACATATACTGTGCACACGTATTGTGTAGAGCCACCTCTATTTGAGGTACCATATCAATGGGGCTGTCCCAATCATCCAGTTGATCGTGACAATGAAGATGTGGCAGAGGACTCAATGATGGACGACATAAGTCCAACTGGAGCATCATCGTCAAACAACGCAGCAGCGGGCAGGTTCACCGACAAGTTCCTCCTCGACTTCTCAAATCCTCAATCATCCTCCTCATCACACAGACCAAACAACAAGGTCCCATCCGAGCCATTCTACGAGGACATCTTTGGCAATGTATGTTGTTGGAGCGACTCATTCATGGCCTGTACTAACCCAATCCTTCCCGCCTGGATCACGCATCACCAGAACCTTTCAATGAAGGACTATTACAACAGACAGCTTGTTAAGGATCTGTTTGGGGACCAGGCCATTCCACAAAGTCGGCCCAGCGCAACAACAAACAACAACAAAGCCAGCTCATCATCACGACAACACAACAATAGTAGGAATAACAACAATAGGAGCAACAACAACAATAACAATAACAACAACAACAATGACCCTGGCGACGAGCAACAACAACATCTTGATAGGATTGAACAGATGTTACAAGAACAGAGGAGACTATCATTGGCTGCAATGGTATGATTGATTAAGTTGATTGATCAGGGATGATTAACTAACACACACATTGTATTAGCCATCAGAGTTTGGAATCGATCCAATGGACTTGGCAGCACAACCTTTGGACAATTGCAATGCATTCATGCTGTCATCACTCTCCCCACTGTTCACTCAGTTCCTTGCTTGGCAACGACTAATGCAACTCAACTCACAGATATTCAAACTGCGTGCAGAGCATCGTGCAAAGACCAACAACACTGGCAACAACAACAATGTCAACAACGAGGATGATTACAACAACAACCATACCAATCAATCATCACCATCACCACAATCTGATATCAACCAAGCCAATCATGTGGCTGAACAGATTGAGCAATACAAGGCGAGGAGCATTGATGAGCAACTGTCGCCACAAGAGTTGCTGCGACAGAAGAAGCACCAGCAACTGCTTGATCAACAGGAACAACGACGTCTGCACAAGGAGCAGCTCAGACTCCAACAGCTGCAGGAGCAACAAGAACAACTGTTGCTGATGGAGCAGATGAAGCAACAGCCTCACATGCTCACCAGGAAGAGGACGATACACACCACAGATGGACCCAATGGATCAGACGGAGGCAGCAACAACAAGGCACCAACGACATCGACACGGTCAAGACATTCATTGCCAACTAGGAGGAGCACATTGGAGTCAAGACATCAATCGGATAAACATGATCCCGAGAATGATTTCCTCGATAGCATGCGATTGGACAATCAATCGCCACCAATGTTGCCAAGTCCATTGATCCCTGCGACGACAACAACATCCACGACCACTACCTCGACGACCAACAGCACCCCTGCACCCATGGACACAACGATAGAGGCTCCCCCAGTACCATCGCTATCCCCAATACCATCGCCAACACCGACAACAACTACAGCAGCAACAACAGCAGCAGCAACAGCGGATGTCTCACAGACAAGCACTGAGAAACCTATGGCGATTGCGGACCAAACAAACACGACAACAACAACATCAACGTCAGAACGACACACTAAATCACCGAGCCCCAAGAAGGCAACCTCTCCATCCAAATCCAAGAACAAGTCATCACCATCAAAGTCGAGCGCACCAGTGATATCCCCATCCAAGACTGTCGCTCCATCACCTCTACCCCCACCACAAGCTGCCGAAGCATCACAGCCAAGTGTACCAGCAGTCGCAACTGCCGCCACAACTTCATCAACATCATCGCAAGCTCAGCCTGTCGCATCCACTGTCGTATCAAGCACTAATGCGCCAGCAAAGCCCCGCACATCATCAACATCAGCGACCACCTCTCAACAACCAACATCCACTGGCGGCAGTGCACCAGCAGTCGCCACCATTCCAGCTACACAAACAACACAACAACCGGCCACCGCATCGTCATCAACAACAACAACACAACCTACACAACCTACACAACCTATACAACCAACAGCAAAGGCACCTTCACCATCATCATCATCAACATCATCAACACAACCCATCTCTTCAGTATCAGCATCGTCACAAACAAAAACACAACCACAACAACAACCAGCCGCCACCATTCCATCATCACAACCAACATCATCTTCATCAGACGCAACATCACCAAAGCCAGCGCTCCGACTCAAGATCCAGTCACCCAACAAATCGCCACAATCATCCGCGGCCAATGTGCTGGAACAGCCCCAAGCTGGTGGACAAGATCAATCAAACGAGACAGATCTGCCACCACTAGGCGATGTCAAGGTTTACGATGCACCGATTGCCGAGGTCCTCATCGCAGGTATGTACAATGACAACTATCATTCAATCAATCAATCATACTCACGTTCAATCAATCAATCAGAACTTGATCAACGTGTACCTATTAAGACCAACAGGGCACTGATTGGAAGATTGACAAAGAAGAGTGATAAGGGTGTGGACATTAACCTGCCTTCAAGGTTCGTGTCGAGGACTCATTCTTACATCTTATACAATGAGGATACGAACGAGTTCAGCTTGACCAACATTGGACGCAACAAGATCTATATGATCAATGGACAGAAGTGTGTACTGGCCACACCAGTGCCAATCAAGACTGACGACTCTATCCGTATTGGTGATTACACGTTGAAGTTTCTGTCGCTGGTCGACTGACTTGGCGGATGATCACAACGATAACAACATCAACAATACATCATGACGTTGTTCGGTTAAAACAAATTCGTAATGCATTGTTACATAAACGCGTCGGTCCAAAAGATATTTTGGATACTTTTGGGTCCCATCCCAGCTTAAGATGGGCGAGCTTTAAACTCGTGACACCACCCCACACGCAAATGTTGTTGTATTCTCGTTTGATTGGGCCTGGGACTCTAAGCCCATGTTGTTTTTTGCATCGTTTGATCGAAGGTGTCCAGCCAATGTTTGATTCGTGTCCATTGAGTAACCAATCTATCAATCTATCCTACACAACATAGTTAAAAGATATCTAGATATTAGTTAAAACAGATAAAGTTAAAGATAAAGAGATATATAGATATATAATATGTCATCTTTATCTAATTCATCGTCGACGACGACGACTATGACTATGACAACGTTTGTGGACGAGGCAGATGATAACTATAACTATGAAGGTGATGCCGATGGACTCATCCCATTAAAGGATCACGATGAAGAACAAGAAGACATAATGGATAACATATCAGAGAATAGTGATAATGATGGTGGAGGTGGACATGGAGAAGGCGGTGGAGGTGGAGGTGGCGGTATAGGTTTGGAAGAGATAGATATAAGAGATGTAAACTCTACTAGTGATGATGGATTTAACAAGCCATCAACACCATTGCCTAAACTAAAGATATTCTCCATCTTCATCGTCATCCTCTGTGATGCCATCAACGCACAATCAATCTACCCATACGTTAACTTCTTGGTGGAAGACTTCCACCTAACATCAAATGACAAGACACTCGGGTATGTATATTGGATTGATCAGTCTTGGAACTATTCCATCCATCTAACACCCCTCCCCAACACTCCCCATCCCCAATTCCAGATATTACGTTGGATTCTTGGCGTCATCATATTACTCATCACAGTTGTTCTCATCATTCTTCTGGGGATGGTTCTCAAATTATAAAGGTAGGAGACCTTCCGTCATTTGTGGCCTGCTCGGATCTATGATGTGTATGTTCTTCTTTGGCTTCTCACGTAGTTATGGAATGGCAATCACCTTCAGATTCCTAGCAGGATTGTTGAATGGTAATATTGCCGTTGCCAAGACAATGTTGGGAGAGATAACCGATTCATCCAACCAGGCGCGAGCATTCTCATTCATTGGACTATCATGGAGTATTGGTGGAATATGTGCGCCACTAATCGGTGGCATGGCGTCCAATGTGTGCAAGCAGTATCCAACACATATTAGCTCGCCATCCAACCTGCTGTGCAAGTTCCCCTACCTGTTGCCAAACCTCATATGTATCTTCTTCTCGATCATTGGCTTCCTCCTCACATTCTTCTATTTGAGCGAGTCCAAGACATTCACGCTAAAGTCTGCCGCGCCAGGCAAGCGACCTACCACCCCCAAGACATTGATCATGTCACTGCTCCAGAAGATCAAGAACCTCAGCTCACAGACCAAGCGCAGGTTCCAATTGCTCGCAACATCTGTCAACAGAGGTGGAGACAGCAACAACAATGTCGAAACAGACTACAATGGCGGTGGACAAGAAGGCGAGTCCGATGCAACAGGTATAGTGTTGGTATCAATGAAGACGATTGATGTTGTCGCCGACGACAATGTTGATCTGGTCTCCAATCAGATTGTGATCGAGCAGGATGAGGTGGATGCTGATAATGGTGACGACGCCAACAGTGATCAACCTCGCTCGGTCAAACAGTTGCTAAAGGACAGGGAGGTGATGATGTCCTGTATATTCTACGCGGTCATTGGCTTCCACTTCACCATTTTTGAAGAAGGCTTTGGTGTATGGAGTCCAATCACGCGAACAATCGATCCAATCACAGGCTTGCCCACCGGTGGCGGCTATGGATTCACTTCTCGAGACATCGGAATACTCCAGAGCACGGCTGGCATCTTTGCGCTGTTCATCCAGTCGTTTGTGTTCCCGCCATTGGTCAATCGCATCGGTCTGGTCAAGTCATATCGCCTGGCATTCTTCATGGTGTTGCCCGCCTGGATCTTCCTTCCCGAGCTGTCACGATTCACTATCACTCAGCCTGGCCAGCCGGTGCCACATCCTCCTCTATTCTGGGTGCTACTATTCCCCGTGTACCTATGCCAATCGTTTGGTAGCGAGTTTGGCTACATCTCAATCATTGTAATGATAAGCAACTCTGCGCTGCCCAAGGACATGGCCATCGTCAACTCGATAGGCATGTTCTTGGTGTCGATCTCGCGAACAGTCGGTCCCATCATTGGCTCATCTTTGATGGCGCTGACGGTCAGTCACAACATGCCCTACCCATTCGACTATCACTTCTTCTTTGTGATGCTCACATTGTTTGCCGTGGTGCTCATCGTCTCTTCCTTCTTCCTGTCGCCATCACTCAATCATCCCAAGATGCCACCACGCAACGCCAACAACAAGATCAAGACAGAGCAACAATCACAAGTAGTCCACTGATTGATTGGTCAAAAGGTTGGGAATCATTCCATGACTGTCCCTATTTATTACAATAATAATATATATAATGTCTCGCTCATCACTTGTCCTGTCCTTGGGTCGGCGGTCAGTCGTTCGGTTGTTTGTTTGTTCGTTCTTTAACATTTAGTTGGCAGGTGATGATGGTGCTGCAGCTGTAGCTGAGCCACTGCCAGACTCGGTAGTAGTCGTTGTTGATTCGTTGATTGTTGCTGATGTGGCTGCAACGGTTGACTCCACAACGGTGGCCGACTCGGTCTCTCCGGTCAGCTCAGCCCAGGTGGTCTTCTCACTGAATGGACGTGGTCCAAGCAGCTCTCTCATGTCATCGCGGAGCAAGACCTCCTTCTCCAGGAGTACAGCGGCAACCTTTAGTAGCTCGTCCTTCTTGCTGGTAAGAAGCTCGTAAGTCCTGTCGTAAGCCTCCACCACGATCTTTCTAATCTCCTCATCGATCAATCTTGATGTTGCCTGACTGTATGGCTTCTGCACTGTGATCTCGCCATTGTTCTCCTTCTTGAACGACATGAAGCCCAGTCGCTCGTTCATGCCATAGTGAACCACCTGGGAAGAGGCGATCTTGGTTACCTTCTCCAAGTCATCTTGAGCGCCAGTCGAGATACGGCCAAAGATGATGGACTCGGCCACACGACCACCGAGAGTGACACAGATACGATCGATCAACTGCTCCTTGGTGTAAAGGTACTGGTCCTTGGGCTGGTACTGGGCAAAGCCAAGGGTGCCAGTGCCGCGTGGCACGATTGACACCTTGAGCAATGGGTCAGTGTGCTCGAGGTACCATCCGGCGATGGCGTGACCGGCCTCGTGGTGCGCAACAATGTTCCTCTCGTTTGGTGAGAGAACACGGCTCTTGCGCTCGAGTCCAACCAGCACACGCTCAATCGCCTCCTCAAAATGCTTGAAGTTTGCGGTCAATGAGTTCTTTCTTGCGGCCACGAGGGCGCCCTCATTGCACACGTTGGCAATGTCTGCACCAGAGAAGCCTGGTGTCAGGGTAGCCAGCTTCTTGGCAATGTCCTCAAGCTCGCCATCCAACTTGATGTTCTTGAGATGCACCAGGAAGATGTCCTTGCGTCCCTTGATGTCTGGTGCGCCAACGTAGATCTGTCTGTCGAAACGACCTGGTCTGAGAAGTGCTGGATCCAACACATCTGGTCTGTTGGTGCCGGCAAAGACGATGACGCCCTCTGTAGTGCCAAAGCCGTCCATCTCCACCAACATCTGGTTCAAGGTGTTCTCACGCTCGTCGTTCTGGAAGCCGCCCTTTGATCGCGCGCGTCCCACTGCATCAATCTCATCGATGAACACAATGCATGGGGCATTTTCGCGGGCCTCCTTGAACAGGTCTCGCACACGTGATGGTCCAACTCCAACAAACATCTCGATAAAGTCTGAGCCAGAGATGGAGAAGAAGGGCACGCCAGACTCACCGGCTGTGGCCTTGGCCAGCAACGTCTTTCCTGTGCCGGGTGGACCGACGAGGATGGCACCTTTGGGGATCTTGGCGCCCAGACGCTTGTACTTGTCTGGGTTCTTCAAGAAGGTGACAAACTCCATAATCTCCTCCTTGGCCTCGTCCATGCCTGCCACGTCCTTGAATGATGTTGTGGACTTGCCGCGCGTGACCTTGGACGATTTCTTGGAGAACAAGCTGGCGGTGCCCTTGCCAATGACGCCACCCAAGTTCCTGGTGAAGTAGAAGATGACACCGACAAAGATCAGGGTGGGCAGGACGTTGAGCGCCTCCTGGAACACGCGGTTCTCGGGTGGGAACTCTGCAAATACCTGGTCGCCCATCTCAATGCCCAGCTCCGCCTGGGACTGCTGAAGTCTGCGCTGGAAGTCGTCGGGGTTGGGCACGTTGATCTTGTAGCCCTTGGGTCCCTCGCTTGTCGTGATCCTAATATACGCCACACCATCCGAGATGCGAACCTTTGTCACCTTGCCCAATGGAAGTATCTCAGAACTGAACGTATGATAATCAGTGAATGCCTCCTCCTGGTTCATCTTCCAACTGATATAAGCGAACATTCCAGTGAACACTGCAGTCGATGCCACTGTTGTTGTTTGATTCATTGATCATCAGTTAGTATTTGAGTGCACTCAATCATGATCAATGTGATATAACATACAGAATGTGTTCTTGATGACTTTGAAGAATAATGGATCTTCCTTCTTTTGTTTGTTCTTCTTGTCCTTGTCATTGTCGTTGTCATTGTCGTCTTCGTCCTTGTCATTTTTCGAGTCGTCCTCTTTCTTGCTCTGCTTCTTATCTTTGTTCTTGTTATCATTCTCATTCATATTACCTCCACTGAATGGATTAGTAAAGAAGTATCTTTTGTTATTTAATTGACTGTATAATGTTGATTGTGATTGTGATGGTGATGTTGTTGATGAGGTAAATGTAGTTGTTGATGATATTGTTGTAAATTTATGTGACTGTATATTATTATTATTATTGGATTGTCCTGTTAGAGTAGTCGCACTGACACTTCCATAAGGATATAATCTGTTGTTGATTCGACTTCCTGCAGTCATTCTGCTGAGAAGTGAGCCAGTGACCTTGCTCCTCAGTAGTGATGATGACATCTTATCTGTATATTATATGTATTATGTATGTATCTGTATCTGTATATGTTAACACAACAATGATGTGCCCAATCAATCATGTAGGTCGTTCGAGTCTAAAGTCGAATCAAACAAAAGATTCATTGTCATCTGAAAAAACAATTGAATTAGTCACTTTTTGCAGATTTCATTGAGAAACAGGTAATGATGATGAGTTGTTGTTTGGAAGCCACACTCTTGTTGACTTTGCAAAGTTCTATTATCCATCATCATACTGTCAACAACACACAAACTACACAACAGATAAAATATAATTATAATCATAGGTTGTTTGATCATCACTATGATCGATCAACTTTAATAATTAATGATAATGATGATGATGGACAATTAAGATGATTCATTCAGACTGGGCTTTAATTCATCGAATGGTGAGAGACTGGACTAGTCTGTGGTGAGAGACATCGAGTAACCATTGTAGCGCCAACAGATCTATTTACTTCCAAAAGGTTCGACTGATACGTATCAGACTCATTCCTTCACTCTCTCACTCACTCACTCGTTCATAAGCTTATGAGCTCCATCCATTGACGTCCATGGAATGAAAGGAGTGAGTGAGTGGGTGACATCATCCTGGTCAATACACCCATACACACACTTCTATTCAAACACACACAATGAGAGACAACAAACACAAACACAAACACAAATAACCCGAATGACATCTTTAAAAGGTCGACTTCTGTACTCGGTGAGTGCACTTCATTAGTTAAGCCCTTTGCACTCGTTTATTCTTGGACACACATACACACTGACTTGGTCATACACACATACACAGATACATATTCATAGCTTTAATAATAATATCTAAGACCTGGTCTCTCTCGTCTAGAAATCTGGTATCCCTCAAACCTTTTATTGTAATATAGTTAAACATTTATTATTATTATTATTACTTATATATATATTAGAAATAGAGAGATGAATAATAATTTGGAAGCTGATCCATCTCTTCGATCCTATGCTGATACGCATGGAGAATGGGAGAACAGGGAAATATCGATAATGGGAGCTGTAAAGAGCTTCATATCTCAATTGTCATTGGGCCAGGAATTAACTAAGTAATATCAATATCAAGTCAGTTCAGACAGGAAATTTCAATTGATATTAACAATATTTATTGTTCCTTTACAAACAACAAACAGGGTCAGCATGCCTTCTATATTCTTGATGCCATACTCTGTCCTGGAAATTGCTGCATCCAGGTATCTCAAATATATACACTTGCTATCAGAGTATGTATAAATATTGAATGATTGGATTGATTAATGGATAGTTGGAAACTAATATGTCAATTAGTGCAATCCATGAACCATATCCAATAAGGAGGATGGCTGTACTAGTTCAATATTTCTTGGCAACATTAAGAGATGGAAATGTATGTTTGTGTTATGGGATGGAAGGATGGTTAGAGTTGGGAATAGCTATATATTAATATTGTTTGATTATGAATATAGTTCACCAAGAAGCCATATAATGCATTGTTAGGAGAGAACCATCAATGTTTTGTCAGATACCCTTCAGGTGAAGGAGATAGACCTGCCACTGCGAGATTCCTGGCCGAACAAGTCTGTCATCATCCTCCTCTGTCCTGTTTCTACATTGAAACAACAGAGGGTATTAGCATTGAGGTATGTCATTTATTCAAATATTCATCAATCAATGTACATACTTACATTCATATATATATGACCATAAGTGCAATGTACAATTCTCAGCCAAGTTCCACATGAACTCAGTGTCCATTGTGACGAGTGGATCACTTATCATTGCTTTGCCAGTTGTTGGTGCCAATAATCAGGTCACCAAGGAGGTGTATATAATTGATAAGGGTCTGCCAGATGCCATTGTCAAGAATGTCATATTCGGAACAAGATCCATTCATTGGACGGACTGCGTCGATATCATGTGTCAGGCATCAGACACATCGGCCACTCTGCACTTTGACAAGAATGAGTTTGTCAAGGGCGACATCAATGTGACCAACCAAGAGAAGGGTGTCGAGGAGAGCCAAGCCTACATCGGTGGCTATCTAAACAGTATTGTTAACATTGAATACCTTGAAGGAGAGAATGCCGTAAGTTACACTCAAACAGTTTGTTCGACCATGTCATACATACTAATGCTTGCTCTATTCATTGGATTGACCACCAACAGAAGAAGATAAAGAAGAAGTTAAAGTCACGCAAGCATCATCACAGCCCAACAGACACTGTATTGTTGGACGTCAGCAAGCTCCAAGCATGCCAATCACAATATCCACGACAACCTGACCAGTTTGCTTCTCTAAAGTATGTAATTCCCTTGCTCCTAATGTGTCATGATTGTGACTAACAATTTCAATCACATTGTAGTGTCTGGAAGGAAGTGACAAACTATATTATACAAGGGGATATGGCATCGTCTGATGCAGCCAAGAAGGACATTGAAGATGAGCAGAGGAAGAGAATGAAGAGTACTCCCACCGACCAGAAGGATAGGCAATTCTTCAGGTATGATGAAGGTTTGGAAAGGTGGGTCTTTAAAGGATTCCCAGCTGTCATTCAATAAATCCAACAACAACAACAATAACTACAACTACTACTATTCCATCTTATTTGTTTGTTCTTTGTGTGTTTACAACCTTTGGGTAATAAGTACAACGAAGAGGTTGTTGTTGTCTTGTGTCCTGCGACGACTTAAGTCCAAATATCTGTGTTTTGTTGGGACGTGCATGCGACTTGGTTTTGCCTTGTTTTTGGCTTTGTTTAGGTCTCTGGTGCAAGACGAATGGTGCGTCTCAACCTCACGCACGAGATTGTCGCACAATACTCTAGAGCAAACACTGGACCCACACAACCTCAGGCACTTCTCACTCAAAATTTGGGTGCTAGCCTCTCACAGTCTCTCCGATACTCCACACACAAAGTTCCTCTCTCACTCACCTCTCTCACACAAACACCAATAAGGCCACCAACAACAAGGTAGCAGCTATCCCTCTCTCTAACTCTACCTCTCTCTACCTCTAACTCACAAACCAACTGTGTCGCTGGACACACTACATCACAAACAAACAAAGAAACAAACACACACAACGCAACACACACAACATAACACACACTTTGCGAGCAGCAGTATCAACGTTGGACCACTTGAAAGATCGAAGGGACAGTCAGCCAGCCAGTCAGACAGACAGACGACTCCAAAGACACAAGTCGACTGCCCTTGACCTTGCCATCCTTTGCCAACTCTTCTTATTTTCCTACTCCTCCTCTCCCAATACCAACCAACAGACCTTGTCCTATTACTTCTTCCTCTTCCTCATCTTCAACATTCTTTCTCCAAACAAGCAGCATCATCAGGACAACTCACACTCATCATATCACTCTCTTCACCTCAACTAGTTGACTAAATAGATAGATAATGGACTCTTATCAAATATTAGAGCTTATAGGCTCTGGTTCATATGGGTATGTATGATGGCCATTCAATCAATCAGACTTGGAACAGACGACTAACCTCCCTCTCTCTCATGATTGATGACAAAATAGTAAGGTGTATAAAGCTCATAGCGTGCTGACAAAGAAGTCTGTAGCACTCAAGGTCATATCAGTGATGAATATGGAGAATGGCGTATGTATCTCCGATCCTTTGATTAAACAGTCCGATAGGTATCGGGCATGACCATTCCATCCCTAACGCTCAATCATTCAATCGATCAAACAAACAATATAGGTACCAGTGGAGGTCAAGTACCTGAGTAAGCTGAAGGATTGTAATAATATAGTTCAGTTGACCGATCACTTCTACACCAATGGTATGTTTGAGTCACTTGGTACTCGATTAGATAGGTTGCTAACCTTGTTTCATTCTCCAACAACAACAACAACAGATAACAAACTTGTGCTCGTCTTTGAGTATATCGAATACGACCTGTGGAAGTTCATCTCACCAAAGAAGAACACTATGTCATTGGCCTGCATCAAGTACTTTGTTGGACAGCTACTCAACGGCCTGGAACAGTGCCACGACATGAACATCATGCACTTGGACATCAAACGTATGCATTCAATCAATCATTCAATCAATCAATCGACCAAACAATCAATCTAACATCAAGTCCATAGCATCCAATCTACTCATTGACTCTAGGTTTAACTTGAAGTTGGCGGACTTTGGCTTCACGACATTTCAGGGCAATCCCAATCTCACCAATCAGGTGATCTCATTGTTCTATCGTCCACCCGAGTTGCTGATGGGCGTCAAGGAGTATGGCACCGAGGTGGACATTTGGAGCGTCGGTTGTATAATGGCCGAGATGCTCAGTGGCGGCTATCTGTTTGCCGGCAGCAACGAGGAGGATCAGCTCGATCTGATATTCCGAACGTTTGGCACACCCACCGAGCAGATCTGGCCAGGCGTGCGCTCGTTGCCCGGCTTCCAGCCTTACAAGCGACGTCGCTACGCTCAGAAGCAGATACGCGACCTATCCACCATCAACTACCACAGCGAGGTCACACTCGACCTGCTGAGTAAGTTGTTGGTGCTCAATCCAAGGAAGCGCATCACGTGTCGCCAGGCGTTGAATCACCCGTGGTTCAAGGAGTCGCCATCCGCGCTGCCGCCCTCACAAATGATCACCGCATCGCTCACCACGCGTCCTGTCAAGCTCGCCAAGATCAACTCTCCCCTGCCCATCTCCAAGCGTATCCTATCACAATTCTTTGTCAACAACAATCAACAGCCACAACCTATACAACCGATACAACCTATACAACAACAGCAACAACATCGACCATCTCAACAACAACAACCTCAGCAACAATATATAGCACAACATGGACAACAACTACTACAACATCAACACAAGAAACAACAACCTCAACAACCTTATCAATATATAACACTACTACATCATCAACAACAACAACAGCTACTACAACAGCAACAACAGCAACAACTACTACAACACCAACATCAACATCAACAAAGACAACAACAAAGACAACATCAGTTGGATCAATCCAATGTATCTTCACCTAGTGATGACTATCAATCACCAGACACAATCACCAGCTCGTCAGACTTGGACGACATCTCATCGTTTGACGCGTTCTACGAGTCGTCGCCAAGCAGCGGCGGCTCCTACTCTGAACCGGAATTCGAACTAGCCACCTACTACAACATGAAGCGCAAGTCTAGCTATGCGACCTCGGCCTACTCAGCCTCCTCGCCACCATTCAAGCGATATCGACCAATGATGGATGTGGGCGACACAGTCAACAACCCAATAGTCATCGAGTAGCGTCATGCACTGATCCTTTTTTAATACAAGTCCATATTATTGGTCTTGGCCTTGGCCTTGGCCTTCAGCCCCAGCATCATCAACAGCAACTCTTTGAATTAGTGATGAACTTTAACTTTGTTTATTCCATGTTTGATTGGATTGATTAGGCAGATGCTTGCACCTTGACATTCCTCTCGAACAAGTCCATCAGTGCGATCCACTTCTTATCGGTGGCCTCCTTGTGGTAGCTATATGTTTGGATGATTGGACATAAGTTAGACACTGCTGATCACTCACTCGCTCAATCAATCAATCAATCAAATCAATCAATACTTACACAGTGGTATCCTCCATGGTGTAACCGTGCATGGCACCAGTGTAGATGATGGAGGTGTACTTGACATTGGCGGCGGTGAGGGATTGCTCGAGGAGCTTTATGGCATCAGCATTCATGTTGGCATCATTGTCAGCATGACCAAAGTAGCACTCGGCCTTGATGTTGCCAGCGAGGAAATGTGGACTCTTGGGGTTGGCTGGGTTGGCCAAACCGGCTCCGTGCCATGAGCCCAGTGCTGAGAACCTCTCTGGGTAGGTGCCGGCGATGATCGAGGCCTGGAGACCACCCATGCAATAGCCGGTGATGCCCAGACGACATTGTGGCACAACGTTGGGCTGGCTGTCGATGTGGGCAATGTACTTGAGTGTGTCCTTGATGCACATGTCAGCGTTGAAAGCCTTCATGACTGGCTGCAACAGGGTGAAGAACTCACCGCGCTTCTCATTGGACGAGAGGAAGTCGGCGTAGTTGGGGATGATGGGGGCGCGACCCGAGCGGTAGTAGAGGTTTGGTGCAAACACGTAGTAGCCCTGCTCAGCGATGCGGTCCACCATCTTCTCAATCTGTGGGCGCAGTCCGATGGCGTCCATGAAGAAGAGGATTGCTGGCAACTTCTTTCCAGCGGCGACCTCTGCCGATGGCTGTGAGACGTAAGCGTCACAGACCAATCCGTCGTCCATTTGAATATCAATGTAAGGCATTCTTCTTGATTGTTGTTGTTGTTGAGATAAAGTAGCAGAGTAGTAGTATCTGATTGATGATGGTGTTGTAGATGAGGATAATGAAAGTGTAGACAGCTTTCTGATCACTCTAAACATGGGGTAGTGTCGTGTGTAGTGTCGTGAGATGATCAAAATATCTGATGGGTTAGAGGGATGGACAGTGCAGGGCAAGGCTGGGGCTGGGGCTGGACTTGGCAATGAGTAATATATAACTCACTTTAAGTATGTGTGTATGTTCAATGGAAGCAGACAGATGGAGTGTCAACAACATGTTAAGTGTATGTTTAAATAGATGTTGGTCCAACTCATGTCGAGTCCACTCGCTACACAATGACAACCCTTGACTTATGGACAGGTCTTCGCGCGTGCCCCCTAATTAATAATCCGCGGTGATACGAAACGAAGGCCATAATGGGTGTGTAACCCTAACCCTACTTGTGTAAATGGAATCATCGAACCCTGAATGACTCAGTTGTCAATCTCACTCCAACATCACACCGAATTAACTTCTCTCTGTTTGTCTGTCAGTCAGTATGTTGACACTTTGATATTATTCAAATGTCATCGATTTGAACAACTCATGACTTGTTGGATTGATGGGTTGGGAACGACTTCTGTTCATTCGAGTTTATTAATAAATAATCTATCTGTCTCGATAATAATAATAACAATATGTCTGTTATAATTGAAATTGAATGAATGATTGAGTGATCTTCCCTCAACTCGAATATGTCGGTCGTCCTGGGACCAATGACTCATTCACACTGACGTCAGTGTACTTCGTTGAAGAACTTTCAAACTTCAACACAACCCCTTTGAGCACAAGCAAAACAAACAAAAGGATAATGAATGAAAGAATCTAAAACACATCATTTCATTCGAATTATCTACAACAACAGTTATAGTTAGTTCACTCTATCTTTAATAATTATTATCTTTATCTTTATATATATATATATATAAAACACCATTAATAATATATCATTAATATATGGCAAGCTTTATGAATAAGAACCTCAAATTAAAGGTGACACAGTTCACCTCTGAAGCAGATGCTTTCACCAATCGATGCTTTTTGAATGAGCAAGACTATCAACAGATCCTACTTCCAGGTGCAGACAAGAGAGAGRAACACAACCTATGTCTCAATCAATGAAATATATACTCTATCAGCATCGTATGTTATGTCGACTGATCAGTCTATGAATGGAATTGAATACTGATCAATCAATCAACAATCCATGTTTAGTAAATCAAATGGTATCCCACCAGGACATATTGGACTATCAAAGGCACATAGGATGTGGTTACAGTTTGGTCTGAAGGATGAGCTCAATGTTCATGCTTATGACCCTGAGCCATTGTTGGCTGCAACGTTAACATTCAAGATTGATTACTTGGCTGCAAAGAAGTCATCTGTTAAGCACGATGCCAAGCTCATCGCACAGCACATCATCAGAGACTATGCCAACCAGTACTTCACAGAGGGACAGCAGATGTACATCAACTTTGACCAATGCAACATGAAGTTGCAGGTGTCCAAGCTCGAGCTGACCAAGGAGAGTGGCGACCCCCTCAACAAGCAGGGTTTGCTCAGCACCACGACACAGGTGATCCTTGTCAAGATGGAGAACGGCTCGATGGATCTCGAGTCCAATGGCCCAATGGTTACCAAGGAGATCTTCAAACAGGAGTGGGACTTCCAGAACATGGGCATCGGAGGTCTGGACCGCGAGTTCCAGGACATCTTCCGTCGTGCCTTTGCCTCGAGAATCTACCCTCCCGCCATCATTGCCAAGATGGGTGTGCAGCACGTCAAGGGTATCCTGCTCTTTGGTCCACCAGGAACTGGAAAGACGCTCATTGCCAGACAGATCAGCAAGATGTTGAATGGACGCGAGCCAAAGATCGTCTCTGGTCCAGAGGTGTTGGGTCGCTATGTCGGTCAGCCCGAGGAGAACATCAGAAACCTGTTCAAGGACGCAGAGATTGAGTACAAGCAGAGAGGAGATGACTCACAGCTGCATGTGATCATCTTTGATGAGATCGACTCAATTTGTAAGACTAGAGGAACAAAGACTGGAGACGCAGGTGTCAACGACTCGATCGTCAACCAGCTGTTGGCCAAGATCGAGGGTGTCGAGTCGCTGAACAACATCTTGGTCATTGGTATGACCAACAGAAAGGACATGATCGATGAGGCCCTGCTCCGTCCAGGCAGACTCGAGGTGCACGTCGAGATCTCGCTTCCCGACGAGCCAGGCCGTGAGCAGATCTTCAAGATCCACACTGCCAAGATGATGGCCAACAAGATGCTGTCTCAAGACGTCGACTTGCGCTACATGGCCGCTCACACTAAGAACTTCAGTGGTGCTGAGATAGAGGGTGTCGTCAAGGCAGCCACCTCATATGCCTTTGCGCGCCAGGTCGACACCAAGAACATCCGTAACGTCCAGCTCAAGCCCGAGGAGCTCAACGTCAACGCCAGCGATTTCAACCGTGCCCTGCGCGACATCAAGCCAGCGTTCGGTGTGGATGAGGAGCAGTTCAGAAACTACGCAATCAACGGCATCATCCAGTTCGGTCCAACCTTTGAGAAGATTCAGGCATCTGGCCAAGCATTCATTGATCAAGTGCGTAACTCTAGCCGCACACCATTGGTTTCTGTCCTGCTGCCAGGCAAGCAAGGCTCTGGTAAATCATCTTTAGCCTCCACTCTTGCCTCCAAATCTGGATTCCCATACATTCGTATCATCAGTCCCGATGACCTTGTCGGTTTCACCGAGGCAGCCAAGTCTGCCAAGATTACAAAGGTATGTTATATATATATTTGATTGATTGATTGGAACTATCCGTCACACTAACGAATACGCCACGACGACAACAACAACATAGATATTCGAAGACTCATACAGATCACCACTTAGCTGCATTGTAGTTGATGACATTGAGAGATTGATTGAGTTTGTCCCAATTGGACCACGTTTCTCCAATACAATCCTTCAGACATTGATGGTGTTGTTCAAGAGAACACCACCAAGTGGCCGCAAGCTGTTGGTGTTGGCAACGACATCGAATCGCGAAGCCATCAGAGATCTTGGTCTGGACGAGTGCTTTGCCACTGCTCTCAACGTGCCATCGATCACCAGGCCCGAGGAGTTTAAGAATGTGCTGTTGGAGCTCGACGTGTTCTCTTCAAGCGAAGCTGACGCAGCCACCAAGGCTTGCTTCCCAGAGGGCACAACCATAACCATCAAGCAACTGATTATGGTCATTGAGATGGCTAGACAAGAGAGAGGCAACCTCATTGACAACCTCAAAATGGAGTTGGCCGATCTGCAAACTCGCTATTTCTAATGACCCAAGGCTTGGGCTTGGGCTTGGGCCTTCCCAATACAACCCATCATCAGGCCTCATCATGGTAATGGCATAACAATACATGTTTTGTAGTTCAACTTATCTATTATTACTTGATCTACAAGTGCATTACGTGTATGATCCTCAAAGGACATCATCACACTCACTTATTTGATGTCATTCACTGAAAGTAGTCCAAATTGCAAAAGAGATATTTATTTGATTGTTTGATTAATTGAAGTGAAGTCACACTTATTAATAAGCTCATCACACCTTTGTACTTCTCATTATCTCTCTCTCCCCTTGTATCTATATTATACATATAAACATTTGTACATAAATAAATAACAATAATAATAATGTCATCATCATCACTCAAGTTGTCAATGTCACTAGTATCAAGGTCTGCAATGTACACACCACAGAGCAGAGGCATACTCTGGATGGGTATGGCCAACTACTCAACTGCACCAAAGAAGCAAACAACAGTAGCCGCAACAGAAGCAAAGACCACAAAGGTAAAGAAGATAGTTGTCCCAGTACAAGAGTCAACAGAATCCAATCATTTACCAACCAAATCAAAGAAGTCCTCCAAGGTCGACCCAGGCATGTCAAAGAAGGAACTCAAGCTCATCAATATGGTGGACAAGGAATTGAAGCCAGCTCGTGGACCAAGTGCCTACACCCTCTATATCAAAGAGCAGTTCGCCTCAAACAAAGGCGCCTCACTCTCAACCATCTCCACCTCCTGGGCCAAGCTGGATAACTCAGCAAAGGAGGTATGTATTGTACCCTTACCATACCCTACAACACTTGTCCGGCCGGCCACACCTACTTACCAATGTCATCATCACTCACTTCACTAACAATAGAGCTATGCAGCCAAGGCGATTGAAATGAAGAAGGAGGTAGAGAAGGAGAATGAAAAGTTGCCAACCAAGCCAAAGAAGCCAATCACAGCTTACTTGCACTATGTGATGAGTTTGAGAAAGTTGAATCCAAATGTCAAGTATGGAGAGTTGATGGTCAGCGCCGGTGAGAAGTGGAAGGAGTTGTCAGAGCACGAGAAAAAGTCATTCTATGATATGGTGGAGAAGGAGAAGGCCGTCTACGAGAAGAACCTGAAGATATACAATCAACAAGTCGAGTTGGTCAAGAACCAAATCAAGGTCGCACTCTTGGAGAAGACCACCGCGAAACAATTGCAACAACAACAAAAGAAGCAACAACAGCAGCAATAGTTGAAGAAGTTGCGAGATAGAGTACTTCACTCACCAAGCTACAGCAGAACCCTACACCTAGCTCACCAAGAATATAATAAACTATGATTGATGTACAGCTGGCCTCGCTCTTTTGCCATGGGAATGACGTCATTGATGGATGGACTCACGAAACTTCCATAAATGGTCATTTTCCGGATTTATACTTTACAATGTTCGGTCGACTCTGGTCGGTCACGTCAGTCATTCATTCATGTTGGCACAGTGTACAGATACAAATAACATATAGAATGATCACTCGATTACCTGTCTTTACTCATAGTCAACACATTGTGATGTGTAGCGCTCGGCAACTCACAACTAGTGTGGCGCCAACACTACCACTTACCACTCTAACTTCATCTACTCCATTCAAACAAAGTATGTTGTTATCACCATCTATCTATCTATCTTTTTATAACTACATACATATATAATATAACTACATAATCCATCGAATCAATGAGTTGCGAGATAATGGGAATGAGTAAAGTACTAACAGTGGCAACGTGTATAGGTGCATTGTCAATCATATATAGACACTTTAGTACAGTACCTGTACTTGAGAGTTACGATGCTAGTCCTACTTCACATCGACCAATCTCTCCCGATCGTTCAAACAATTCTCATGTGTCTAGCAGCAGCATCAGCAGCATAGGTAAAGACAGCGCCACAGTCATTGTCTCCACCTCATTGTCATCGTCGTCATCATCGCAAAGACGCAACATAACAAATGTTAACAACAATGACAACAACAACAATGGTAACAGTAACAGTATAGATATGAACTCAACATGTGGCTTCTGTCGACCAGAGATGATGAACAGACTGCCAATCAACAATACCATCGAGGAATACGGAAGACACTACTTCATATGTTGCAGCGATACACCTTCACATCTCTGGCCAAGCAAGTTAAACATGCTATCACCTGGCATGTCCTCACTCTACGATGTCATCAAGAGACATGAACGACAACAACTTAGACCATCACTATTCACAGGCATTGACACATCCCAGGACAACTCAACCTCCACTTCCAACTCCAACAACTCTTCCACCTCCACCGCGTCCATTACAACATCGGACATGTCAACAACGATCTCTCCATTCATTTCAAACATGGACAACTTTGACATCCTGGTATTCCCCGAGATGATCAAGCTGCGCAACATCAACGCGGCATCAATGGAGCATGTTCTCACCTACTTTGCCAACAACAACACATTGGACACTCAATCATTCCCAAGCAATATCGACTATGAGCCGATCAATGTAAGAGACATCCCTACCTCGAACAACACCATGCATGAATGATCCTAACCAATCACATACAGGGGAGATATATATATGTATGCACACATGGACAGAGGGACGCCCGATGCGGCTTCTGTGGACCGATATTGGTCGATGCCATTAAGAAGGAGATTAAGAGTCGAGGAGTCAATGATGTAAAGGTGTTTGGTATATCACATGTTGGTGGACACAAGTATGCTGGCAATGTATTACTATTCCCACATGGTCATTGGTATGGCTATGTAACACCGGATGATGTTCCAGCCATTGTAGACTCTGCCCTATCTGGTGATGTAATTACCAGGCTTCACCGTGGTACCATGGGACAACCGATTATAAAGTCTCAATAACCAACAAATGGGATAGATCCAGACATATATAACAAGATAAAAAGGATTTGTTGGAACAGGTCTTCGGGATTTCAGTTATAAAGTTTGAAGTTTGGTAGTGATTGCTGTAAGACGACCTTGTTGATCATTCCTATGACCAGGAATAATGAGCATGAATTACACGTCATCAATCACATTTATGGGTCATGGGCACACATTATCCAACTCCATGAAACAAAACAGAAACAAAACAGATGATCACAGAACATCCAATAACTTGGACCTTTTCAATTACCCATCGACCATTGATACAAAGACAGACATACAGACAAATGAAGATACTGATTGCATTTGACAAGTTCAAGGATTGTATTGGTTCGAAGGAGGTTGGTGACTTGTTGGCAAAGTCTATTGAATCTAGTTGGCTGGAGCAGACTTGTTCCCTTGATATCGATGTGATCTCTATTAGTGATGGAGGTGAAGGCTTCCTCAAATCATTGACACTTCCCCTTGATCTCACTATACAACGTTGCATTGTAACAGGTATGGTGTTCATTAGTTCATTCATTCAATCAATCAAACTGCATTCACTCATTCGATCAATCAATCAATCAAACATACATTAAGGACCTCTTGGCAATAAGATTGAGTCAATGTATGGATACAATAAGGATAGTGGCATTGGTGTTGTTGAGATGGCTTTGGCTTCTGGTATTGAGCTGGTACCATCAGAGTCAAGGAACCCTCTGAATACAACTACAAAGGGCACAGGCGAACTGATATCTCATGCGATAAACACGAATGGATTGAAAAGGATAATCATTGGCGCAGGTGGATCAGCCACCAACGATGGTGGACTAGGTGCACTCAATGCACTTGGTGTCAAGGTCACTCTGAACAATGGTGAGCAACCTGATACAATATATGGGAGACACCTTGAGCAACTCGAGTCAGTCGTTATTGACAACGATCTCCTGGAACGTCTCAAAGGTGTAACATTCGAGTTCTCGACTGATGTCGTGTCACCATTCGTCGGACCCAAGGGTGCTGTGAACATCTTTGCCAAACAAAAGGGTGCCAGCTCTGAGGAACGCGTACGTCTCGAGCGTGGAATGATCAACTTGAACAAACTGTTTCCAGTGGACATAAGTCAGGTTGAAGGCACTGGGGCTGCTGGTGGTCTGGCCGGCGGCTTCGTATCCATATTCAACGCGCGCATAAGGAAGGGCATCGACTATGTCTGTCAACTCATCAATGTAGAGGACAAGATCAAGCAAGCTGACATTATCATCACAGGCGAAGGATGTTTTGATCGATCATCATTAGAGGGCAAGGCTGTATCAAAGGTATGTCTCTCACTCATCCACTCAATCAATCACTCAATAACTTACCAATTAATCAACTACAGTTCTTGGACTATGGCAGGCAAAACCAGAAGAAGGTTATAATAATATGTGGAGTTAGGAAGGATAATGACAATGATGAGCATGATGCGGACATCAAGTTGGAGAAAGATATAGATATTGGACATGGAGCAACAGCTATATTTGATCTGGTTTCGAGATATGGTCGCGATGAATCGATGCACAACATTGGACAGTGCTTGGATAGGCTGGTGGCCAGTGACTTGATTAAATGCATCGTTGAGGCACCATTGTAGTATTAATAGCCATGTTGAATGGATGGATGATCATGCCGTCGTCGGCAATCAATCAATCTTGATCAATCCATCCATCGTTTGCTCGCTGAGTCATCCTCGCGTGTTGTGACCGACGAATGAGTGAGTGAGTGCAGGGATGAAGCCCTGTTATGCACAAACACTCAAACATGAAGGCATTCATCTCCTCTGCTTCTTCTTTGATTGTGATTGATCACTTGATGTGCTCTTCTTGTCTGGCGTTGGACTGACATCACCCAGGATATCATCCAACAATCTCTTCTTCACTTCTTCTTTCTTCTTCTCAAGTGTCTGCTGTTGAGTTGCTATGCTCTCGTGTGATGATGATGCCCCCGAACTACCTGTTGTCTTTGTCGTTTGTTTGCTACCATTAACGATTGACTTTACTGCCTGTGTTGATGTCGTCGTAGTCGATGTCGAAGTAGGTGTCTTCTTTTCAGAGTTCAATTTCTAATCAATGATGATGATGATGATGTTAACAAGATGTTGGAGTTGTATATCGCTTCAGTATACGTTTGTACATACCTCAATATGTTGATTAAAGTTACCGAATGACATACGACCAGTACTTTTGAAGCCGATGACCTCACTCTCACTGCCTGTAGTGAGTGTTTCGCCATCGAATGACCCCTTGGCAACCCAATGTGACTCTTGTATAGACTTCTCCTGTTCCTTCTGTAATTGATCACGTAGTTCTGCTTCCTTCCTCCTCTGCATAAACTATACATCATCATACACATAAACATTGAGATGTTAGTAATACAATGATTGCATTGCATTTGAGTTGAGCTGAGTTGCATAGGGCCATACCTTGAGTCTCTGTAAGTTCTCAGCGAGAACTGGCTTTGATTCTGACATGATTTATTATCTTTATCTCTATTAAGTAAGTGCACTCGAGTTTGAACAATAAAGACGAACGAAAAAGTGATGTTAACTTTGGGATGTAGCGAATGTGTTATCACCCAGGTGGGGCAAGATCGATCTTGAGGGTAGTACCCAGAACAAGGATGATAACAGTCAACTGGGATCATTGTAGTATAATATATATCATAATATTAATAATGTTATCAACTCAACAGTAAAGTCACAACTTCAGTACCAGGCATACCTGAAAGTTCGTTGGACCGATCTCGACGTGGTTGGTTCATTCTATCCTTGCATCATACCCACCCCTTCGTCTAAAACTCTGAACAGCAACATCAAATCAATCAAAAGTTCATTCAAACATTATATTATAACTGACTATTCAATATATTTATATATATACACATACTTGATATTTATTTAAGTACTTTATAACAACAGTGATGGCTGCATCACCAGAATACATAGTATTCCAATGGGCCTCAATAGTGTTCCTGGTTGCACTCTCTGGTCTGTTTGCAGGACTGACACTTGGTATCATGTCACTAGATATCACTGGTTTAGAAGTATGTACAAATGAATGTACACCTCATACTCCCTCTCTCAAACTAACAATGAATGAATGACAGATTGTTATAGCAAGTGGATCACCTAAAGAGAGTAAATATGCAAAGAGAATATACCCTGTTAGACAGAGAGGCAATCTATTGTTGTGTACATTGTTGTTGGGCAATGTATCGGTCAACTCTTTGTTGGCCATTCTAATGGCAGACATCACAGACTCGGGTCTAATGGGCTTCATGATGTCCACTGTGATCATCTTGTTGGTGGGCGAGATCATACCGCAGGCGACATGCGCCCGTCATGCATTGGCCATTGGCGCACACACTATCTGGATCGTGTACATCTTCATCTGCATCTTCTTCCCCTTTTCCTACCCGATCAGCAAGGCGCTCGACCTGATACTGGGCAGCGAGATGGGTACCATCTACAGCAGGCAGCAACTCAAGAAGCTGCTGGACATACACAGCGCGCACTCACTAGAGAGTGGCGTCTCGCGAAGTGACGCCACACTGCTCTCGGGTGTGCTGGACTTTGCTTCAAAAACCGTCTCAGACATCATGACATCGATTGACAATGTCACAATGCTCGACATTGAGACCAAGCTCGACATACAGGTGCTCACGTCAATCTTGGAGAATGGACACAGCAGGATGCCTGTGTACGAGGGCGATCGCACCAATATTGTCGGATGTCTACACATTAGAGACCTGGTCATACTCAATCCCGAGGAGAACGTACCACTGCGCACGGTACTCGGCATGTTCCACAGACAGTTGTTAAAGACATGGCATGATACACCGCTGGAACAGATGCTCAACGAGTTCAAGACGGGCAAGTCACACATGGCCATTGTTCACAAGGTCAACAACACTGGTGATGGTGATCCCTACTACGAGAACATTGGTATCGTATGTCTTGAAGACGTACTCGAGGAGATACTACAAGATGATATTTTTGATGAAGCTGATGGTATGATCGCGATCACTCAATCATTCAGTCACTCCACTCACTCACTTACACCTTGTCCGCTCGCACAGATCAAACAACAAACTATGTAGACTACAGGACGATTGGAAGCTTCCAAAGCCAACGAAGGTCTACGGCGACGACTGGCAGACTGACATCACAACAGGTCAAGGCGATATACTCATTCCTCAATGGATGCATGCCAGAGTTCTCATCCAAGCTGATATCAGAGAATGCTTTCTCCAATATGTTGGCGGGCAAGGGTACGGACGTGGTGGACTATGAACGGCCAAAGAAGGGCGACACATTTGTCTACAGACGAGGTGTTCACGATGAGTTCTTCACAATTGTATTGCAAGGCAAGTTGGAGATTCGTTCAGGAAATGAAGGATTCCAAAGTGAATGTGGTCCATTCTCCACGCTGGGCCTCAACGCACTCAACACCGATCAATTCATTCCAGACTTTGCTGCCAGAGTCCAATCAGAGACTTGTCAACTATTGCGGTATGTTTCCACATTGGTCGCGGTCTAACATCACTCTCGCTCACTCACTCACTCACTCAATCACTCAATTACACCAACAGAATAAGCAAGACTGCATATGATATTGCGATAAAGGCAACGACAGACGAATATAATGCACATGTATTTAGAAAGAATATGATTGGAAATGAAGATGATGACTTGGAGTCATCATCAATCAATCTTAATAATAGTAATGGAAGGATCAATAACAAACGACATCAACAACATATGTTGCGAACAAGTAACAACAAGACAAACAACAACTCAATGTCAAAGTCAATGTCAATGTCCAGCAGCGGCTCAAACAACAGATTCCTTACAGGCTCGGGCAAGAACATCAAGACATCCAACAACAACATCAATGGGGTGCATATCCCGCCACCCATAGTGTCGCCATCCGAACAGCAACATCTATCCAATGGCGTCACATCATCGGCCACGGTCATAGACTCATCATCCGACGATGACGACAATGACAATCGACCATTCCTCAGATATTAATTAATTAATTAATTAGCACAAACAAAACAATGTTTATTATTATGTATTATTATATTCTATCTATCTCCAATTCTTTCATTTGTTTAGATCAATAGCTGTAGTGTTACCATGATCAATGTGCCAAGTAGCATAAGGAGTGGGCTGGTGGCGGTAAGGCGAGTTGATGCAGAGTCTTCATCGTGAGGGGCGTCCACCCACTTGGCCTTGTCAACACGTCCAATATAGAATGTGCCTTGGATCTCGTTGATGTCTGAGCCAAACCTCATACCATCGATCTTGGCACCTTCCCAGATACCAAAGTCATACAAGGGGATCAACAGGGTCATCCATTGGTTGACGGGGAATTCACCACCAACATACTCTGCCAGACCGAGTGGTTGGACTGGTCCAGTGCCCTCGACAGTCAGGGCGATGTTGGCCTGCAGTTGGCGTGGTGGGGCATCACCTTGGTCACCGTTTGGATACTGGAAACGGGAATTTGGCGCATAGTAGAGTGCCAGAACGATACCATCATACGAGTCATCGTTGCCCGTATCATTCTTGAACTTGAGCACCACCTTGGACGATGGGTGGACGACCCAGGACAGGGTCTGGCCCTCCTGGAAGCGGACCTCAGTGTTCTTTAGGTCGATCGATCCGTAGGAGTATGATGCCACCGAGTCGGACAACTTGCCCTTCTTATAGATGCTCTGGAGGTCGTGCATGCAGACCGATCCGTTGTTTAGCTGGATGTCGTCCAAGTAGATGATACCGGTGTACTCCTTGACCACCTCGGTGAAGAGGAAGCCGTCAAATGTCTTGATCGATGGCGGGTTGACCTGGAACTTTCTGAGTGGGATATGGACGTGGTACCATGTGTTCATCTGCATGCCTCCGCGGATATAGTCATTCAAACTGACCGAGCCGACCTTGGTACGATTGGATGTGGCCCACACTTGGAGTTGCTGGCCGGCGAATGCGGCACCATTGATCCAGAACGAAAGGAACTTGTACTTGTTTCTGAGGAATGGTGTCTTGTTCTTGAAGTAGATCTGAGTGTTGGGCTTCAAGTCGAACTGGAAGGCGTACTTTCCACGATGAGTCATGTCGGATGATTGATTGTTGTGGAAGGACAGAGACTCGTCTCTCCATGGCTCTTGAATCGAGTCGTTGTAGATCCACTCTGGACGCCAGTTGGTGCAGTTGGAGGTGAAGTACTGCAGAGGTGGGCTGGCACCCCAATGCCATCTGTCCTCCGACGACACGCTGTCACAGTACTCAACGTCTGGCGTGACCGTGATAGCCTTGATGTATGAGACAGATGGCAGCTCGGGGACTGGACCAAGCAGACGCTGGCTGTCAATGTGATGCGAGATGTAGTAGCCGACCTTGGGCAGGTCCAACCATGAGACCTCGGTGTTGGAGTGGATATAGTTTGCCTGTGTACCGATCGTGGCATTGTTGACGTAGAAGTCAACACGGCTCACGCCCCACGCGATCTTGAAGGTGTTGTAACGGGTCACAGTGTCGAGGCCTGGGATGGCCTTGACAGTCTCCGAAACGATCTTGCCCTTGGACTTGACACCGAAGCGCACTGGATGGGTCTCATTGGAGCCGTCAACTATGAAATACATTGAACTCTCGCCATTCATGTGGCCATCGGTGGCGTAGCAAGTGGTGACTGTGCCTGGTACACTGGACGCCTTGATCGTGCAGGAGAAGTTGCCGAATGGGAAACCAGTCTTGCCGACATGAGCCTCAGAGCACGCGTACTTGGTCCTGCACTCTGATGTCTTACAAGAGTCAATTGATAGAGTCAGCACAGTGTCCTCACCATCGGTGCCGTATGACATTAGGGAGGACTTGAGGTCACAAGCGTCGTAGGACAGCTTGCCTGGCACGTCGGTCATTGGGTCGATGGCGTCGGTCTCTCCCATGTTGGCGACGAATGGTGGTGGACAGCCCTCGCCATCATCATCCTCTGATGTAGATGATTTGGTTGTTGTGGAAGGGTCATCGTCTTGAGCATGGATGCATGCTGCTCCAAGCAACACTAATATCAATATTATGCCATTGAATTGGCGCAGTCTAATTGTGGATAATCCCATAATTAATTATTATTTAGTCTGGAGTTGGAAAGGTAGGTATTCTTGGGTTAGATATATGTTGGAACTATTCCAATGTTTCCAATTTGTTTAAACTTACATCACCTATAATGTATTATTATTATTATTATTATTATTAATGGTAAGTAGTAGTAGTAATAGTACTTGTTTGTAGTTGTAGTGGATGTGGAGTGAAGGTAATAGATTATTTAGAAGACTGGAGCAGACTATGCTTCAGTTTGATTCTATATTCGTAGGTTTGTTGTTTGTTGTTTGTTGTTTGTGATTGATTACAATGATTAGGAATGATTGAGTAGACCGGATATATGTTGTTCCATTGGCCTGTCAATCAGTCACATGATTCACTCGGTCCCATCAATCAATCAATCAATTCACCACCATGTGTCAATGAACAATCACTGACTTGGATAGTTAATGAAAACTCCATCTCTTGATTATCACATTGTCTATTATGTATCTGTATGTTTGTATCTAGAATGATTGATTGATTGATTATGTGTTGTGTGTGAATGATTGGTTGTGTTTGATGGGTGTGTGGTGCGTGTGTGTGTGTGTGTGTGTGTGTGTGTGTGTGATCATCATTCTGGTCAGATGATTGTGTGTGATCAATCTATCACTACTACTCTTTGAAGCAATGACTTGACGAGTATCTTGATGTTGATGATTTGGTTTGCAATTCAATCAAACAACCAATCTTTGGTCAACCCATCACTACCCCTTTGACCGCCCATCAATCACTTCGCGCACACCACCATCACCATTACCATCACCATCACCATCACATGACATACACACAGACGACAATGATGATTGATAAGTAAATAAGTAAGTAGATATTTTGCTTCCTTGATTGAGGATATGCCATGCTTTATTTTGGTGGAACGATGGATGGTACTGTGGACACATGTTGATGTAGGCGAAGAGGGTCGCTTAAGCAACGACCTCAACCTTCTCACCACGCTTCTTGAGGGCGGCAGTGCGGTCGTCCATACGGGACTTTCTGACACCCTTGCTTGAGAGCAAGGAAATGAAGGTGGTCGATCCCTTGCCAATGACAAAGACGTTGCCCAGACGGGTGGCGAAAGAGTGGCCAACAGAGTCTGTGACGTGAACGATATCGAATGAACCTGGGTGGCGCTCGCGGTTGGTGATGACACCAACACGACCCAAGTTGTGACCGCCGGTGACCATGCACAAGTTGTTCAACTCGAATGGGATGAAAGCGGTGATCTTCTGCGAGTCCAAGTCGATCTTGACAGTGTCGTGAATCTTGATCGCTGGGTCTGGGTAGCGGAAGGTCTGGCCGTTGTCGGTGTGCACGTATGGGATGCCTTGCAGACCGGTCTCGACCTTGGTGACCTTGGCCAAGATGAACTTGGCCTCGTTGGGCTGAATGCGCTGCAGTTGGAAACGTCCCTTGGTGTCGAACAACAGACGGAAGTGCTCCTTGGTCTTCTCGATGGTGATGACGTCCATGAAACCGACTGGGAATCTTGGGTCGGTTCTGACAACACCGTTGACCTGGACGTGTCTCTGCATCAAGATCTTAGTGACCTCAGTTCCGGTCAAAGCGTACTTTAATCTGTTTCTGATGATGATGACGAGTGGGAGACACTCTCTCAATCTACGTGGGCCAGCGCTTGGTCTTGGTGCCTGTTATTTGATTGATTGATTGATTGATTGATGTCAGATTCTGTATGTATATCATCGCCCTTATGATGTGCCTGTTGTCCTATGATGCTGTTCCTGTTCGTTGTCAAACACATACCCATTTGCCGGACAATTTGTCCAACATCCAGTGAGATGGAGCTGCTAGTCTCTTCAAATGCTTCTTTGGTCCACGAGCCTATATCGTATCGAAGATTGAGTGATTGGTGTGATTGAACGATAGTTGATTGATTGATTGAGTGAAGAAGGTGTTGTTAGTGATACTATCATCACTTGAATCACATCGATGATGGATGTACCAGGAATCGCATCAATCTATATGTCATACCATCGTTTGTATCGTATCAGGGGGGTCTTTCGAGCAGTGACTTGTAATGTTTATGTCTGTGTTGTAGTTGTCAAAGACGAAGGGTATCCTCCCTGCCACAAGCGAGGAACAGCATTCCCACACCTCATTCCAAAATAAATCAAAAATAAATAAAATCAATAACCAAACCATTTTAACGTTACCCCACCACCAACAAGTGACCCGATCAACTCTTTAAAACTTGCGTCTTATACACTGCAGAGCTCTTTTGTCGACAATGTTGAGGGGCATCAAGACTAACAATAACTTAATGTGTAATACTCTATTTGTAATATGGATGAATGATAAATATAATATATGATTGAATGAATGATCAAATGATTATCTCTTGGTGCAAAGATAATTAATTATCTTGCCAAGATTGTTAAAGATGACCATTGGCCCAGGATATTTGTTTTAAAAAGTGTTCATTGAATCATGCTGTATTAATGCGATGGAATTGTGTGATTGTGTTTCTGTTTTGGACTCACACAACACATTCATGGCATGCCTCGTGCCTTCCCACTAATCAATCACACACTTTCAAACAACAACAACGAGGAAACAAACAAACACAACACAACTACATATTACAACATTACTTCCATCCAAACAAATATAGATAACACACACATACTTAAGTATAAGATACTATTCATTCAGCAGAATAGTGCCTTTTACAACATTGTTGTAAATTGTCAGAGTGATTGATTGGGTGAGTGAGTGATTGACAGATAGACGAATCGACCGAACATCAAGTCAACAGTTACAAACAGACAAGAGTCATATGACAATGATGGTGACCTTGCTGCCACATCGACAACGATCCATATTATTGTTGTCCCTGTTCGCACTACTACTTCTGTTAAACTTGGCATCAGCAGCAACAACAGAAATAGATGGCAATGGCAATGACAATGACCAACAACAGATAGAATATTGTAATAATAATAATCAATATAGTAGTAGTAGTAGTAGTAGTAATAGTAAGAGTAGTAGTATTAGTAGTAGTTGTAATATCGATAGTATTATAGATGATGATTTGGACGATAATGTATATAATGATAATAAGCAGCAGCAACAGCAGCAGCAACAGCAGGAGACACAGCCAAACAATGTTGGTGATTCATGTACAGTAGACAGTAGTGACACTGACAATGACTTGGTTTTGGACCTCCAGCAGAGTAGGAAGAGGAGAGGCAGTATGGTAGATCGCCATCGCGAATTCTTAACACAACATATGACAGCAATAGTCCAGGGCCAGGGCGACAATGACAATTTGGCTGCCAGCTCAGCCAATCCAAACGACCCACCACCTCTCCAGGAGATCTACTTCACACTGAACTTCACTGGCGACCCTGTCAACTGTACCACGTGCCAATATCCAGACCTGGAGGATTTCTATCCCAACTACTCCTGCAGCAATGATTCCAACTGGAATGATGGCATCCTCACCTTTGACGATCCAATACCCTACAGTGATGTCATCGTCCTAAGGAAGGCCATCATCCAAATATACGGACATTATACACCAATCAATCCAAGCATGGTCATTCTGCTTGATGGTAAGTAATGCCACTCCCGCATCGCACTCACTCAATCAATTAGTTGATCACTCACTCACTCACTCAATCAATCAATCAAACATAGATGATATATTCTCTGATCAGTTCGACCCACCTTCAAAGAACTTGAGCTCATGCCCCAACTGCGTGACTAGCTCGGATATATACATGCAGGTGTTCCCTAACGGACTGCCATCATATCGATACAATGGCACCAACTCCTTCAAGTTCGTGGTCAGTGGCAACTCGACAGAGATCTGTTTGTCGACTGTGTGGGTGATCTTCTTCTATGGACCCACCAGCTACACGGTCGAGGAGGTCGTGCCATCACAGGGTCCGGCCACAGGCGGCACGCCCGTCAACATCTATGGCACAGGCTTCGCGCAGGACATCACCACCATCTGCCGATTTGGAACGATCACCACCGAGGGCACCTATATCAACTCGTCCCTAGTCACATGTACCACGCCCAACCTCGGCTTCTCCATCAATGGATTCTTCAATGTCTCTGTTCAAGTCAGCTTTGACTCTGGCGTGACCTACTCCTATCCCAACACAAACGCCAACTTTAGTTTCTTTTATTGTAAGCTTGCTTGGGTGTACCCCTGACATGGAGCCTGTTGCAGGTCTGATCAGACGGACGAACTTACTAACTCATTGTTATTATTATCATCAGTCCCTTCAAAGCCATTGGTACCAAACAAGATTGATAGGATCATAATCATTGCGATCGGAGCAGGTTTGGCAGCAGCCTTCCTCACTGGAATTGTCGTTTACTTTATGGTGAAGCGATGGCAGAGTAATCGTGGCTTCTTCCCCAACTCGATCAATATCAACCATGACGAGAAGACGCCACTGATATTTGGCACGGCCAACTATAAGACATTGTTTGAGATCAAGCCGATAGACATGAGCGAGATTGTCATTCAGAATAGAATTGGTCGTGGCAGCTGCGCCGAAGTGTTCACGGGCACATGGCGTGGCATCATTGTGGCCATCAAGAAGGCCAAGCTGCTGTCGGACGACGACGAGGACTTCCTGACCGAGTTGGCGCAGGAAGCCGCTATAATGAGTCAGCTGCGACATCCAAACGTGTGTCAGTTCTTGGGCACATGCAACAATCCTCCAGAGGTACTCATTGTCATGGAGTACATGCCACTGGGCAGTCTGTACAAGATCCTTCACGACCAATCCATCGTGTTGGACTGGAAACGCATCAAGAGCATTGCGATGGACATTGCCCGAGGCATGAACTATCTCCATTGCAGCGACCCAATCATCATTCATCGCGACCTAAAGTCGCACAATTTGTTGGTCGACGAACACTTTAGAGTGAAGATCTCTGACTTTGGTCTGTCCACGAGGTTCAAGCAGCATCTGGACAAGAAGACCACAATGACACCAGTGGGCACTCCATGTTGGACCGCCCCCGAGGTGCTCCGCAATGATCCCTACACCGAGAAGGCTGACATCTTCTCGTATGCCATCGTACTTTGGGAGTTGGTCACCAGACAGGACCCCTACCAGGGTATGCCAACATTCCAAATCGTCATATCCGTTGGACAACACAGGCTACGTCCTGTCGTTCCTTCCAACGTCTCTGGAGCATTCACAAGATTGTTGACTGAATGGTATGTATATCTAGATCCATCAAACAAACAATCATGCAGCGATGTTTGACTAACATGTTGTTCCAATCAATCAATCATATAGCTGGTCAGAGGATCCAACACAGAGGCCTTCATTCCAAGAGATTGTCAAGAGATTGGAAGGAATGGATATTGGCAAGGACAATGAACCTTCGATACAGTAGTATTAAACTATATTTATATTTATATATTCTCTAATCCAAACAAACTTGTAGAGAGCAGTGGAAAGGGCCAGATCCATGTCCAGGTTCTTGTCCAGGACCAGGCTTTAATGATTGCCAATGTTTGATGATGCAGATATTGATGGTGATGATGTTGACGTTGATGGTGTTTGTACAATCTTAGTATCTACTTTACATACGAGTCCTTCGCAGAACTCACATCCACATTCACATATGATATCGTCGTCGTATGGTTCCAGGTTGGAAAGAGATGAGGTGAGTGCTGTTGTTGTGGTGCTTGTGGTAGTAGAAGAGGTTGAGGTTGGTGTTGTTGGTGGGGACTTGGTGAGCAGACGCTGCAATCTGTTGAACCAGCCATTGGCCTGTGGCGCAACACTTTGCTTGTCCACCATATGCATGGAGGATACACTGTCGTTCTCGTGCGGCGAAAGGAATGCACCCAGCGCGCCGAGATAGCCATCGTGCACCAGGAACATAGCCTTGGTCTTACCCTTGGACCAGAAGTCAATGGCGAATGAGATACGCTGCATTGTGTTTGGATGGTCTCTGATGAAGAAGCCTCCAAAGTATATCTTGTTGAGTCCATAACGCTGAGAGTTCAAATATGCAATCTGACCAATKGTTGTTGGAGACCATCTTTAGTAGACTCTGTGCAATGTCCTCTTTCTTGAGCGGTTGCTTCTCCTCTGATGCCGAGGAATGTTGATATATTACTTTTCCAAAGCTAATGAGTGATATGGACATGGGTCAGAGTGGATGATCACGTGATGATCAACGAGGACGAACCTACCTGCTTGCAATTGTATCCGAGGATAGACCGACCTTGGAGTAGTCGGTTCCATAAATATCTCCGACGACCAGGTCGACATTGTTGGAGTTGCCCTTCTTTGTCAACTCAAGCATCTCATCAAAGTCTGTCACTCCCGTCAACAGACTGCAAAGACCCCAGAAGGTACCACCTCCAAGACTTGTTCCGTCCACTCTTTGGAAGCTTGTCTCGCTGTCCACCTTGATCACGCTCACTCCAGATCCAATCTGTACTAGCAGGTAAGGGTATGGATTCTCCTGTTGTGGTTGTGATGGATGTAGAAGTAGGTGTTGGTCGACTGCCTCATTGGCATTCATAGACTACGACGACAGTCAGTGTCGACCACTTGTACATACTACTTTGTCGACAAACTCCTTGGGGGATGGAGCACTTGGGTTTGGGGAGTAGGTGTATGACTCGCGATTGATACTGTTTAGAAGGAAGTTTGTACCAAAGATGAGACAGAACATCTCATCCTCCTTGATAAGCTTGCATCCAAGCATCTTATCAAACATCTCTGCGTACTTGTAGGCACCGCCACCAGTGACACGCACTGCCTTTGGTTTCCCATCCTCTAAATGTAGTTTGTTGTCTATTGCATCGGGTTAGCGCGTCAGTCATGGGTATACTAGGGATGATCGTCACATCAACAACATACCAATGATGAACTTGAAGCATTCATCGATGTTCTTTGTTTGAAACTTGATAAAGTGTAGCTTGCCACCTAGTTCATTTGTTGTCTGTTGTTTGGTGTTGGATGATGATGTTGAAGATGATGACGACGACAGGTCATCAGTGCTGTTGCTGCTGCTGTTGTGATCCTGTACAAAGTAGACAAGCTTTGCAAGTGTTCCTCCAATATCTAGAGCAAAGTGCTTGATAGGACTTGACTGATTTGGTAATGGTATTGGTCTATCATCCTTTGAATTTGGTCGTTTATGCTCATTAGTTGAAGAAGTTGCCTGATCGATTGAAGATGAAGAAATAGAAGATCCTTCCATATTATTATTATGATTATATGTATATATTTATTTATAGTGTATAAGTACTATCAATTAATAAGCTTGCATAGGGTATCAGTTCAACAAGCCATCCCTTAGACTGAAGAGTTGTTTCGTTCCTGTGGGTTTCGATTGCGTTGTGGATCTTCAACATGAAGATGTTGAAAAATTGGAACAACAAGGGCGAGGGTTGATCCATATTGAGTTCACTTTGATATCGAATGTAGAGATAGCAATAATAATAATAATAAGTATTATAAGGTAAATATGTGCTCTTTATTATCTGTCAATGGTTTATAACATTAATAATAATGTTATTGGTGTTGTAGTGTTGTTGAGCAATCAAACAAACTCTGCATGTTGTCCAATAAACTGGAATACACCTAATTTGTTACATTAGTAGAGTTGGATGAGGAATCTGAGGAGGAGGCAGAGGCTTGAGAGGAGGCCGAGGCTTGGGAGGAGGCAGAGGCTTCGGAGGATGCAGGCTGTGAGGAGGCAGATGCTTCGGATGATGCAGGCTCTGAGGAGGCAGCTGAAGAGGACTCTGAAGATTCGGATGAAGAGGCCTCTGAGGAAGCTGGAGCTACATAAGGAATGCAATGTGGTTCATACAATCCAGTTGGACTCTTGGCAATGGAGCACATAAAGTTTGCTGGACATGATAGGAAACGACACATTGGCATACAAACAGCTGGTGATCCATAACATGAAACACATATGCTATCAAGTGCACATGTTACATTCTTACATTGTGGTAACAAAGGAGCTCTCTCACCTAGGTAGTAGTATTCAATATATTTATTGTTAGGAATATAATAAATAATTTTTATATTATAATTATATAAGTTATTGTATTACCTTGGACCTTAATTGCTGGAATTACCATGGAAACAATTGCAACGAGTAATATTAACTTGTACATTTTTAAATTTGTTATAATAAATTATTATCTATCTATCTATTTTAGAATTCAAACAAATAATAATAATAGTTATTGGGATATTGATAAATGGATTATATTAGTAGTAGGGTAAGACCTTATTGTATTAGAGTGTTCACTCAATCAAACAACCAAACAATACACGTGGCGGTAACAACAAGAGTAGCGGCTACCATCAATACATCATGAGGGTGGTTGGAAGGAAGTCAAGGTTGGTTGTTGTTGAAAGACAACATCAACATCAACTATCAACATCAACAGCTATATATTGTGTTCATTGTAGTTGAAGTGGTGTTATTAAGTTGGATTGTTTACGAAGTTGGATTGATCTCCTTAGAGTCACTCACCCCTACATCTACACTCTATATTCTTGTAGATGGTATACTCTCTCTATCTACACACATCTAAGCAAACACCCACACACATACACTCTCACACACTCCAACAGTAACACTATCAATAAAATACAATAGGCTTGTTCATGGGTACCTGGATGACGCAGCACACCTTCACTTTGAATTGGAACACTTATATACATTCGCACAGACTCCTCCATTGTTGATAACACTCTTGTACAAGACCATCAATGGCTTGTTTTCTCTCTTGTTGTAGCCATCATCCACAACAGTAGAGTTGGGGGTGGTAACCATTCATTGATGATGATGATATGATTAGAGAGAGAGAGAGAGAGAGAGAGAGAACGAGAGAAAGAGCGCGAGAAGTGATTGAGATTGAGTATGTGAGGAGTGTTGTTTGTTCTAAGGATAGTAACAGTAAGTTCGAGGGAAAGGAAGGACCGGGAGCAAGTGAGGGAGGGAGGTAGGGCAGGGCACTTGAGAATAGACATGTTGTTTATTGTTGAGCTAAATGATGTGTCTGGTATTCATGTATATAGGTAGGGTAAGGGTAAGGGTAAGGGTAAGGGTAGTAGGAGTACAAATAAATATAACTATTGTTAATAAACATGATTGATTGATTGATTGATAGATAGTGCACTAATTAGTTGAGTGGCCTGACGGTCCATTGATCGGTGGCACGTGATCCGTCAAAGTTGCCACTGCCCTCGGCGGCATAGCAACCCTTTTGAATGATGGAATGGTTCTTGATGAGGTTGCACACGCCATAGTCAATGTTGCACACCTCGTCAATGTGGAAACAGATGAGCTCGCCGCAGTCGTGGCCAAAGTACTTGTCGCGATGTGTCAGATTCCAGGTGACATCGACAGGCACCCATCCAATGTTTTCAATGTACACCTCGGACTTGCAATGTGGCTGCACGCCAGTGTCCGAGTTGTAGTCGCCGCCACGTCCAATGATTGATCGGGCGGGGATGCCCTGCTTGCGCAGCACCGAGTTGTAGAGCAGCGCCAGACAGCCGCAGTCGCCCTTCTTGATGGTGATGGTCGTGGTGATGGGCTTCCAGCCGTGCTCGTCGTTGTACTTGAAGTACTCGTTGAAGAAGAGGTTGACCCTGTAGGCGAAGCAGAGGGCCGTCTCGTCCGATTGCACCACCAAGTTGTTGCTCTGTACAAAGTCCACAAAGATTGGGTCGTCCAGCGTGTAGGTCTCAGACGCACGAGTGTAATAGCTCAGCTCCTCTTGCTGCAATGGCGTTACGTTGGGGTCCCATTGCTGTGTCTCGACCATGCTCACCTTGTAGAGGTCGGCCTCAATGATGAACTTGGCCTTGATCCTGCCCTTCTCAGCGTCGGCCATGCCGTCGGTTGGGAGCAGGGCACGATATACGTAATGGTAGTCGGTTGGCACGACCTCGGCATTGGCCAAGAACTTGCCATTGTAATCGTACACTTCGAGGCCTGAGCTGCGAACGTTCTGGGCCAGTGATGAGGGTGGGGCTGGCATTATAATGCTCCAACGGTTGGCCTTGAGGTTGGGTGCGCTTGTTCCAAAGTCGTATATGCCCAGTGATGATCGGTTCAATGTCTGCACTAGCTTGAACTTCTTGTGTGATCCATAGAGCTCCTTGTGTTTGGCAAAGTTTGCCGACAGTGGGCCTGCCTTGTTCGAAGCCATTAATGGTGCCTTGCTAGTCGCTGGGGCGGGGGCAGGTGTTGTTGGGGCAGTTGGTGCCAAACCAACCTTGGGCTTGGTGAGCACTGATGGTTGTTGTGGTGGCTTTGCGAGTCCATTGGTTGGAGTGATGCCTACGCCCTTGCTTTGTGTGGGGGCAGGGGCAGAAGCTGCGGAAACAGGTGGGTTTGACTGTGGAGCAGGTCTTGTGACAATGCCAGGTGTTATGATTGGGGTGGTTGTGGCAGCGCCTGAACGGACTTGCGATGGCAAGACTCCGCGGGTCTCTGTTGAAGTATTGGCGGCAGGTTGCTTTGACACTGGTGTGGCGCCAATGAAGCTGGCGCTCTTGGCTGTAGTAGGTGTCTGTTGTGGCTGTGAAGACTGCTGTGTGAAACTGTTGCTCTTTGATGTTGATTTCAAGCTTACGGGTGCGGGTGCAGCGGCGACTGGTGCAGCGGCACCTGTGCCCGATGATGAGTGCTTCTCAAGGGCCACTGGCTGTTGTGGTGGCTTGAAGAGTACATCATTATGCACCATCAACTTCTTCTTTGTGAATGGGCCGATTGGCTTGTCCAAGTCGACTGGTGGGCCTTGCAGTTGTGGAGGTGCCGGGGTGCTCTCGACCACTGGCTGTGGCGCTGGCACTGCCACAGGCTTTGGTTGTGATTGCTGTGGTGGAGAGGCCAATGAGTTGGAAGATGGGCTCTTGCTGACACTGATGCTGTTGTTGCTGACACTTGTGTTTCCACTGTAGTCATTGTTGCCCACGTCTGAGAGATATATTGTGATGGGGTTGGTGTAGGGTGGCGGCTTCTGGAGCAGCTCTGAGCACTCGAGAAGGTTGTTGTGAATGTTGGAGAACAGCTGTGACATGGACTCCTGGATGTGCATGAGGGGGATGTCAAAGTTGTCGGGCTTGTCCTCAAAGAATTGATGGATCTCGGACATGGTCGACTGGTTCTTTGTCTGGTAGGCGCCACGCTTCAACTTGTTGTTGGCCTCCTCAGCCGGCAACTTGCTGACATCCTTTGGTGGCTTCTCTCTGAGTGACTTTAACTTTGTATCCGAGTTCTCCAAGTCCATCAAATATTGATCACGTGCACTTATCGAATCCTTGATTGACTTTACACGTGCCACCATCCTTGATATCGTTTCATAATTACTCTGTTGACTATCCTGTTGATTGTGATTGTGATTGGACAAAGTGTTAGGGTGAGGGTTTGGCTTGGTTGGGATCAGAGGTTACACTTACATTCCATGCGTTGAAGGAGTTCTCAATCAATTTAGATGACTCTACACAGTTCAACGCCAGTGGATGGTCGTTGTTAAAGTACTTGACGATGGTCTTGCTGACACAATCGGGATGGATGAATGTTTCTGGAGTGATTGGTTTGATTTGAGTGAGTGACCATCATAGTGATTGATTGATTGAATGAGTACACATACTTCTAAGATTCTTAACTCTCTTCTTTAGTGATGCATCGATGGCTATGATGTACTCTCCGACCAACTTGAACTCTTTACGACTGCCCTCAAAATTGGAGTCGGACTTTGATGGTCCACCAGCCACAACATTCTTAATCTTTTGAATGAATCCTGCCATGTTTAGTAATATAAATAATAATAATATTAATAAGTATATTATAAGTAACAAACAGAGTTCAATTTGTGATTGATTGGTTGTGATGAATTGCTAATAATGAGGGAGATTCCAACAACACATTTGGCAAGTTATCGACGTTACAATAAATCCACAGGCAATCATGACTTTCACTGAATTCCAAGCGCAAATCAGTATCAAAGTCCCACACATTCAGGTCCTAAAAAATCACAAAACATCGTTGTTTTGACCAAAAAAAGATCAAAACAACATAATGACCATACCAGGATAGTGATTAAATTTGATTGTCCGTTATTATTACAGAGTTGGAGGCGTACAAAGTGTGGTTAGGTTATCCATCTATCTATCTATTCTCGCGCGACAAGGAAACATTATGGTGGCGAATGATGGAAGTCGGATTGATGGTGGATAGTTGGATGGAAGACCTTTATGCTCTTGATGACGTTGTTGTTGTTGATTGTTTGTTGACATTCTTGATAAATGATTGTAGACTTGAGATGTACTCTTGTGGATGATGACGAAGATGTCCTACGTGAGCGGACTTCTCAAAGCAAGTGACCTGAAGCAAATCACTCTTTGTAGCAAATGTCTTATTCTTCAATGCCTCCAACAATATATCAACTTGATCAGATGTAACTACATCATCATCCTTACTATATATAATCAAATGACTCCATTGATTCTATAAGTTATGTTAGTATATTTGATTGATTGATTGATTGCTTGAGTGAGCCAGCCGCTAACATACCTTGGGATTGGAGAGATTTGACTTGTATTGATCAAAGAAGTTCCTGGCAAAGAGCATCAAGAGAGGGAATACAAAGATATAGAGGATAAGGTATACAATGAGTCCACCAGCTGCACGACCTGCACGCATAGCAGCACGGATACTCAATGATGGCAAACTATCCAACACACTTCCCTTGATGTATTGATGAAGATGTTTGAATTCCTGGAATGATCAAAGATCAGATTAGTGATCAAATGATTGATTGATTGATTGAATGAAGGATACTTACAGGATTGTTATATATCTGTTCCAAGATCTCAGAGTAGTAGAAGCCACCACCATTGGAGAAACAGTGGAAGATGATACCTTGACAGGAGGGATGATCTTTGATGTACTTCTTGATCTGTGCCAACATGATCTGGATGTTCTTGGTACGCATTGGAATGATATAGACCTCTGCAATGCCAGTGCAATATTGCATTGCGTTAAAACCTTGTGATGTCCACTTCTCCGTGTACTTGTAGAGATAGGGTGCTTGTGAGCCCATCCAGCCCAGCATCACCACCAGAGGCCTTGACTCTTCTGAAAGGTCACTACCATTCTTTGTCAACTGTGGTACTGGAGTACCAACAGTTGCCAGGTAATTCTTAAATATCTCAATTGGTGCAGGTGACATCGTTTATTAATAATATAAATAATATAAGTTACTAAGTTATTACAACTATAAAGTTAGTTATTTATAAATAAATATATAGATTGAGTTTGAATTGTTGATTAATAAGCAACAACAACAGTACTAGTGAGTTAAGGTAATATTGGAATGAAATCAATAGATTGATCAATCTCATTTTCAATCTCAAAGAACGTTCGTCGGTGACATGTAATCCTAATTAGGATACGAGTGTTTCCTTTCGACGGGACTGGAGTCTCGTTTCCCAACTTGTCGACATCCTTGACCTTTTTTTGTTTTTTGAAACAGTGGGTTGGAATGTGTTGTGTTGGATGCCATCAGCTTGTTGTCATTATTATGAGTCACTATTCAGAGTCGACTTGTGGGTGCCCTTTCAAACTTGATCATTGGCAGTAATGTCCCTATGATGTAATTACATTGAATTTGAAGTAGCATCATAATAGTCATCATCATAATAGCTAGCCCCACTACACACATACACAATATCAATGGCATCAAGATATACATTGGCTATAATTAAGCCAGATGTACTTGTTAAGCAACCACATAATATAGGCACGATCTTGAAGCGCATTGAATCAAAGTACAACATTGTTCAAAGAAAGCAACTTGAACTATCATTGTCGGATGCTGAGAGATTCTATAATGGTAATTGAGATATCTTATCATCATCAGGGACACTCACTCATTCATTCATTCATTCAACTATTCGCTCAGATCACAGAGGCAAGTTCTTCTTTGAACGTTTGGTTGGTTTCATGACTAGTGGACCAATAATACCATTGGTATTGTCTGAGAAGAATACTGAGGTTGATTCAATCAAGAGTTGGAGAGAATTCATTGGTCCTACACATGCTGAGAAGTATGTTTGATTGATTGATTGATTGGTTTGATGTTTGATTGTTCATGGCTAACTCGAGACAACAACACTATATAGTGCTCGTAAGGTACAATGTCTAAGAGGTGAGTTTGGTACATCAGACACATGGAATGGATTCCATGGATCAGGTTCCCCAGATGAAGCCATCAAAGAGATATCATTCTTCTTTCCAGAGTTCAAGAACTAATTAGCTGGATTCATGGATACACCACGCAACACAAACATGAGATACACGATACACGATACTGTTGCCAGATAGAGGACAGTTGGAAACAATGCCGCCGAACTATCGAATGGCATAGTGCTTGTTTAAAAAGTCTTCGACGGCCGTACCAGGATTGCCAACGTTTGGAAGAGTTCGCAGTGATTCCATAAAGTGTAGTATATCGTTGTGGATTCGTCTGCGAGCGGCAACAGAATTCAGTTCCAGTCTCTGGATTGATTCCACCAATATGTTGTTGAGCATATAATAAATGTTGGTGAACACCTTGAACATTTGGTCCGGTGGCAACAGGGCATTTAACAACTTGTGCAATGTAGTAAAGTCCTTGACCAATGATGCTATGGGTGGTGATGGTATTGGCATCGTGTCGTTCTTCAAGTCCAACGTCTATCATTGATTGATTGATTGATTGAGTGAGTGATCGAGTGATTGAGTGCCATGGATGGGGTGGTGGTACTTACGCTTAGCGCCTTCATCTGGGAGAGTGATCGCTCCTTTAGGATAACCACAAACTTCTCGAATATCTCACTTCGATGTGATGAATAGTCTTGGATGATCTTGTCGAATCCATTTAGGAGAGGGAATTGATTCTTTGATGGAAGTAGATGTTGTAGTATGGTCTTGAGATGCGGTATCATTTTGATTTGGAAGCTGAGACATTGTGAAGCCAATCCAAGATGCTTGGAGGTGATGGTTTTGAGCTTCATGGTCTGGCGAGCACCGGCACCCAACACCAATTGGTAGGTCATGCCATTGAATGTGTGGAGTAGCTCGACAAACTTTGGTATCGAATCGATGACCAAGGCGGGCAGCAGGTCAATGCAGTGCAAGTAGTCATTGATGAACTTGAGCATCATGAGCACAGTGTTTCCAACCTTGAACTTCTCATCGCTGATTGATATGTACTCTTTGACCGAAAGATTGACATGTTGTTGTGATGATGTTGACGGGTCCTCGAGTGTTACTGGCTGAGGGATCTCATCATGTGCACTGGACTCCATCGGTGGCATGTTTGGAGAAGTGCATAGCATTGCCCTATGTACCAATTGATTGATAATGCGCTGGAACTCGCCAACCACCTGTGCGGGTATCCATTCCTCATTCTCCATCAACATTGTCAATGACGCTACCTTGTTCTTGTGTAGTGTATCCAGGAATATCTTTGACTAAATACAACCATCGTGTTAGTGATGTGATTCCTTGTCCATGGCATGCCAATGCTACTTACTTGTGTCAATTGGTTGGAGCGCAATGTTGACGCCTTCTTCTTGACGAGGATCTGCTCGGAGAACTTGATGAATGTGTTGATATGTTTGGTAAGTGTTACAAAGTCGGGCAAGGCTAGTCTTGAGTTGGCATCCGATCTGATCTTGATCAAGTATGACAGTCGCTCTTGCATCGCCTCATTAATCGATGCCAGTATATTGCTGCAAATGACCTTGATCGTCTCTTGTTTGTTGTGATTGGGCATCACACCTGATCGATGTGTTGGGCTGGTGTTGCCACTGCTACCGTCACCCTGTCCCTGTTGTTGTTGCTGTTGCAGGTGATCCTCGAACCTGTCCACTTCAGCAATGACCAGATCAATGATATTCTTTGTGATGATCATCTTCTTCTTGAACTCTGCATTGACCGCTTTGAAGAGGGGCAGTGAGTCGGTGGGCGACAGCTTGATCAGGTGTGCCTTGCACTCGTCCCATGTGAAGTTAACAGGTGTGTCTGTTGATTGATTGGACGCAATCTTCTTCTCGTGGTCGCGTTCAAACACAATGCTCGACACCACCGTCTTGAATAGACTCTTGACAGAGTCCACTGATGACTCGCGGAATGCTTCCAACACCTCTCCAATACGACCTATTCGCAGCAATGTCTCCACGACTGGCAATAATGTCTCGTTAAGGTTCTGTGTGATGTCCAATTGTGGTGAACTAATGCCTGGGCTGACCATGGATGTCGATTTTGAGGACGAGGTGGCCGTGGACGCATCCAAGTCCCCATCATCATGTATCGATTGAAGTAAAAGATCATCATTGAGTGTTATCTTGATAAAGTCCGACTCGAGCATCTTCTCAATGAGCTTGATCATCTCTGCCAGCTGCGGACCTATGTTCTTTAGTGAGCTGATTGGTGCCAAGCCATCAGCCAGTGATTGTTGAGTCGTATGTATCAGGTCCAAAGCACCGCCATAGTCTCCCTTTGATAGCAACAGTTGTAAAGTTGGTTGAGCCTGCTTGACATCCTGCGTCATCGATAGTATTGACAATGCTTCAACAGCTCTATTCTTCTGCAAGAACAGTCGACTAATATTCAGACTACTCTTTACAACCTCATTGTCAACCTTTGATAGTGTCTCCCTAATTATGATTGATCGTTGAATGGATGTGTCAGTGATGGTACAGTCATGTGATCATCAATCAATCACTCACATACCTCGCATGTATCAGCTCATGGTATAACCGATTCAATTCGGTCCTGAACTGCTTGAGATCGGACATGGCATTGAAGAATGATTGTGATTGCTCCCTGACATGACCGACGATGTTCTCTTCGACAATGGCAGAGTAATGTTCCAACTTTTGAAACATAATAGGTGATGGATCACTGTTGGCATAGTCCAATATCTGTTGTTTGCTCAACTGTTTATGAAAGAAGAACTCTGGTATATGATTCAGATCAATGATCTCTGTTCATTCATTCATTGATTGATTGATTGATTGAGTGTATGTTAGTTATGAGCATGATCATCGTGACATCACTCGACTCGAGTCCACATACCATCTGATGTCTTCTTGTTTGTGGGGATGAGGTCTTGTTGTTCATTGTCTTTGAATATCCTGTAGGCCTGTGATACTTTGTTGAGATATGATTGGAAACTCTTCATGTGTATGAATGGTATGGATGAGGAGACGGGAGGCACTACTAGTTCATCGGGCTTCCACTCATTCAACGGTGGAGCAGTCGGGTCGAGACAGACCGATGTCAAAGACTGTGCAAAGACGAATGGTTCATCATTGTGGAATAGTTGTACTGATGATGATCTCTTCAATACTCCAACATCAGATGATGAGTGAGGTGATGGTAGTGGTGATGGTGATGTTGATGTTGATGTAGACGATGTTGATGTTGATGTTGCATTCACATGAAGTGATGACATTGGTAAGCTGTTTGACCTTTGATGTTGTACCTGTTGTTGTTGTAGTTGTTGATGTTGTTGATGTTGTTGATGGTGTAGTTGATGTTGTTGTGGAGATGCCATTGTTGTTGAAGTTGAGTGTAGTTATTATTGTTATAACTTGAACATCAATGCATACAATCAAACAACTCAATCAATCATTCAATGAACAACAGCTCACAAAGTGGGAGATTTTTAGTCCCATAAATTAAGTAATCTTATTTGTTAATGACTAGGGGTATCTGAACAGATACACCAGTCAATTCATTCCAACATAATGGATACAAATAATAATAATAATAATCATGTACAACAACAATCAATTAATTTAAATGGACAATTAATTACAAATAGTGAGGAGTTTATTCAATATGTTATGCGTCCCCAACAATGTCATTTCAATTCATTGGCTTTATTATACTTGAATGGTCTGTTGACTAGAGATACCTTTCTAGATCATTGTATAAGGATGTATGATCTTGAGAAGGCAACCTCCTACCTTAATAAAATAAGTGATATCCCACCAAAGAATATACCGCCAGTACCTCCAACCTTAGATGTCAATGCCACCCTTGAAAGAACTGCCTACTTTGAATCAATCAAACATTTATACATTAATTCAATAAGAATATCATAATATAATAGTCATCTGCTGTCCATGTCCTTTCATTTCAAGTTTGAACATCAATCAAAGCAAGACAGACACACTGATGAATGAATGAACAAACATCAGATACACATACTACCTCGGTGACAAGTGTAGCCGACGACATCAACAACAACAACAACAACAATGGTACAATAACAACAACTACAACACCTTTGAAGTATGATGATCGCTATCGTGACTTGTTATACTCAAAGTGTTACTTTAAGTTGTTTATCAAGTTGATTGCAAGATTGACAGTGGTCGAGAGTCGTGTACACTCTCGTAATGTACTGTTCAAGATGTACTCCAAAGTATTGGTTAGCTTGGTAGAGTTGTCAGGTGATGTCGTATGGTTATTCTACAAGATCACGTCGACTGCTTCAGGTGATGCCTCAATGTATATACAGTTGGTGCTGGACGATGGCACTGGAGCAGTACGATGTCACATTGACACCGACACCTGTCATCGCAGTCGCTTTCAATCATGGATGAACTCGCCACGCTCCTCCCTCCTCGGCAAATATGTTCGAGTCTGGGGACATCTTGACATCGAGTCCCCAACCAACATCATTGAACTACATGTTAGCAAGTTAGGTAACTATCATTCAATCATTCAATCCTGTGACCATGAGGTGACTGACGTCCATTTATCAAACACACAGAGATAGTTGATGACCTACATCAACCGACACTCCTCAGCCTCCAATGTATAGATGTACATAACAACTTGTACATTCCTTATTCCAACTACCTCAAGTCGTTACCTCCATCATCGCAGTAGTATGTAGTGTAGAATGACCTGTCTTGGTCAATGGTTTATTGGACAATAAATAGAATAGCATCGAATGTAATATAGGATGATTGAATGGATAGATATGTTGACTGATTGATGGTTGTTGGTGGATTGGTGGAATGGTTTGTTGATGATGGAGGAGGCCATGACCTTAAGTCTAACTTAGGTCGAACAACTTCATAAGGACATGGATTGTCATGTTGACATCGAGTGTGATGCCCTCCAGTGGATACTCATCGACATGATTCTTGCTGTACTCTAGGAGACGATCGAGCTCAATGGAGACGGTCTTGGAGACTGGTCCAATGCTGGCCTCAATCTCAAAGAGACCACCGCCCAATGGCTTGATGATCACGGTGGTCTTGCTGTAGGATGCCTCGGGCAGATCACACGAGACGACCATGCCCTTCTTGAACAGCTCGGCCAAGCTCTGCTTGACTGGCTTGTCCTTGGCATCGATCTTGGCCTTTTGCTGACGCAGCTCCTTCTTGGCGACGGCCTTGGTCAGCTGCTCATTCTGGAACTTGACGAGGTGGTCCAGTGGCGTGGTGTCGATACGCACCTCCTTGAGCAGGCTGTACAGACGTGCCAACTCGGACTTCATCAGCTTGTTCTTGCGCAGGATGTACTCCAGCTCCTTCTCGACGTCCTTGAGGAACACGTCGTAGACGGATGGCTCACTGCACACCTGCTCTGGCTTGAACGACTTGAGACGCTCGATCAGCTTGTCACACTTGGAGATCAGGTCCATGTTCTCCGAGTTGTTGTTGCCAGAGCGACAAAAGGCGATGGCATCCTCGAGGATCTTGACGGTGTTCTTGTCCTTCTTGGGTGCTGGTGTCTTGGAAAGGATCTCCAGCATCCAGATCTTGGCCTCCTTGTACAGGTCGGTTGGCTGTGTCTCGTTGTTGTTGAGGAATGTAAGCTGGATGCTACGATCACCTTGCTCGGGCAGCTGGAGGGGCGACTCTAGTGCGTCCAGCGACTGCTTGAGCCACCATGATGTGTGGTTGCCCTTGTTGGTGGCATAACGGGTCTTGTCAGAGAGCTTGTAGTTGGAGCGCGCCAGGTCCATGGAGGAGGCGCCGATCGCGAGTGTGCCAACGTCGACAAGGTCGTAGTAAAAGTCGAGGATGACGTCGTGCAGCCAGATGACCTCAGTGAGGTTGACCACAGTGCAGAAGTTGATGTTGTTCTCGATCATCACCTCGTTGTACTCGCGGTAATGAATCAGCTCGTTGAGGTCAGCCACGCGAGGGACAACCTCGATGAACTTGGCGGCCACAGCCTTGTTGGCCTCGACCCATGCGGCGACAGTGGGTGTGCTGTATGGCATCTTCCAGACCTGGCCAGAGAATGCCGACTGTAGAAGACGCGAGACGAGGGAAAGGTTCTGGCGAGCCTGTGGCGAGATGAGTGGGTGGGAGAGCAGGACCAGCTCGTTCAACTGCTCTGGTGAGGCGATCACTGAAGCAATGAAACGGTATATGATCAGGTAGTATGTGGCCAGGCCGTCAGTGTTCTCCTTATTGCCAAACTTGGCCTTGCACTTGTCACCGACCTCACGGCACAAGTAGCGCAGTTGGACGGGCAACTGCTCAACGGACTTGACAATGTGGTCAAAGAACTCTTGACATGACTGCAGGAGTTGGGCGGTGCGAGCCTGGACGATCTGGGCGACCTGGGGGTCTTCCATGGCTTGCTCTGGAGTGAGCTTGACCTTGGCAGACTTGCGGCCTTCCTTGATCTCCTTGTCGTTCTGCAACTGCTTGTGGACCCAGACCGGGTCGACTGTGAGGTTGAGGTCGGACACGGCCAGCATCTTGAGCAGGGTTGGGGCGATCACCTCGGCCAAGTACTTGGTTCCCTTCTTACGGAAGTAATCAAAGAGCAGAGTGGTGGGCACGGACTCGGTGGCCAGGAACTCGGTCATGGAGCCAGATGACTGCAGCTGGTACTCAACAGACACGATGAGTGCCTTCAAGAACAGGTCTTCCTCACGAGGCGACACCTCGTATGGGAACAAACTCAGCAACAAGTTGGTGGACGTCTTGGACAACTGTGCTGTGCTCAAAAGATAGAGGATCTTACCCATGACTGATGGCTGGGTCTGGATAAAGTGGAACAGGTTCTGGTAGTTCCTCATCTTGGCGGGTGCAAGACCGTTGGGTACGCCCTTGACTGGCTTGATCTTCTTCTTCATCTGCTTCTTCTTCAAACTCTTGCGCTCCTTCTTGTTCTCGAGCACGCGGTCAATTGTCTTGGTCAGGCGACGCAGCTCACCACGGAGGGCGCTGGTGTTCCTCAGCTCGCCGATCAGGTTACGCTTGAGCTCTGTGATGTCACCGTTCAGCTTCTGCATGTTCTCAAACAGCTCTGGGCTTTCGGCAATACGGCCCTGAATGCGGGTGGCAATGCGGTACTCCTTGAGGTTCTCCAGACGCTCACGCTCGGCAGCCTCGCGCTCATCCTTCTCTCTCTCCAATCGCTCACGCTCCAAACGCTCACGCTCAGCATGCTCCTTCTCTTGTAGTTCGCGCTCCAATCGCTCGCGCTCAATTCGCTCACGCTCAATCCTCTCGTGCTCCTGGCGCTCACGCTCTACGCGCTCCTTCTCTTGGCGCTCACGTTCCATTCTCTCCTGATCGGCACGCTCTCTGTCCAAGCGCTCCTTCTCCAATCGCTCTTTCTCCAGACGCTCCTCCTCGTGACGCTCACGCTCAATTCTCTCCCTTTCCAATCTCTCTCGCTCAGCTCTCTCGTGCTCTACGCGTTCCTTCTCCATTCTCTCGCGCTCTGATCTCTCATGCTCCAATCTATGTCTCATGTCAGCAATGGCTGCCTCTGAGTTGAACAATGAAGCGACCAGTGCCAGGTTAAGCTTTGGATGACCCTGTGATTGTTTGATATGGTTAGTGGGATGATTCTATGTTCAGTGTGTCCATCACTCAACTACTTACGGTTGCGATATCTGATGGAGTGAGGAAGAACTCGACGCCAATCTTCTCACATGCGTCAATGATGTACTTGGCCTTGATGAGGGGGTCGCTCTCAGCGGCCACCTTGGCGACAAGGCCAGAGAACTCGCTTGGGATGAGCTGAGCCAAAAGGTGAGAGTAGGCAAAGCTGTCCTGGATGTCCTCGCCAAAGTTGTTGATTCTTCTCTCGACCTTGGCCTCTTCAAGATTGTAGTTAACCCATCTGAGCAAGATCTGCTCTGGCGATGGCTCCTCCTTGGACTTGACCTGAGCCGACGAAGCGGTCGGCTCGGTCTTTTCAAACAGCATGTCGAGGATCTCCTCGTTGGCATTCTGGTTGACTCTGGCCATCAGACCAGCCTTGATAATCTGCCAGATGATACCTAGTACCAGATATGGTGTGGCGTCGACCAAGTCCTGAGCTCCAATGTTAACAATGATACATCCAACCTTTGTAGCATTCTTGATCACAATATTCTGATTACCAATGATCTCGAATGGGTTGATCTTGGCCTTGATCACAAGACCCTTAAGCTCGACCAATGTTGGGAACAATGATTCCATCAGTTTGCTACACAAGTGCCATGTAGTGTTAGCAGGTCCACTCGGGTGCACTCATGTCCAATACAATACTTACTTGAGTAGAACACCATCTGTGCAGACGGTGAACAGCATGTTGGAGGTTGGATCGATGGGGATGTAGGCGGCGAGCAATGTCTTTTGCTCGTGCAGACGCTCAGAGATGAACTTGGAGTAGGCCACCTTCTCCTCTTCGGAGAATGTGTGCTTGGAGCCCTCCTCTGACTTGGCAGTGATGAGCGACACATCCTTCTTTGGAATTATAATTGGCTCCATATTGTTGTTATTTGTTGACTTTATCGTCGATTTATTCGTCGTCGTCGTGGTCGTAGTCGAGGGCTGTGTTTGTATTTGTGATTGTGATTGTGATTGTACCTGTGTCTGTGTTCCAGTGGAAGTGGAATGTTAGTTATTGTGATAACTTGGAAGTTTGTAGTCACGTGGACCTTGTATTACATGTAGTGTAGTCATATCACATCTAGACTACTCTCTCATGGGACATATGTTCTTATGAATAGAATGATGGATTGATTGAATGGATGGATTGAGGAATTGGATATTGAGATATACACACACACAAAGTAGTGATGATGATGATGATGATGTAGTGATAGTGAAGTGCAGTGAACAAATGATATGATGAATCAAAGATACCTGACTAACTTCAAGTCATTATACTTGTAGAATGGTGAGTGAATGTGCTGTATTCCAATGCATTGTAGGATAGATAGTTTCAATAGTGGCGGGCGGGAATGTGGTTGATTGATTGATTGATTGACAGATAGATTGATTGGTGAGTGGAGTGGGTGGGGTGGTGGTTGATTGAATGGTCGTGTGTGTGTTGGGTCGATCATATATCTATTTGAAGACTCGTTGACTTTTTTAAAAAGATATAATTAAACATTACTATCACTTACTTGTAAAGATATATATAAATAAATATAAATATTGACGACGATGATGTAATAAAGTTAATGAAGGAATGAATGAATGATCGATCAGGTGACGTTAACGATTAACTATCTTTGTTGTTGTTGGTGTGTTCAAAGGACGCCAAAGTGTGGTTGTGCCCCTCCACAACAACAATATCTTGCTTGTTTGCAAAAGACCATTGACGATCATACTCAAAATCGATGAAAAAGTTCTGGTGGGAGGGCCTCAACTGAGGCAAGCGGTGTGTTACAATTAGGTGCAAGGTGCTTTATTCAACTCCTGCGGTAGGCTGGAGGAGGCATGTTGCTGGACAATGGACGAGGTGGATTGTTGCCCGGAAGTGGTCGAGGAACTTGTGATGCTGGTGGTTGTTGTTGTGGTTGAAGTGGCTGCTGATACTGCTGGTACTGTGGGGCAGCCTGTTGATGATGATCAGAGTCAATGCCAATCGAGTTGATATTGACTGGCACCTGTTTGTATGATTGAGGTCTTGGTGGAGGAGGTGGCTGGTACATTGGATCCGGCTGCTGTTGCTGCTGTGGCTGGTATGGTTGTGGAGCGTAGTACTGCTGGGGAGTTGGATAGATCGAGGTGGCTGGTGGTGCCGACGGTGACATCGATGGAGGATACTGCTGTGGATATGTTGGACTTGTTGGCATGTATGGTGCAGGCTGAGGATATAGTTGTGCCTGTTGTTGCTGCTGCTGCTGTTGCATTGGTGGAGAGTATGGAGGCTGCTGCTGATGTGGTGGCACTGGAGGAGGAGATGAGTATTGCTGTGATGGGATGGAGGGTGGCAGAGGAGACGGACGATGAGTCTGTGTTTGATTGATACTGTTGTTGAGACGAGCCGGTCGTTGTGGTGCCTGGCCTGGGCTGTTGCCTGGCTGAGGGCCATCAGGGCCGATCTGAATGTTGTCCAAGTTGGGTGGGCCCTCGGGCAACAGATTGTCGATCGGGTTGTGGTAGGGTGGCTGTTGTTGGAGTATGTTGGACCATTGATAGAGTCCATTGAAGATGGTCTGGTACAGGGTGCTCTGTGACTCTTGGATGCGCATGAGTGGCATGTCAAAGAGCTGGTTCTTTTCCTTGAAGAAGTTATGTACGTCCAGCAATGTGTTGTAGTTCTTTGTGAGGAAGGCCTGCTTCTTGGCCTTGTTGGCCTGCTCCTCAGAGGTCAGACGACTAAAGTCGGCCGATGTCGACTTGCGCAGCGCCTTGATCTTCTGGTCGGACTGCTCCACCTGCATCAATAGATTATCCCTTGATGTTATGCCATCCTTGATTGACTTTATCATTGACATTGCTCTGTTAAGACTATCATAGTTTGGCTTATTACTGTCCAACCAATTGAGGTATGCATCCTCCATTGATCCCGACACCTTCCCACTATAATTATTAAGTGGATGGTTATCAGGTAAGAACTTTACCAATGCCTTGTTAAGACTCTTTGGATCATTGAATAGCTCTAATATGTTTGATTAAGTTGATTGATTGTTAACATCATGTGTCATGTCATGTCATTCAATCATTCATTCATGATGAAGACTACTCACTTGCAGCATTCTTATCTCTCTTCTTCAATGCCTCGTGTATAGTGGTACATTGCTCTGCTGTCTCTTTGAACTCTCTTCTGGCCTCTTCAAATCTATGTTCATGAATGAATGAGTATGATGATGTTGTTGTTAGATTCGTTGGACACTGATATGAATACAACTAGTTCAAACTAAACATACGAAGGATCAGCGTCTTTAGATGGTCCACCACCCATTGCATTTCTTAACCATTTTGATATTGACATATCTGTATCTATCTACAACAATTACTATTACTTATTACTACTATTTAAATGTTTAATCAATCAATCATATTAATGATGACTTTTAAGCACTTTATGTCCTGTGATGAGTTGAGGGAATTACAAGTAGTCTTTGTTGGGGTTCCAACAAAACACAACACAACCCCCTGATTCCTAAAGAGGACCCTTAATCATTCAGAATCCAAACAAATAATTGGACAATTATCTATCTATCAATCAATCAATCAATTATAACTATGGATAAAGTTTTGATCATATTGTTATTTAGCATTATATTATAACATGTAACTTTAAAGAGAGAGGAACACTTCCATAAAGTTTCCTGACTGATCAATCATCTGATCAACCCCACACATCAACAACCGATCAATATATTTAGACATGTCTAATCACTTTTTTCATTCAACCAATCAAACATTGGACCAACAAACAATCAATCAAATAATTAATTACAATATAAGTCTATATTACAATGGCCACCACATTAATCAATATTAGTTTACCATTGATAGTATTATGTAATATATTTGAAAATTGCTTTAGAGATACATCACTTCCATTCGCATGGAGACTGTCAATTGGTTTGGTGTCCAAGTCCATCTTTCATAGGCTGCGCACTTGGTGGTGGTCCACACTACGCACCCGTGCACTACCAAAGGACTCAATATCACTTCAACAACTACTACAACACATGAACTCTAACAATCCATCATGTGCACTCACCAACTTCACCGCAATGGACATCAACAATGAACAGATCATCGCACTGTTCTCATCATGGAACAATCCCAACGACAACAAAATATACGATATATACGCCAACTTGACCTCGTTGAGGATTGAGGTGAAGGAAGAGACTAGCTGCGACGAGGTGATATCCATGCACCTGCTTGCGATGACCCATCTCAGAGATTTCCGAATCACACACCATCCATCAATCTACACCTACTCGTCTTTTGAAGATGCCCCACACGACGAAATGGGTCTCACAATCGGCGCACTGCTCAACTTGGAGTGTCCTCTGGAGCGACTCCAGCTCACATATCCCGAACTCAACACATTCTCCAAGATACTGCAGAACAAGGCGAACACACTGCGCCAGCTCAATGTCTGGTGCTACAATCTGCCAGACACTTTGGCTCTGTGTAAATCACTCACATCACTCACGATGCGCATCGCCAGTGTGAAGCCGGTCCAGATCACGGATATTGTTGGTCAGATGCCCAATCTCACGCGACTGGACCTGAGCGAGTCAAGTCATTTCTCCACACTTGATGGCGCCATGGACCAAATGTGTCTAGATCTTCTGAGGATATGCAAGCAAATGACTCACTTTGGACTGCCTTCATACCCCACCAACAAGGACTTTGTCCAGGCGATCGCGAGGATCAAGCGCATCAAGTGGCTGAAGCTCAGCGCCAGCATGTTCACCTCGACCAAACAGAAGCAATACCTCTTCCCTCACCTCAAGAAACTGAAGATCTTTGGCTCCAAAGATCGCTACGCAAAGAACTTGACGTGCACTATCGATCCGGCGTCGGCCATCACCTACCTCTCGTGTGCCCGCATCTCTGACACAGTGGCCTGCGACCTAAAGGCCTTCATCGCACAATCCAAACAACTGCGGAAACTCAAGACCATACTGATACCATCGATCATTGAGCCACTTAAACAATGCGCATCACTGGATACCCTAACACTCTCATTCTCCGCACGTCCAACAAACTATTCACAACTGGACGACAAGTGGTGGGTGGAAGTATTTAATGTTCGCGCACTCCTGCTAACGATCCAACGGACATATAAATATGGTCCATATCACCCTATACATGCCGAGTATCCATCACACTACCGTATATTAGTCAACCAATCTCCCAAGTCTATAACATTCGTTAATTACAAAGCAATGTCCTTGTGATCATCATCTGATGTTGTATGAATGATGAATAAATAAATAAAGTGTGATACCCACCCTTTGCTTTCTCATTGAAGGTTCATGCAAGGTTGCGAACTGAGCTGGCATCACACTCACACTTTGTTGTTTGGAATTGGAAAATAAATTAAAAAAAATGAGATTTGAGGGACTTTGAAGACCCTTCATTCACTCTTTCACTTCACTCTTCACTCATCATTCACACACAAACATTCTCTTTTACACTTCATTCATTCATTCAACTTCATCATCAACATCATCCATCCCTGGTTACAAGTATACAACTTGAAAGCGCATATTATATATATTATATATATTATATATTATAACAACAGAAAGTAGCCATGGCAGCATCAGCTATTTTCCTGATGGACTCAAAGGGCAAGGTACTGATCTCACGTAACTATCGTGGTGATGTACCAATGAGCGTTGCCTCAAAGTTTGTCTCAAAGATACTCGAGGAAGAAGATCTCAACCTGAAGCCTATCATCGAAGAAGATGGTATCTCATACATCTACGTCAAATACAACAACTTGTTCTGTAAGTTCATTCATTCATTCATTCATTGATTGATCGATTGATTGATGTTTGATGATTGATCAAACAACTTACTAACATTCACATCATCAACATAGTGTTGGCAACTACTGAGAGGAATGCCAATGCCGCCACTATTCTCTTGTTCTTATACAAGATGATTGAGGTTTGTGTTCAACCAATCAATCAAGCAAGCAAAGTGGACATGATCACTCATCACTCACTCACTCATCATATATACATACACAGGTCTTTAATGAATACTTTAAGGAGCTTGAAGAGGAGAGCATTAGGGATAACTTTGTATTGATTTACGAATTGATGGACGAGATGATGGACTTTGGTTATCCCCAATCGACCGAACCCAAGATCCTACAGGAATACATCACACAGGAGGGATATAAGCTTGACAGAGGCATCAGAGGCCCAGCCCTGCCCGCTGCAATCACTGGTGCCGTCTCATGGAGAAAGGAAGGAATCAAATATAATAAGAACGAAGTCTTCTTGGATGTCGTTGAGTCGATCAACCTCTTGGTACGTGATGCCAAGCGATGCAACAAGATCTCGATTGTAGACCGACCTACTACACATCATACTTACACACTCCCTATGATCATAGGTGTCTGCCAATGGTACTCCACTGAGATCAGAGATTGTTGGTGCCATCAAGATGAAGTCCAAGCTGTCAGGTATGCCAGAGCTTCGTCTTGGTCTCAATGACAAGATCCTGTTTGAGAACAGTGCAAAGAGTAAGTTGTCAACAGGATGTGATTGATTGGCATCGCCCACTCACACGATCATCACTACTATATAGCTGGCAACCCTAAAGGCAAGGGAGTGGAGCTGGAGGATGTCAAGTTCCATCAGTGTGTCAGACTGTCCAAGTTTGAGAACGACAGAACCATTTCATTCATCCCACCAGATGGAGAGTTTGAGTTGATGTCCTATCGTCTAAACACATCGGTCAAGCCACTGATCTGGATCGAATGCATCAGCGACTCACATGCACACTCAAGAGTAGAATATCTTGTCAAGGCCAAGTCTCAGTTCAAGGGAAAGTCTATCGCCAACAACGTCCAGATCATCGTCCCAGTGCCACCCGATGCAGATACACCAAAGTTTAGAGTATGTTCATCTGGTGCACATCATTCAATCAATCAATCAATCGATCACATCACTAACCAAACACACTATTGTAAACGATGATTAGTGCACCATGGGCAGCTGCAAGTATGCACCAGAGAAGGATGCCATCATTTGGAACATTAAGCAGTTCCCAGGAGGTGGCAAGGAGTTCTTGATGAGAGCGCACTTTGGTTTGCCATCAATCTCAAATGGTAATTATTATTATGATGATTGGATTGATGGATGACAAGACAATACTGACAAACTCAACAAACAAACTCAATAATCTAGATGAAAAGCCAGCAACCAAACCACCTATTATGGTGCAGTTTGAGATTCCATACTACACAGTGTCTGGAATCCAAGTCAGATATCTCAAGATCATCGAGAAGAGTGGCTACCAGGCACTTCCATGGGTACGCTACGTGTGTCTGAGTGGCGACTATCAATTCAGGACATCATAGACCGTCCCCTGAGACCTACCCAAAGACCTACCTACCTACTAGCAATCATGATTGATCAAACAAACTCTTCAAAACAAGTAGCAGGCGATGGAACACCCTTCCTCTCTCCCTCATCCCCATTGATGAGCTGCTGCTCACCTCCCTCCTTCCTCCTCCTCCCTCTGATATATACTACTACTACCAATAATAATTGTGATTGTGCGTGCTACGTGTGACATTAATATTCTCTTTAACTAGCTCTCTCTTTGGCGCCATTAGATCTCATGATCATACTATCAATTATTATAACTTTCCTACCCTGGGATTCACCTGATACGGCAAGTTGGCGCGCCGAAGGGTCACACATTAGTGTGTATTTGTTTGTTATTGATTCTCACCCCACCCCTCCCCACTCGGTCGTCTCGTTCGTCTCGCTCGTCATCATTAAGTTTGTAGCCAAAGAGGGAACTTCCAAATTATTCTCAATTTTTTTTGATTAAAATAATAATTTGTACTCAAGTATCCAACAAGATTGTTGTGAAGCAAAGCACCCCTCCCTTTCCACACACAAGGTGGGACTGAGCTCCCTCCTAAAGTGCTCAAAACCAAACCAAGCCAACTCACCTCAACTCACACACACACTTTCAACAACACAACAAACAACACTCCCAAACAAGCAAGCTAGAAAGCACTATCACTCAATCGCCGCTTTCGCTCACTCAACAAACAAGCTGACGCAGGCTCTCACTCTCACTCATTCATTTTCATTTCATCCATCATCAACCAATATAATACATACAATATAATACAATCAATATCATCAACAGGTATACCTCCTATACTCTATCTCTTCCCTCCCTTCCCTTCCCTTCCCTCCCTTTCCATTCATTATTACGATCATCGTCACTTGACTGCCTTAGTCCCTCTCTCATAGCACAGCATAGCAAATGGTTTACTAGACGATCAACAACAATTTATATATTATATATATCTTCGTTCGTTTGTTTGTGTACAATCTCTAAGTGAGAGCACTTCTCTCTCTCGTGTCTTAATACATTACTACACCTTTATCTCATTACTACAATCATCATTCATTCAATCATAAATAACAACAATCTAAAGTTCTGTACAGTACAACAACAACAATAACATCAACAACAACAACAATCATCTTCATCACAACTATTTGAATATCGTTATTACTTATTACTTCAAATACATTGTACCCTTCTCTCTATATCTCACCTCTTTATATCACACTTGTATAGACATTCATACAACCAACCTCAACAACAATAACAACAACAACAACATCATCAACCAGTAGTAGTAGTTAGTAGTAGTAATATATATTAGATTCGTACAGGAGAACTATTAATCTTAGTATTTGTGTACACAAACAAACAAACAAACCATCAATCAATCACCATCACATCACATAACATCACCATCAATCACACATACATATATATATTATATATATAGTCCTTTGTAATTATATAGTTAGTTATAACAACCTATCCCAACATCAACAACAATAAACAACAACAAATAATAATAATATAATAATAATAATAATAGAATTATATATATATATTTATAAATAATAATATTATACCTTAGTATCTCTATCATTACATATCCTTGGACACCATTATATCATTCCAAAGATATACTCATCACGCGTTAAACAACTCACTTCCATTCATTCATTCATTCATTGTCTTCACTCCAATCAACAACCAATCCAATCAAATCCAATCAATATGACAACTATCATGGACACATGCCCAATGCAATCCATTGAGGATCAGATCGCAGCAGCTACATCAAAGATGGGTGACATCCCATCGTCACCATCTCAGTCGACATCAGCAGCGGCACCATCTTCGGCACCAGCATCGGCTCAATCCCCAAGACCAATGTCTCCCGCCGAGCCTCTGCCAACGTCGCCATCCGTCAGTGCACAGTCTACCCAATCAGCTGTCGCCAGCGCCACTGCTGCCGGCGCGAGCACCACTGTGGTGGCCACACCCGCCGCCGCCACCGCTAAGACTCCCAAGCGCGCCGCCAAGGATGTCTTGTCTGCACAGATCCTCATTGGAATGAAGAACATGATCAACGCCTCATCATCCCCTACCCAATCATCCACTGCCCTCTCTCCCAACTCACCATTGTCTGCCCCCTCATCCCCCTTGCCGATCCAGGCCCCTCTGTCCCCCTTTATCTCCAGTGACTCTGAGGGCGCCTTCTCCACCTCCTCCGCCTCTGCTGGCGCATCGACTGCCACCCACAACAACAACAAGCCATCCAGCCCCCGATCCGATCATCAACTCCCCTCATCATCAAGTATCAGTCCGATCCAAACTACTTGTACTTTCAAGGAGTGTCTAATCTGCAGCCGTGGCACTCCCTTTGTAAATAACCAATCTCCCACCTGGGCCTGTATCATGCGCATCGTCTTCTACTGTCTACAACACGAGATGCCCCAGAAATCGTTCCTCAACCTCAAGACCGACGTGTATGGCTTTATGACTGCACATTGGCATCTGCTATGTCTTGACAAGAAGAGTACGCATCATCAAAACTCTGAACGTCTCGTGTGCAAGAGAGCTGTCCGCGCTAACACCACTCACCACCCTTCCACCAACACTCTAGGATCAGACAACTGGCACAAACAGATACAGGACATGCTGTCCCACTCCAAGAACCTATTCGAGAGTGGAATGGACACCTACAAGCAGAATGGCTACTGGAGGATGAAGCAGATCTCCGACCCATGGGACGAGATCAAGGCAAAGAAGGTGCTTACCAAGCGCAAGAGGTCCTACAGCGAGGCCGACAAGGATTCAAAGCACGACCATGGTCGATCCTCTGCTCCTGTCACCGCCCCCAACGCTGCCTCTGTTGTTACACCTGCCGCTGCCGCTGCCCCCGCCACTCCTACTCCCTCCATCAGCCAAGCCCTGTCCCCTGCCAACATTGTCACTGCCCACCTCCCACCCCCTGCACCGGTCTCATCGTCGCCACTTCCCACCTTTACCAGCTCCATCGATAAGGCTATTCACGACAACTTTAACCAGTTGTCCACACAGCTCAAGTCAAAGGAGTTGACCTCCACCGC